CTTTTACTTGCGAAACATCTCTCTCTCTCTCTCTCTCTCAACGATAGGAGATTGTGTCGAAGAAATTTTTTTTATCGCTCGAGCTTCGATAAAAAGAAGCTGCGAACGTCGAAAAGTCGCGATCGCAGAAATTCGTAAAAATTTCGCAAGTTTCTCACGAAGTATATAAGAGGCGATGAAGATAAACTATGCGAGTTAATGAGAATAACAACTTCGCTCTGTGACAAATTATCATTGATTCGCCGTTAAAACTCGATTAACATAAATGATGCAAGACGAGACATTCCGAGAGAAATACTCGGAACGAATAATTTGGCAGATGACGCGCGGCGAAGAGGATTCGCGCGACGACGTACGTTCGCGCTTGATACGTGTCGTGCGACACGTGGAGCTTTATTGATCGTTGCCAGAATAGAAAGGCGAGATATATGTGAGTCCTATAACCCTCCCCTTCACCGCGGCACATAGATAACCGAGAGATGTCACACACATCGTGGATACATTGTGCATCCTCCCGCTAGCAGATGAATAATACCTGCCGAAATGACTCGAAACGAAGCATCTTTGCGACCACAGTTGATCTAATAGGTGCACACGCATCTATTCGACACACAGTTTAGAGATTGTGTGTGTGTATGTGTGTATATGTGTGTGAGCAATACTTTACTGTATTTTCACGCAGAACTCGGACTACGCGATGTGCAGCGTTCCCCGAAGATTGTTTTATAAATATCTTGTTGTTACCGCGGGAGGACCTTACTTCTCTCTTCTCTCTTGTTCTCTATCTCTCTCTTTTTGCGTAAATAAAGTCATAACTCGTACGTGTCAATGCGCACAAAAATTTCAATGCAGATTCTTTTCGTTTTCACTGCGGAGAAATTCATTAAATTTTATTAGATAATAGAATCTCTCTCTCTCTACGTCGAGATCACTTCTAAATCGAGATCCGGTGACATGCGAACTTCTCTCTCTCGTTTCCTTAAAGACGTAATTGCACGTGGCAAGTAGCATCCAACGACGCCAGCAACAATCCGACGGCGACGGCGGCGGTGGCGGTGGCGGTGGTGGTGGCGGCGGCGGCGGCGGCGGCGGCGGCGGCGGCGCAATGGAGTAGTACGCGCCGACGGGTGACCGACCTTTACGTAACGCGCGGCTGTTTGCTGCGCGCCGCGTCGCGTCTGCACGGATGACGTCTACTCCGCTGCTGCAACGACGACGATGCGCCGAACGTTGCAGCTGCATCGACGCGGCGCGCCGCGACTCAGCCCGCGCGACGCGTTCGCTTGTTCGGCTCGACTTATATGCGCCTGTATTTCTTTTCCCTTCCCGCTTTTCGCTTCTGCTCCCGTGTGTGTTATTGTCGCGGTTGGTCGCCGCCGGCCGGCCGGCAGGCCAGCCGGATGCAGGTCGCGTTCCACATGCAACAACGCGAGAAAGACCGTCGCAATATTTCCACACTCCCGTAAATCAGCCGTTGTTTGCCAACGCGGAATTTTGGATGAGGTAACGTTTTGAAAACTGAAGAGAGAGAAAATTATTTGGGATTTGTTTTTCTTCATTTTTAAACGTTGCAAAATTCACTGATTTTTGTGTTTTTTTTTTTTTTAACTGACACTCTTTTCATATGTTTCTAAAGATTTGTCGTAATTTTTTGTCACGACTGGTTCAGTTAAAATGGCGATGCGAGTAAGAAAATTGGCAGCGTGTTTGCAGCAACAGTTCTTGCTCCGGTTCTCACGTGCGAGCGCTCACAATGCAATACGGCATACGTATCCGCATGACGCCCGTTAACTCGAGGGGGGTTCTCGAACTCGGCATCCCCCCGGCGACCGCCGTTCCCCTCCTCTTTCTCTTTTACCCCCGTACCCGCTCGTCTTCTTTCCCAACGAAGGTCAGCAGCCGTCTGTCGCGCCTGGTTGCGCACGCGGCATCGAACCTCACTCTTTCTCTCTCTCTCTCTCTCTTTCTCTCACACGGCGCGCATCGGTGCACTTTCGTGCGCGATTTAGGCATCTGTGGCATAAACGCGCGCGCGCGCGAAGAAGATTTTGCTTGAATCTCATGCGCGCGAGAATCTCTCCTGAGGAATTTGTTTCAAATGCTTTGTTCTCGTGTTTGCGTCGAAACAAAATGAAAAAAAAAAAGCTGACGACAAGCGAATATTTTTCCTTTTATTTCTGGAAACGAGAGATTTGAATAAATTTCTTTTTTATACATTTTGTTTTGCTTGGTTATAGCGATGAAAAAAATATACACGCGAAATATTTTATCCTCTAAATGTGTTTATCTGGAGATAAAAAGAAAAATATAATGTGATTTTTATTGTCAACTCAAGTGGAGTCGTCACATGTCGTTATATAGAAGTGATTTATATTTTTAACCGAGGCTACGCGAAAGAATTAGTCATGTGTACGTGTCCTTCCTGCTACGTATACTTTATCGGTATTTAAAATGATATGAAAGTTTGTCGTGTAAATATGTCACTTCAATACGAGAGAGGGAGAGAGAGAGAAAGAGAGAGAGAGAGAGAGAGAAGTTTCAAATGCAAATTTAGATTTATTTAATCGGCATATTTCTAATAAAAAAAAAAAAAAAGAAACCGGTTTTAGCTTCAACTTAGTTATATCAACCATTCACATTCCTCCGTCGCTACAACAGAATTCTATTCTTAGTTCAAGCTCTGTGTGTTGCTCTCTTTGAAAGAAAAAGATTTTGTTAAAGAAAACACAAGCGGGATGGGGAAAAAAAGCACAGGCGTGAGTTTGTTCTCGCGCATTTAAATATTTTGACGTTGCTCAAGACCAACTACGAAAATCCCTTGGCTCTCTTTGAGTGGTTCGAGTATATCTCGCGAAGGTTTGAAGGCACACTCGAGAGAGATACGGAAAGACACGAAACGGCTCTTTTCCAACGGCGACCGTGTTTTATGGAGATTATTAACTAGGAGTGACTAATAAACACTAGTTATATACGTGTGTTAATTAAGAATTGATTTAGTTATCTTAAAAGACAGATCGGGTCGTTAGATCTCTAACGATCACCGGTTTGATCGCCGTGAGCGATCGATTGATCATCCGCGATGCTGGAACCTTGGCATTCGATTCGAGCAGACAGGAAGAGCGTGTTTTTTTATCTTTTTTTTTTTTTTCATGGCGTTTCATTCGAAGAACGACCGGCGCTAATGAATGAACTTGTTCGTTGGTATCCCGTTGTACCGTATTTCTTGCTGCTTGGCAGTTCACGCGGAAAATTGCGTTCTCTCGCACGCACTTTGTAATCGCGCGCGGATGCTTACGTAATTGAAATCGTGACTCGATTTGCCGACGAATAATCTCGTCAATTGTGCGCTTATTGCTATTAAATGTTGTTAATAATCATTTCGCCGGAAATGGAACAATTTCACACGCACGCACGCACACACACACACACAGAGAGAGGTTTCAATTGGAATTGAATCGTTTTAAAGCGAATTTTCTCCGAATGTAATTGATTCAGAACGAGAGAAATTATTATACGAGATGTGTGTGAAATCGCTCGCATTTAAAACAACGACGCGCTTAAACATCAGATTTAACGCGGTTAAATATCCGCAACGCGTTTTGCACAACAACCTCGAATGCAATATAATCGAATTTTAAAGCCTGTCTCTCTCGCTAAGACAACAATCGCATTTAACTCGAACATGATGATATAACACTTGTAGGATGAGTCGTAGACGGATAAATTCAAACATAACGCGCGCAATTCGACGAACAACTTTCATGGGATTCTTAAGATCCGATTTAGGTTACTTTCAAAACAATGTTCGCGCAGCGATTAGGTTTCTTCGAGTCGCGTCTCCAAAGTAAAGCGAACCGTCGTAGTGGCGTTCAAAGACAAGTTACGTAAGCCGATTTATGAGAATCGCCCCACGTATTTATCTGATGTGTACCGGGTGTTCGAGAAACGCGGCAATTTTATTTTTTTTTTTTTTCTCGAAATAACACACACGATTTATCGGCGGATGTTTCGAGCGCGATTACGCGCGCGTCCTAACTCCGTCTGGGAAAAGAACGCGCGGAAACAAGCAGGCAAGTCGCTCTTGAGTTACTATTTTATTGTTTTTCTGATAAGCGATATTGTGTAGTTTATATTTTCGGGGTGGAGTTAGTTTACACGTGTCTCATTTTTGCTTAATTGTTTTTTTGTTTTTTTTACATGATATTTCGTAGTTTATTCAGTCAAATAAAACTTTCTCCGACGATAGCGCTATATAACGCTCGGCATTCGCGATGGTGACGCGACGCACCGGAAATTCGTATCCGACCAACCAAGGGATCGCAGCCGCGAAGGCAATGACATTGCTCACAATGCCAGGATGCGCCGCCGCCGCCACCGCCGCCGCCGCCGCCGCCGCCGCCGCCGCCGTTTGCATCGGCCGATGGCATCACTGTCGCGTCGTTTCCATGAAATGCGCCGCGCTCGTAAATGAACTGCATTTTTTTTTTTTTCCTGCAAGACGACGAGTTCTCCCGCGGAATGAAACGAATCAGAATACCGTTGTTAATCGTAAAAAACCAGATTTCTCAGAACGCATGCGTATATAAAATGATCTTTTGTTTACAAAAAATGTTCTTTCGAATACTGTGATTTAAATATCGCGCAAATATGTGTAAAGTTACTGCGTATTGCGTTGTGTTACAAGTTTACAATTAAATTATATTGCCATCAATAACATACAAACAAATACGTGAAATTTATACACCTTTATTTATTTAATTTATTTATTTACAAAATATTATTTGCGTTTCTCTTCTCTTTCATGCAACATTTAATTAAACAAATATAATCGGAGATCGAATTGATTCGGTTAGTGTTTCGCAATGTAGAACATTTTACATTCACTAGAGTATTTCCTGATATTCCCACAAGACAAGTTTCACATTGTTCCGATCTGGAAATCTCGTTCGCCAGATTTGATAAAGCATTTTACGAGCTTGTGTTTCCTCTTCGTGTTTCAGCACCGAATAGTCCGCTGCATCTTAGCAACAGGGCTCACGTATTGCTCCTGTTGAACAGGCCTTCAGCCGCTCTCACGGACGCTGATCATGCAGTTAGATTGCGGCCAGACTGGGGCAAGGTGAGGAGGCACAGGACCAACGCCTACGTATAATCGGTGCATGCGTCAGATAAACCACAAAAAATTTATATTACATTTGAACTTTACAAAAACAAACAAAAATGCACATCCCGATTTAAAAAAATTCCACACAGAGCTGTGTGCTTAAAAACATTTTTAATTGTTATAAAAATTGTTAGAAATTATTACACTCTAAATTATTATTTTATGTTTGAATTTAATTTAATATGTTAAAAGACAATCGTATTTTTATACTATTTTTGTGATTTAGGGACACTATAGAAGAGGAATCGCTTTGTCGGCGCTCGGAAGACACGAGGAGGCGCTCTACGCCCTTTGCATGAGCGTGGCGATTGACAAAAATCCGCAAGCTGTGCGTCACGAGTTGACCAAGGTATGTTCGCGATCTTCATTCAAAAATTTCTAAAGAACTTTAATTTGCCCAATTAAACATTTCGAAACGAAACAGTAATCAAACTTTGTACAAATTTATCGTGTACTCGCGTACATACGTACATCAGCCGTTGCGGAACGAGGGCGCGCGATTGAGAGGAAAAGAGAGAGGATGAGAGAGAGAGACAGACAGCAAGACGTTGATCGCCAGATCACGAGCGTGGAATTCGCGTTGCTCGCGCGCGCGGAGATCGCGATCGCGCTGCCGGTGGAATGCATCCGAAGGCTGTGCTCGATGCACCGTCTCTATCCGGAAAGCATCAGTTACACAAAAGAAACGCGTGCCGCGCGCTGTAACGTTTCCGGCACGACCGCTGCCGGCCGTGCCGCCGCGGCTTAATGACTCGGGTACGATCGTCGTCAGGTGAGTGACCCGCACTCGCCGGGGGCAACAATAACTATATATTCGCGCGAGCAAGCGAGCGAGCGAGCGTGCAATCGAGCGATCCGCGATGCCGCGGCGTTCTCGCGAGCGAGCAATTGCGCCGTTTTCCACGTGTTGTTCTTTGCGCTGTGCACACGACACAGCGTCGATATATCGATTCTTCCGCCGCGAAGTGACGCACAACCCCGCGCCGCTGCGTTTCCCACCCTCCTTCTCTGCTGCATAATGCAGAACTCTCCTTCTGCGTCGAATTTTTTTAACTGTCGTGCGCTCCTTTTCTTTCTCTTTTTCTCTCTCTTTTGTTTTTTCTCTCACTCTCTCTCTCTCTCTGTCTCTTTTCTTGAATATAAATTCTCCTCCGATTTCCCCCGCCTCCGTCGAGACCTCTCATCTCGCGATTTCGTAACGTGTCTCTTGAAAACTTCGACGTACATGTGGCGTAGAGTTTTTTTTTTTTTACGTTAAGAGAATCTCAGATCGCGCCTTGGAAATGGTATTTAAAAACAAACGCAGTTTACTTACGTAATCGCGTATGATCGATAATCTATTTGAGTTTTTTGCTCGTTTTTTTTTTTTTTTTTTTAAGGTTTCTCTCGCGAACAACAACTTGTCTCGTCTGATTTTAAAGAGAATTCGCGCGTTTGGATTTTTCAAAAATCAAAATTGTTATCTCAAAAACGCGCGCGCGCGCGCGCGCGTCGTGAACGTCACGTCTTGATTCTTGTCTCACGTCGCGAAAAATTATCCGATCGTCGCTCGCGCGCGTTGCGAGCACCGCAATGTTGCGTCATACATCCGCGAGGTCCAAAACGCGCGTTTGAAACAATCGATGAGCGTTAAATAATTCAAATCGTGATAAAGCAACGCGCGTCAAATTTCGATGCTAAATAATTGAAAAATAAGAAACTGTGTTGAATTTCGATCGCACGGCGATTACATAAGGCCGAAGCAGCCCGATGGCGGAATCATTGACGCAAGCTGCACACTGCCATTATGTAAGATCGGAGAATCATTCTTTCCCGGTGCTGCTGAATTCAACGATCGAGTCCGCATTACGGAAAGCGCACTTTTACTTTTCTCATCCCGAAAACTCGTCCCACAAATCGATTAAACCACGTTATTTCGCGAACAAATTGTCTCGATTAATCGACCGAACACTCTCTCGTTATGGAGCGTTTTTTTTGTACACACGCGAGACGCGTAAAACAAAATGCACACGCGCCGAAGTTACCAAAGAAAGAACGAACGGTTGCCCGTACCTGGCAAGAGTTTCGTCTAGAATTTCTGCTTACTTGTCGCGGTCTATTAATTTTCAATGTTAATCCTCCGCGTTTGAAGCAACACACACAGTTTACGTTCGTGCTCCGCGTAATAATAACGATTCTGTTTCGTAACCTCGATTGAAATCTCGCAGATGCAGCTTCAATGAAGGATGTAATGCGCCGTGAAATTATTTTAGCTGTCGTGTGTTTTTCACATCTTATACAAATTTGATATTTAAAAATTCAGAACTTGAACATCAGATGTTAAATCATCGAACGTTAGACTTTACAATTATGTAACACAAGTGTGTGTACAAAGTTACATTATATATTTCGCGGAAAACACAATATGTTTAAATCGCAAAAATGTGAATCACACATTTATGTTACGCTTATAACACACGTTAATCGGACATTTCGTCGAATAATTAATTTGCGATAATTGCTGCGCTGTGTTGGATTTCCCACACAATTCAATTAGTGCGTACGTTAGCGAAGTTCGCGGTCGTGTGTTCGCAGATCCTGCACAGAGTGCTGTCACCTGGGGTTCGTCGACAGAATGTCCTGTCGTCACGCACGTCGTACAATCTAACGAAGAGCGCGTCACGCACGAGAAACCGTCACCAGTTAATGAATCCCAAGCGTAGCCGACGCTCCACCCCGAACAGGTCCGATTGCGAGGACAATAGCAGCGACGAAGAAGAATTCAGTCAGGTGCGCAAAAGTTCTTCGCACAAGTTTTTTATTTTTTTTTTTTATTTTGTTCGTTGAAAATCTTTTGGAATATTTTTTTTTTTTTTTTGTAAAGTTGAAAAGTTTGTTCACGTGATTGAAAAACCAAGTATTCAATCGCACGAGATAACAATGTGCAAAAAACTTGAAAAAAAAAAAAAAAAAACCCGACTTACTCGTTTAATTACGCGCGTATATAAACGCCGTTTGGTTTTTATCGTATTTTGCAGACGATAAATAGAAGACTCCGATCCTCGATCGCGCCGCACGTCAACACGAAGTTACAAGCGAGTCTGGATCGTCTCTACCAAGATCTGGAGAAACTGAGAAGTAAGTTTTTGCGTATTCCGACGTACGAGCGTCTGTTTTATATTCCTGAAAAAAAAAACATATCTCGTGAGACGACGTCGTTTGCAGGAGTTGAACTGAGGCCCGCCGAAATCCTCCTGCCGCCTCTTTCCGGCGGCGCTGCCGGAGAATTGGATTGCATTCTGTGTTGCCGCCTGCTCTGGAAACCCGTCACGACACCGTGCGGTCACACCTACTGCTGGATGTGCTTGGACCGTTGCCTGGATTATTCCTCCGCGTGTCCTCTGTGCGTCACGTCTCTGGCTGACGTAAGAAGAGCTTCTCTTTTAATCAGTTTCAATTAAATTCATAAAAAAAAAAAAAAAAAAAAAAAACAACAAGTTTCGAAGAGACTCCGTCACGCATTTGCATGCTCCGCCTTAATGCGGAGGAAATTGCAGCTGCTACAAAAGTTTACTCGACTAAAGAACATTTTGATATCTTTTTTTAAATAGCAGAGAGAAAGGGGGAGAACAAAAAAGAAAAATTTTATTTATTCAAATGTAAAGAATTTACAATTAAAAAATTTACAGTAAAATTAAAAAAAAAAAACTGACGTTGGAATCGAAGCATTTGCTGTGCACTTTCTGCATCCGATGTGTGCGAACATACTTGGTTTAATGAGATAAAGCTTCGACGTGAAGTCCCTTCGAAAGCTCTCGTGTCTTAAAAGCTGCTTGTTAATCACGAGTCGTTGATCCCAAAGAAATTGGCTGGGAAAAGCACGTAGACACGAGAGATTCTGCAACACCTGTCCGTAAATGAGACGTGATGCTTCCTAGCGGTTAACGATGATGCTGGCAGATTGAAATGATTATTGTTTGCGGTCACCGAGACCATCATCGGTGGTCTTCCGCGTTCGTGGCGTCATTATACGATTCCACGGTGTGCAAGCGCATTATATTTAATGACGATAAGGACAACGATGGCGAGAGATCATGCGGCGCGCCGCTCCTTGTTTCCTTGTGCCATCTCCGGCACAATATCGATAATTTACTTGCTTGATTGTCTAGAAAGACAGTAACTCTTCTTACGAAGAGACGCTCTCTTTGCTATTGGGGAAGCGCGATTAACGGTATTGCGTAAATCGCCGCGTTGTAATTTTATCACAGGCCGTTATACCGAGATGTATTTAAAATATCCGTTATGTGACTGCAAAAATATATCCTCGAGAAAATTAAATAAATTAGCTTAGTCATATATCTGTTAAACAAATTATTTTAACGATATATCTATAGAGTATTAATTGGGATACGATAATTATTTTTACTTTCATTTGTTTTTTTTTTTTTTAATCTTATTTTTACCACGAGCTTCTATATTTGTGGCCATATATTCGGGAATACAACCCGTTTGTCCCGTTTGAAGACGTTTATACGATCGTTTATACGACGCGACAACGCAAGTGACAACTCGTAAAACCAATTATCTTCTCGTCTGCTTTCAGTATCTAGCCAGTAGTCAGAAAATCGTGACGGACTTTGTGGAGAGAGCGCTGAAAATCGTTGCGCCCGCAGAATATACCTCCAGAGCGGTGAGTCACCAACTCGAACTGGTCCAGGGACTGGGTCTTCTCGGTAACGAGCAGATTGCCGTCTTCATCTGTACGACCGCCTTTCCCTGCGTCGCCTGTCCCCTCTTCGTCTACGAGCCTAGGTACAGGCTGATGGTCAGAAGATGCGTGGAGAGCGGAGTGCGTCAGTTCGGAATCGCCGCGTGTCTCAACAAGGAGGCGACCGGCACTAAAAGGTAGGCATCAAATGGTGGTTTTTTTTTACGACACGAGTTTAAAAACGACGCGATTGTAAACTTTGGTGTTTACAGATACGCGGAATACGGCACCATTCTCGACATTCGAGATCGAGTATTGCTCAAAGACGGGTGTAGTATTCTCAGCACGGTCGGCGGTAGAAGATTCAGGGTGCTTTCCGGCGGGGAAAAAGATGGCTACGACACGGCGCAAGTGGAATTTCTCAGGGACACGGTCGTGCAGGAGGATCAGTTATTGAATCTCCTGGAGCTTCACGATAAGGTGTGAAATTTCAGGCGAGCCCGAATCCGATGAAATAAAATTGAATTTCAAACGTTATTTTTCTCGCAACTTAGTGCCACTTGCTTCAAATTGATTTTTCGAAAAATTTTATTGTCATTTTATTCTCAACAAACTTTGTATTATTTATTTTTTACTTTTATAATTTCATTATTTTATTTTATTTTCTTAAGATAAAGAAATTAAAATTCTTCTCTTCAGAAGAAAGAACGTATAGATATATCGTCACGATGATGTAGGTACGAGCCAAGGGCCGAAGATGGTGGGACACCGTGCCGAGTTCTCAGAAATCCGAGATCCAACGTGTATTCGGACGCATGCCGGACACTGAAGAGGACTGGACGCGTCTGCCGGACGGTCCCGCGTGGGCGTGGTGGCTGCTCGCGATCCTGCCGTTGGGGCCGCAGCTGCAGGTAGGCATTCTGGGCACCACCAGTCTGGAAAAGCGACTGCGAGCCATCGAGAAAACCCTCGACCATATGGAGCAGAGGCAGTTGACCGTCGCGGCCGCTCTTTCCGAACAGACGACGACGTCGTCGAGCATCTGCAGGGACGGTCGAGCGATCACGGAGACCGCGATGTCGGTCGTTCAGCAATCGTAGAGAGCAACGATACGACTCTCGACACTTCGGAAGCAACCGATGTCGTTCTGTGGCCTGGAGAAATAGGACCGCAAATTTTTTTTGTACTTCACAATGAAAGAAGGTTCGATAGCAATCTTGAATATTAGAGTTGACTGTTTTGAAAAAAAAATCCTAAAAAACTAATTTCTTGAGAAAATCGATTAAGACACACACACACGTACACTCACACTCACACAATATGACTATATAAAAAATAAATACAATAAAAATATACAAAATACAGAGATTTTCCCAGCGATTGCGAATCTTGAAATCTGCATTTACTTCAATTCTTATATTCTCAATATCTTATTGCATTCTGAGCGCGAGACACGAATTTTCTCTACATCCAAGTCACAGGAGGACATTCTTGTCTGTTTACGCTGTCACAATTGGCCGAATCTTTTCTATATGTATATGTCGATCTCCCGTTCGTCGCCGGCGCGACGTAATTTTTCGATTGACCCTTCGACTTCACTCGACGTACAAAGTACCTAGTAGGACACGTAAAAACTCTTGAAATGCCGCGTAAGAAAAATGGGTCGATCGATCGGCAAACGCTGTCTCTCCCAATTTCGCCGGAAATTTTGAGCGTTTCTTCTTCTCTCTTTGTAGATCTAATAAGGAAACGTTTAAACGTGTCTCTCGTCGATTTGAATGAGTTTCGGGTGAAGTTTTGAATTTTCAATCTCCAAACGCGAATTAAGCAATCAATATTTCATCGGCAAATAATTTAGAATATATATTTTTTATTTTTATCTCGTATTTAATAAATACTTTGTTAATAAATCTAAACCAAAAACTAGACTTACTGTTACAAACTACACTTATATACAAAGCAAATGTCTAGCAGATTTTATTGTGAGCTATTTCACAACAGCATATTCGAAATATGTCGAATTTGAGAGAGACACTTTTAACGTGTTTTTTTTATATGTTAAGTTCCAACCTCTCCGAGCATCGTGCTCGTTAAACTTTCTGCAGGACACCTTATCGAAAGAACAATAAAAGTAACGATAAAACTTCTCAAATGTGCCGAAAATAATATTCATTATTTTTTAGTTTTACAACTTGAAATTTGTGTTAACACTTTTTTTACTACAGTAAATACATCTTTTTTATTACAGTAATACATCTATGGAATGTAGAAACTTATATGAAAAATTATATAAACATTATTGGCGCACGTAATTTGTCTCATCAACATTTCTCCGGAATTAGAATTGATTTCGGCCGGAAATAATTAATTACGACAACATATCTTAGAACAATCGAACATGTTTTTCGATAAGGCGTTCCGATCCTTTTTGCGCTGTTGCAATACGCAAATCTGTTCTTCCAAAATATTATATAAAAATATATATTATGTATACCTACATATATATATATATATGTATACACACATATTTATGTATACACATTCGAAATACGCGTATACGTGACAATCGGAAGCAAGTCTCGTCCCGTTTTAAAGCGAGTTTACAATATAAACCTTTTTGTGTCTCACACATAACGCGGAAATACTTAAAAACCTACGTAAGCGTCTTATTTGTAATATAGAAAAAAATTAATTAAAAAAAAACAGGCACACCGAATTCTTATAATGTGATAGGAATGAGGCTTTAGTCTCTTTTTTAAAATCTGCCGTATACGAGAACATCGTCGAAGGATTTTACTCGCGAATGTGAGAAAAACTTCGCTGTCTGACAAATAACAATACGCAACACGTCATATTTATGCACGACAGGGAGCTTGCTTCCTTTTCACGTAAATACGTCAAAACCTCGTGCACGAAAATTCGTCGGTGAGCGAATGCATCAGACAAAACGTCAACAGCTGTGTGTGTATTGTCAGCAAAAGAAGACTATAGGACAAAATATGTCTGTGAAGTGCGTATACTCCATATGATATAAATTTATATGAAAACTAAAACGTTGAAGAAAATTGTTCGTTAATTTTTGCGACGCCGCGATTATATAGCGCGCGCAATTTCCACTGGTGCCATCGCTCTGCGAACGTTCCACGAGTTCTGCCGGTACAATCACGCGCGAAAGCGCGATTGTAGAGAGAAATTTGATATATATATATATATATCTCTGAAACGTGTTATTTACTCTCGGGAAAAAAAAAAGCGCAAACAATAAAGAACCAGGAGATCCTTTTCCGTTCTTCGTTGTCATTGCACAATCGCGGATCAAGCGGGCGAATCTCTCCCAGATCGGACTTACTGACGGGTTATACGTGTATAATTGTCCGTGCGAGATTCACACAACAATTGATGATACCGATCCGCGCGTGTCCCCGCGGCTCGAAATCCTGAAATCTTTTTTATACCGCTTAGGTTTACTTCTTAGATTTTTCTTAGAGATATATTATATATATACGACTTTTTAATTACGCGCTAGCACATAATAATTTATTTTTCACATCGGCTTTTCGTACCGTCGAGACACAGCGATCGTCTGTGAGGAGCTAGAAACGTCATATCAATCGCGCAATCAAATATGAGAAGAAACATAAGTAGTAAGATTGTGTCGTTATTATTATTGCTTATTTACATGAAGTTTAAATATTTCAAATAACTTGATTAATTAAAAGGAAAAAAAATTTTAACCTGTCACATTTTCTTCAGATACGCACTTTTCACTTTCTAAGAAGAGTTAAAAAGTGAATTTTTTTTCTCTCTTCGTTACGAACGTTAAATTTAGCACTGCTTATTTGTTATTACAAAATATGCGTGGAGGTGTGTTTGAATCGATAAAAAGAAATCAAAGAATTATTACGTTTAACGTAATTACAATTAAACGCAAGATTGGCACAGCCTTAGTGTATGTAAATGTCTCCGATAATAATGACGACATTCTCTACAAAATGATGTACCTCGAGTATGTCCGTTTGCGAAAGTATAAGGTAAAACAAAAAAGTACGATATAAGAAGTTTTTTAATCGATCGACATATTAACACGCGATTTAATGTAAAACACTCTCCGTTCGTCTCTACGGTAATTAAAATGATGAGAAGCACATCCTCTACCTAGATTTATATTCTATTCTCTAGACTTTTATGAAATTGTGAATCATGCATTGTGATATTACTATATAGCCTATCTCTTGTATATTGTTATTATTGCTACGTTACTACTACTACTACTACTACTATTATACGTAATGCCACAATTTTCCATTTTTACTTCAACATTTCTATATTTATCTTCATCTCTTCATATTAAAAAAAAAAACTATTGTATAATAAAATATCACAAAGCCAAATTGTTGTCGAATTGTTCTTCTTGCGTTTCCTGCACTTTTGTAATAATTTTTTTTTTTAGCACAATATTATGCTAGAAAAAGAATTCTCGAAAAATATTTTCAAAGATATTTTTTATTACATCTTACACGCAGTAAATAATATATTAACTAATATATTACTATGGTAATAATATTTTTCTCTGAATTTTATTTTTTTTTCTAATTTATTTGTTGCGTTTCCTCCTCCTATATAAAAAATGTGTACCGCGAAGTGCGCGTTTTGATATCGAATGTATCGCATCTATTGTTGTCTCTTTTTCGCGTTGCCGATTAGTTGGTTGATCGAGTCGAGTCGAGTCGAATCGAATCGGTAAGATCGAGAGAGTAAATTAATGACAGAAAAGCGATTTTGACAGTTCGTCGTATGCGTGGAGAAAATTAAAAACGTGACTAAAATAAAGTCACTTGACAGAAAAGAGTAGAAAAACAACACGTGACTATTTAAAGTAACGTGATTGTAATTTATATTATATATAATATTAAATATATAATATATATTATACATATAATTTATTATATATTTATAATATTATACTTTATATTGTATTATATGTATTATATATATACTACAGTAAAAGGTGACAGCGGCGGGGTCACTGACCTCGTCCGCGCGGCCGCGACGGGGTCACTGACCTCGGCCGCGCGACCTTGGGCGGTCACTGACCTCGGCTAAGCGACCGTGGTGGGGGGAGGTCACTGACCCGGCCGCGCGACCGCGGCGAGGTCACTGACTTTAATTACGTGATTATGGTATATATATAGATATGTGTGTGTATGTATTATATATAGATATAGAATATTATATATAATATATATAATATTCTCTGTTTTACTCTTGTCCCTGTCATGTGACTTTAGTCACATGGTGTTTTTCTACTCCTTTCTGTCACTAGACTTCAGTCAGTGTTGTTTTTCCATTCTCCCTTTTTTCTTTTATTTTTTGAGTTTGATTTTCATGCGTTATTTCTGACATCTCTCACATGTACATCATGTGTATTATATTGTTTGTAGGACGTATATATTAGCTGTCATTGCGGTGACAGGTTAAGTTCACTCACACTACACGTTAAAATAAAAGCAACAATAGCGTGCGCGTAGCGCGCGCCTGTGTTGTGCTAGTCTATTAAAAAAACACACATTTTATATACGTTGCTAATCACATGCATATCGATTTTTTTTAAATCGATTAACCGCAATATTCAGGGTGAACTTTTTTTCTCGACGAAGTCGCGAGACTATGAGCAACAAAATTGAATACTTAGCGAAGTATTCGGTTGCACCTCCGCCCAGCAGAGATTATTACGGACTGGTAGTTCTTCAAGACGAGGTATGTTGATAAAACTTGACATTTAATTTGCCGCCTTTCGTTAATTTCACGTTTCTAGGTAATTCTGTATTTGTGGAAAATCTCTCACGGACCTCATAGAGCACCGATCGAACATCGCGTCAAATTTGTTGATTTCGGTCAGAACAAAATCTTGCACGATAAAATATGTCACGGATTTGGTGAGACGTTTTACCTTCCAAAAGGAATGTTCATTTCAACAGATTCTGTTCAAATTTCTTGACAACAAGAATATAATTAATTTAGTTCAATTTTATGAACAGTTTTTTTTTCAATCTTGTGCGATTGGTTGCAGGTGAACATTTATTTAAATACGTGAGAGATATCGTCGAAGGGAACAGAAACACGTTTTTGACTCTGCCAATATCTTTGGTCGAAAAAATATCAAACTATTTGTCATTCAGAGATATTCTAAATCTATCTTCGTTGTCGCGCGTTTCCTACGAGGTGTTCAAATCTTGTTTTCGAAACGATAAAACTTTAGCAATGCTTTAATTTTACACATTGGCTTAGATATTCAACAACGATTCCATCTGGAAGATACTTTACGACAGAGACAAAACAGTCAGAATCAGCTTGGAGGAGAACGAGAGAGCTAAAGTATATGGTTGGAAGCAGTTATATAAAATTAGACAAATGCAGACGTCAATCAAAGGCCAAAAGGTGAAAGTTAACGAGTAAAGTCGAATAAAAACACTTTTTTTATTAAAAAAATATAAATAATATTTATATTCTCCAGAATTCTCGGACTCAGTCATCGATGAAATCTGCGAACTATGTGAAAATCACTAACTCGTCGCTAAAACTCACTACTGGCGCGTCGAAACCCGCTTCGAAGACATCTCCAACCATCACCACGGTGATGAAGAAACGTTCAGAATCTTTGAACGTCGTAACGATTCCGCTGTCTAAAACGATATCCAGTACTCGAGTCGGCGCAATCGCGGACGACGAAAAATCGATCTCGCAAAAGAAATCCGTTAGAAACGTTAATTCTGTCAACGCGCACCAGAAAAAAAATGTTCAAAAAGATCTCGTCGCGTCAAAGACAAAATCGAAGAAAAAAGAAGCAAAAAGTACTGCCAAATACGGCGAAGTGTCTGACAGACAGCAATCTAAGGCGGAAAAATATGCTGATAAGATCGATAACGTCATTAGTAAGATGCAAGAAGAAACGTCGAAGCCACGGACTTCGAAGGTGTCATCTTCAAAGAGTTCCGCAGAGAACGTCGCGACATCTTCGAGTTCGGTGCAGAATTCGCGTAAGAAAAGTCTTCGATCGGGAACGAAGACCAAGTCTGACAAGGTGGCCGCGTCGAATTCCGAGACGTTTAACACCGACAAGGATGATCTGTTTCCCGTGAAAAATAACGATTTCGAGCTAGCCGATCTGATCGAGGCGAGTTTGAAGAACATTCGAAGTCCGCGGACCATATTCGATCCCAATTTTAGTTACGTGCAACAATCGGATGCAACAAAGTACGCTTCAAGGACCAAAAACGTGATTCAAAGCATCCCCAAAGTAAAATATCCCAAAGGTATCAGAAACGACGTTCCTTCGAGCAACTTTTCCAACAAAATAATTCGAGGCGACGGGATTCTCGACAAGCTTTCCGAAAAATCGGAGGCGTTCAGCGCGTCATCCGTCGAGTCTCTTGTGAACAACAAAAACTCATTACCGAGCGGGGACAACAAACCCGTTAGATTGACCGAGAAATTTCTGCAGACTCAAGCGGAACTGCGAGATGTTTTAGATTGGAAACGGAGCGACTCGGCGTCATCTGAAAAACGATGGGATTTATCGAACTTCCGAAATAAATCCTTCAGTCCGAGAAAGACGATCGATGAGAAATTTCCCATTGCCAAAGGACCGTTGAAAAACATCTCCTTACTGAACGCGTACGCCTCGAATAGTTTGGAGAGTAGAAAGGACAATCCGAGAAAGAGCGTCGCCTTGAAAAATCAAATTTGTTCTGCGAACAAATAGTTCAACACAACTCGCCTAAATGAAACTAATGAAAAATTGGTCTTTCTAATAATTTCAAGAATTCGAAGAACAATTGCACGTTAAATGAAATATAATATATTGTGAATTTAAAAATTGATAAAGATATAATTGTTAAAAATTGATTTTATAAAATTATTCTGTGACATTAGGAATATTATTTACAAACTTGATGAAATGTGAGATGATGAAATTTATTTATCTTTTATACTTTCCGAGTGTATTATATATATATGTATAATATATATATATTCCATGTTTGCAGATATATAAAATAAAATACAGCATTAATTTGCACTTGATGATATGTGTTTAGGTACAAGCTTTTGTTTTTTTTTTTTTTTTTTGCAGATATTTAGGTATATTGCATGATGTAATGATGATCTTTTGATAATCAAGCGTTGGACAATGCGCAAATTACAGATTACAATTAGCTGGTACACTCGTTATTACAGGAAGAAATGTCGAATGCTTACTAGTTTACGCATCTTTCGTGTGTATATAAAAGTCTCGGTTACAAAAAAAATCATAATTTTCAAAATTACACGTTTTTTTTTTTTAACACGCGTGTGACACGCGGACTACCGTATAATATAAATTTTACGTTGGTTGTCTCTACTACATAATAAAAACATTTTCTTCTCTCACTCTGCACGTTATAAGAAATCGCACTCGATAAACCACGTTTAAGTCGAACCGCCAGAGACTCCCATGGCAGTCCCGACATTTTCAAAAGTTTATTGTCATTTCTGTAACTTTATCGTTGCAATATAAATTTCAACATTTTATAACTCGAACATCGAAACTGTTCTTCTTCTTCTCTTTTTTTCAAAGACGACTTTCCGCTTCTCTTGCGGACTTTTTTCTTTTGCTATTTTTTTTTTCTGCGACATTAGCATTGTGAGATATTGTTTTTCTTAACGCATAAATTTTTGTAGAAGAACTTTTACATTAGAATCGTAAAAGAGAGCTTTAATATTGTTACATATATAGTAAGACTCGGTGTACGCTCTTTCGAATTTAAGGCGCAAAACTGTGCAGTGTTTGCTTCTCTGAAATTGACGTGTCCAGCGTCGAAGGTGACATAAGATTCAACAAACGTCGAATTTTTACATCAACAACAGCAACAAGATTTTGTTCGTGATTGACGAACTCGCCACGCTTCTCTCTCGGTATGTCGAAAATACAGTTCGGTTTGTCGGAAACATTTTCGAGAAGATGAAACATTGCTTGAATGACTTCAACTCCAAAGCGATTTCCGATATCGACGCGCTATCTCTTCATTACCGCCACGGTTCCGTCTCGTCGAACATTCGATCTATGTTATCTTGCAGCATCTTCTCTTGTTCTGCATAAAAAACAATTTTTTTATTTTTGAAAATTTATTTGTTATTTATTTGTTATTGTTTTAAAAAAAAAGGATATAAAAGTGATCACCTTTCGTTAAATTCGCTATGGTGCATTGTTTTCGTAGGAACTCTGTGCATAAAGTTCGCGACAGGCCGAAAGCATGCATGTTGCACGTAAAAGTCCTGGAAGAAATTATCAAACGATAAATATATACGAATAAAAAACACAACCGTATTTAATTAGATAACAATTAATATTTATACCCTAATTGTCCGAAGACGATATTTGCTTGGAACTTTCGATCCTCGGTGGCGATGCTTTCCTGATCCAAGGATTTCGGTCGCGGAGGCACCGGTCTCGACGCTCGCTCGCACTGAACCGCGTCGAAAAAAGCAGCCGTCCAAAATCGCATGGACGTCCATATCGGCTGAACACGCAAATGCGTATAGAGGTATTCGCGATAAGGCTCTAATCCCGGAACCTCGACTAAAAAATATTTAAACAAATATATATGAGCCCATAGCTGCGCTAAATCTCGTTAGCTGTGACACAGTTGATAAATTTTTTTTTCATTAAAGCTCGTTACCTTCGTGGTAGAAAGTGAAGCACATGTTCATGAGGCTTTTAGCGGGCGCGAAGTCGTCCGCCTCGTGACATTCGAATAACGCGACCGCGAAGTGTTGCGCTAACGAATAAAACGAAGCTTCCGAGACACACGCGCGCGCCCTTCTCGCGTTCACCACTCTGGAGAACCATATTCTTCCCGATTCTGTCTGCAATCGCATCGAAAGAATCGTTAAAAATCGGTCTCGCAAACGTTTTCTCAATGTTTTAGCACCTTAAACTTATAACGTTCAATGAATATTTAAATACATTTTTTTTTTATGTATTATTTATGCGCTTTTGGAAGATCTGTTTGATGCGTACTAGAACCATTTGTCCGAAATTAGCCTTCTGCTCTTGATCGATACTGTTAGGCGCGTCGAAAAGCAGAGGAACGAAGGCCTTCATGAACTCAGCGGCCGCTTCTTCCGACTGGCTGTCGGCCGACAAACTCGAAGCCCATGACTGAACGGAACACGACGATCCTGGAAAAAAAACAAAATTTTGTTTTACTTTTTAGCATTTTCTTCGTCAAATTGTCAGTGAAAAATGGCGTTAAGTGACACGGATATAAAAACCAAACCACGTTACCCGATCTCTGCCACATTCTGCGACCGTCCATGTTCGAATCCAAACTGGTGCTGGGCCCGTATCCGTCCTGATCGCTTGTGGAATCGCTACTACAGGGCATGTCTACAATAAGACGCGAAACTTTAGTCGCGGGCATTCGTTGAAACGTAAATTGTGATCAAGCTGATTAATGCTTCGCGCTCGCAAAGGCGACACTCAAACTTGCAGTCGAATCTAATCTAAACGACTTATTGTATACATGTACAGAAAATAAAAAACGACAAAGGACGAGTTTGTACTATACTACGCACCAAAGTGTTTTAGCCGCTCTTGCGTATACAATTGCAACGCTACGATATTTACAACTAATTCCGCGGGAATAATCGGAGATACAGAAATACAGAAATTATATATATATATATATATATATCTACATATAATATATATAAAATTGCTAGTTACAAGCGTTACTTTTTCCATGTTTTACCTCGTAATCAGCNTGTAAAATATATTATATTTTACATATATACATATATATACATGTAAATATATGTATATTTCAAATTACTATTTTCCCGGGGAAAAAAAGTTCTTCGTATAAAGACAAATTCTATATCTGATATAGTTACATGTAAATCACAAAATTGAGACGATCTCATTGTGTATTTGATCATTACCGGATACAGAATTTGTTCACATGTGGAGAACTTTTTTTTCCCTTTTGTTATATAAAAAATTTTATCAACTTTGTCTCCGGTATTGTTTCTCTTGTTTAATGTGTTAGATTTTAATATATTATTTTATATGAAGTGAATGTGTGTGTGTGTGTATTAAAGTGAATGTTATGATGATGTCTAGAGTTACCTGTGGTAACTTGACGATGTAAATTTCGCAGATGTTTACGTGAAGGTGAAAAACATTTCTCGAGTGAAATATGACAACGCACTTATTGTTTGTGCAAATTCCTATCATTATTGCGCGCGTAATAGTAACGTTAACTACTATCTCCGTATTATGTACGTTCTTGTCAATTATGTGATAAATTGCGCAACATTACGGAAACAGCGGACACAATGGCGCCCGGCATTTATATGATGATAAAAAGTGTGTGCGCGCGCGTTGAACTATTACTGTATTTGTGTCACGCGAAGAAAAGTGTGTGGCGCAACTTCTTTCCACCTACGTGTGACAAAAAACAACTGAAAGGAAGAACCTTCGTCGGGGAGGTTAATACACATTGGATGCAATCGAAGTGCACAGGCGAATCGCGTGATCATATATATGAGGCACACATACACACACAAGTATAACAACATCTTATTGCCAACAATATCTGGATGCAACAATATCTGGCAAGAAACTACTGGTAGTGTTCCGGCGTGTGTTCGAATATATAAGTGTGTCGAAGAGGGAGCGTGTTGTCACAAACTGTCTGTTGTATTGTCAGTCGATTGTCGTGAATACGGAATAAATTTATTTGCAATAATTGTTTTTTTTTTTAATTGTTTTTTCTTTCTCTTTTGTGTCTCGGTAGCATGTGGTAAAATCATCGAGGTGACCTGAATTCTGACTTATTCAAGATCGCTCGAGAGAGAGAGAGAAAGAGAGAGAGAAAGAGAGAGACTCCTTTTCTCCGTGGAGTGCTTCGTAAAATGTTCAAAATCAATATTTACAGGTCAAACAGCCGCGAGAGCTTGTCAGTATCGACCCACGAGAATATTCGAACATCGGGTTGCTCGGGGCAAATCGATTGTTCTAGTTCGCTAATCACATTCAATATGACGAAGGAATCTGGATCGGAAATTCGAGCGTGTGATGAAGGAAAATGCTTTATGCGATGGTGATCAAAGTATCGAGACTTTTTACATATAATTGGTAATTAATTTCGCAATTAGAATTGCCGAGATAATTGGAATTGCACGAGGATCATGAATATTTTATCAGATTTTCCAGAATCACGAGTAATATTTTCTCTGAAAACTACCGTTTGAAGTAGCTGATAAATCGGCGCACAATTAATTATTGAAATTTATTTATTTTTCATTTGTTTGTAGATATTATAAAATATAAACATGGATGTTTATTTTTACTTTTTAAGCAGAGACTATTAACACAGTAGTTTAGTAATTGGCGCTTTATTGGTGTATATTAAAAAACTGCGGTGAAGTATCGATACTTTAAGGTGAAGTATAATCTCTACGTGTAGGGGACTGAAGAGACTCGTGAGAGATCACAGGGGGCAGTCTGCACACACTGACTGACTGTGTTTGCATTTACCTAAACGGAAAACAACCGTCTGATAGCGGGTCGGCGCCCTCGCTTCGTGAAAAAAAAGAAGAGCACATCATTATTTCCATTTCGAGTTCTCAGATAGAGCTGTGTGTGTGTGATCGCGACAACCGCGCGAGAGAGAGATAAACGCGCAGCTGACGACGTCGAGGATGAAGTAAGTCTCGCACTGAGAGAGACTCTCTCCGATTCTCGTTTTCGTCGCTCGCCGCGCGAGTTAATTGGACGCGCGGTCTAATTACCTGCTTTGTAATTCAACTTCTCGTAAGGATCGGGCCCGGTCGCTTTGATGTCCTGCTCTTGAAGGGGCTCTATACTTTCCTGACTGTCCCGATCGGGACTGATGTCGTCCTGCTCCGTGCGGCTCTCCTGTTTCTTGCTCGAGGCCGATCTCGACGAGGCTATCTCCTCGTAGGTCATACCGGGCGGATACTTGCGCGACCGCGACATATTGGCGCTTCCCTGTCGCTCCAATTTGTGCCGCGCCATCGCCTCGTAATCTTCGTACGACAATCCCGCGCCGAATCTGCGAACGAGAGATATCTCGTGTCGTGATATTCGTGAGAAACAAATATCACGACTTCTATCTATTTCGTGGCGCGCGCGCGTGCGAGCCACGTTACGATATACGCTCGATAAACATGCTAATCGCTTGCTAACGGGTTGTGCGTGTAATTAGAATTTATATTGCGAGAAACTTCTGTTTGCGATAAAAACCGCTGTGACACGTACTTTTATACAGTAGCTTGTGTGTAATAATTTAATTTATATATACACAGAGTACAACGTACATATATCACATCGCAATGCCTGAAGACACGTTTGCATGTGTCCTTTATGTAATTGGAGAAACGTTTCGGGATAACAAAAACGCTTACCTGGGAAGTCGGAGTTTCCGTCGTCCTAATTGCTCCTCCGGCTTAACGGCCTGAGGTGGAGCCTGCGGTGACGACGGTGGCGTAGAAGGGGTTGTGGTCAGCTCGCTTTCCTCTAAGCTACTACTAAGAGCGGATCCTATTCTGTTTCCTAGGCCCTGAAGGTACTCGCCGCTCTCGCCCAAAGCGGATCGTACCGACCTGAGAGCACCTCTGGTACGTCCAATTAACGAACCTCCCCCATTGGTCGGCAAAGCCGTCGTGACGTCTACCATATTCTGCAACGAGCAATGTAGATATTATTCTATTTATCTCTGCGTTACACAAGCATCTCGTTGTTATACAAGAACCGTTGCTGTTCATCAGCGCACGGAGGAGTGCCTTTCTGGCTCGATAACGAGTTATTTGTTTCAGCCATCAATTGCCTATCATATAATCCACATCCGATAAATATGCAAGGAAATATGTAAATGCGAACTGAAATTAATGATTGAAAATTAGAATGTGTTAGTTACGCGCGACACAGCTGGCGGAGATCAACAGGTAATATGTAATTTGATAATTTATCTGTCACGTATTTGCAATTTTAATTGAAACAAGTGTTTTGTGACGCAAACAAAATTGAATCTGAGATCTCTCTCAGAAGTCTTCGATGTTTTCGCACGCGCCGTAGTATTTGCTTTATCGAACTTATATTCATCGTTATATCATCTCGCAAATATTGCGCTGTTTCAAGCAATTAATAAAAATTCACTATAAAGTAAAACTGATTTCTCTGCGTATATAAATTTGAGCGTATAAATTTGACAAATGGGCGAGTTTAACGAATAAACTTTTAAACGATATTCTAAAAGCTTTTTAATCAGAGCTGCAAGCGAGTTTTTTAAACACCGTATCAAAGTCAGTAACAACACACAAAACAAACGCACGCGGCACGAAAACGAATTGAATTTTCGCTTCGAACAGCACACAGCGCGGTGAAAAGAAATCTCAACAATCTGATTTCGCTCCCGAGACCTCGTTTGACTGCGAAAGGGCTTCACCGAGAAAATCGGCTCGGCGCCGATTTCTCGTAGTTTCGCGGCGAGGCGAATTTGCTTGAAAACTCGCGACCTACCTCGCCGATCGTAGGCTCAATGTCGCTCCTGCGAACAAACGAGTACGGCTGAAAGTAATCTGAGATAAGAGACACTCTCATTTTCAATGTATATAGGCCACCTACAACCACCCACGCGCGCCTATGCGCACCTGTGCGTAAAGCGATAACACGATGTGAAACGCGGTGAAAAGCGGAAGGTAATTGAAAGAAAGAAATCGACTGGAAGTGATATTGATATTTCTGCTGGTTATGTAATTTGAAATCGCTTCGATTTGCGGTCGAAGAGAAAAACAAACAAAATGTGCACATTGTTTGAAAAAGCGATAAACATCGTGGGTGTGCGAGGGAAAAAGTAGTGAATTGCACATTGCGTTGTGATAATAATTAATATAACTATAATATATAACTATAATAATTAATATCTATAATAGAAACGCAAAGGATGTCATTAAATATAACAATATACAATGGCGTGTATTTTTAATGAGAAAGAAACGCTCTTTATGTTTTCTACATGTTTAAAAAGAATTTACGTCAATCAAGACGCGACTTATCGATCGATTCATCGGCGACGTAATTGCAATAAGCATCTTGACTGTGCGTTTTTTTTGTTTTTACGCTCGTTCATTCAATTATCATCGTATTACACAGCTTGCGATCTTTTGCATTCGAATTTCTCACTTCAAAAAAAAGCGCGACGGAGAAAGGACATTTATATGTCGTGTTCTACTTTTTTTTTTTTTTTCGTTGACGTAGAGTTTCTTTCAAACGCTTTATTTGACGCCCCCGGAATTTTGCGCAAGAAAAGCAGCGTCACGAGTGCGACATTAAACTTTGAAATAATAATCTCTCTCTCTCTTTCTCTCTCTTTGTGTGTGTGTGTGTACGCAAAATTACCTCGTGTACTTCAGTCTGTTTGAATTAAATATTGTAACACGCTACTCCAGATTTTTTTTATGTTTAAATATTCACGTAGAAAAAAATCGCAATACGTAAAGGAAGTAACAAAAAATAAATAGGCGATTTATCGAATACGGATATTGTGCGACGCACATACGTGGTCGACTGGGTGTGTGTGTGTTACAGATTGCAGAGAAACTTCTGCTATTGTGGAACTAAAAACTGTATGGTGTTGACCGCAGAAGATAAAAAAAATCTGACGGATATCCTTTCGAGCGTGCTGGTTTTAATTACACAACCGCATGTGAGTATTTTTTTTATAAAAAAAAAAACTTACTTTTGCTTTATTTTGCAAAGATTCTTTTTGATTTTTAATTTATACACAACATTAATATGTAATTAATCACAGTAACTTACACGTTAAAAAAGAAGCGCTCACAAGATATCGATCGAAATATCACCTGAAACTGTACTCTTGAATATCGAACGTGTGACATTTATGTGCGTGTTTTGTATCGCCATTGCGCGGGAGGATGCGCAAGCGGTGCGATTATAAGAGAAATTCACAATAAGGTTTCTACGAACGTTGTCGTGCGAAACTGCCGAAGCGGAGCTCTCATCGCGATGTCTAAAGATAGATCATCGATTAGGTCCACATGTCTATGGCAAAGTTTGACGGCGCGGCAACAATTTTCGATGTGGGTGGGAATTAGCGTGGGAGGCGGGAAGGCGCATAACATCTCGTGAAAATCGTGTCAAGGATCGTTTGCATCTCGGATGCAATCGAGATTCGAATACGTTAATCAGCTCAGAGGTAGTAAAGACTGTAAATCAATTATTCGCGAAAAAACGTTACGCAAGCGATTTCGTCACTTCGGAAGTCGCGAAATGCGCGCGCGTACGTGCACTGCAATCGCTATCGTTTTTATTTAGGTTCAACGACCCAATAGGAACAATAAACGACTGGTAAACAATAAAAAAACAATGAGAAATTCATCGTGTCACGCGGATTATGCGGGAAACTGTCGCGATGTCGCGCGGGCGTATGTGGGCGATTGTGTTACGCGGTGGAACACAACTGCATTGCAGCCGTTATCTATATTATGCAGTTTCGCGCTATGCGGGAAACGCGTGCTCGTTCGCGTGCGGACATTTCTGAGTGTGTTTGCGGCGCACGAGGGAGAAAGTGACACGAGAGAAACAAACGACTTGCAGTTTGCAATATAGTATATTTCGGAAGCGGAAGCTCTGTGACGTCACGAAATAAATAGAAACGTATATTGACGTTTATATATTCACAAAGCAAAAAAAGAAATACAATAAAACCGAGAAAGAAAATAAGAAAGACCTAAAAAACTAAAGTCAATAAAAATGTACGAGAAACTTTTTTTTTGAACCGATTATAAATATCTTTCACCGACAGTGTATTATTGGCAACACGGGCAATTGCCATAAAAAAAAACGCGGTATGTGTCGAGAGCGAGACAGCGAGAATGCGGTTTTTTAAAGAATAAAAAGCAGTGCGAGACACAATATTGCACTCGATATAACAAACGACATCTCGTCGCTGTCCAGTCGAGGCGTCATTATGAGCGCGCGACACACATGATTTAAATGCATTCAAACCGGAAAAAAAAATGTCAAGCGCAAAGAAACGTCGCAAAGTAATCAACTTACGAGTCGAGTCGCCGTGTGATTGCATTTGCGAAACTCAAGTTTGCCACGTAATTAGTGACAATATCATAGAAATGAATGAGATACCATCGAAATTAATTAGATTTATGTCTGCGTCTGTCGTGATTGTAAGTCTGTTTTAAATTATCGTCCGAATCTCTCTCACATTTTACGACATATGTTTCGCTCGTCGAATAAGTCTGATATTAAAAAAAAAAAAACTATCCCGCAAGTAGATTGAAAATTTTAATTAACACTTCTTCAAAACAAAATTCAATGACACTACTGTATCCAAATATAAACATTGTAAAATGAAGAGCATTGGCGCGTTACAAAAATACTCCGAGAAACAGACAAACTGGAGTCGAATATAACTCTCTCGAGAACGAGATGTGCAGCTGTCAAAACATACGTTTGTTATCGTCCTCGGTAAACTGTTTTTCGGATCACATTTATATAACAAAATTTATTAATTCCGCGATAAAAAAAAAAAAAAACAACCGCGAGATAACGAATAACGTGTACGCGCAGATAATAATTATTTTAATTATCGCAAACGTATATAAAAAACATAATGAAAAAAATGCAGATACATAAAACGATGACACGAGTGGGATTGCAGGCGCAACGTGCGGCTTTCGCGAATCGAATTTCGGTGTATTTTTTTTTATGTCAGATCTGCACTTACCGTGCAGGGATGAAGACTAGAATTTGGAGGGCGATCACTGTCACCCTCGCCGAACGTTCGTGGACACGTGCGACAGTGCTCTTGACATACTACTATGGACTTGCATTATCACGAGCCTTGCAGCTGCCTCAGGGACTATTCGCTCGTATCGTTGCATCGCCCCACCACCTTGCACGATCGGATTAATAAACGCGCATGCGTTTATTGCGATCAATACGAGGTCTCGATTTACCGGCCTGTTGATTAATTCCCGGTCGTGACAAAATTCGCCATCCCGCGCGCGCATACTGGCGGTCGGTATTATGCCAGCCAACAATACATTACGTCGCCAAATTCAATTGTTCAATACCTATGTGAAAATTAAACGACAAAAATTACGAAAATGTGGAATTCAATAAAACACAATGCTTTTGAAATTAATTTTTATTACAAATCCAAGTTAAGCAATTATGTTTTTAATTTAAACAATTATAAGTAATACACAACGTGATTGTTTCATTCTACACTTTTGAGAGATTTTCACCTATACAATCTCAAAATTTTGTAAACCTTGATGCAACGACAGATGGGAATTCTTACAAGAGTAATACTAATTAAGAGCTTATCATTTTTTTTTTTTCTTTAAGAGTTGGTATCGTTCTATGCAACTGAACCAAAGTCTTGTAGATCTTGTAGTGCGATTCGCTGTCCACCTACTCGTTCGCCAAATTCTCTGCTCATCTCTTTCTCTCTTTTAATTAAATATTATTTACGTAATAAAAAAAAACAGGAAAGTGAATATAGAAAAAGCAAGTGAGTTTTTATATTTGCTTTATTTTACTACTGTAGAAGTCATATAGAATGTACTTGATAATGGAAGCGTAGGTTTTATATTAACCTATTTTCAAGATTACGTTTATCATATATTTTCTTGTATTCTAAGAAAAAAATTACAATTTATACATACAACCTCCATCTATATTTAATAAAAAATTTCTAGTAATAGCTATTGCTTATGTAAAACTGATTGATCAAAATTTTTCATATTTTTCTTGCTCTGACAACAGAATCCTCAAAAAGCGAAATTATTCCCATCGAAAACAAGCATATCATGAAAAGAGTACTGGAAATGTTAAGACTATAGCAGCTTTCGCAGGCAGATATATCTCGTTCGAGAAAACCAGCGATCTGTAATACAAAATATTAGATTATAGATTACTTGCGTTGTAGACTTATCGTAATGTCAAAAAACAAAACATTCTGCCATTAATTCAACATTTATACATAAATAGTTTAGTGAAATTAATATTTTGAAAACATACCCTTCTTTCACACCGGAATTCAAACTGGCAACCTTTACTTTAAACACAGCCGGAAGCTTTTCGCTCGATAAATTTACGGTTTGGTTCTTCTGGTCACTGAAATTGATCAAAAGCAGCACGTAGCGCAAACCATAGTTTCGAATAATGACAAGAACGCTGTCATCATTCGTTGTAATCGATCGGTAGCTTCCTTCCCTAAGAGCTGGTTCCGTTCTATGCAACTGAGTCAAAGTCGTGTAGATCTTGTAGTGCGACTCGCTGGCCGCCTTTTCGTTTGCCAAATTCAATTCCTTNTAATTTTNATTCACCGGCAGCCACGTCGAGTTGGCCGTGCTGAAACCTGCAGTAAAGAACAAGGGCGATCGATAATGACGATCGATTTTAAAATGTCAGCAGAAATATATATTAATCACGTATTTCTTATTTTTGTATTAGAAATATATTATAAGTGTTTTCATAAAAAATTAAATAAGAAAAATCTTGTACCTGCGTTTTTCGTCGCGTCCCATTGGAACGGCGTGCGTTCGGGATCGCGAGATATAGTCGCGTACGAAGCTTTGCCGGCGAGACACGCCTGAGGATCTTGCGTGTTTTCCCAGGTAATGTCTCTCTTGTCTACCATGCCGATTTCGTCACCGTTGTACGTCACCGCCATGCCTGGCAAGATCATGGACAACATGGTCATCTGATCCGATCTGCCAGGAAAACGAGAAGCTACGCGCGGATTGTCATGATTTCCTAACTGGAACGGTCATAAGTAAAAACCATTTAATTGCAATATATTAATTATATTAGTGTATAATATATGTATAATTTTGTATGACGCATGTTCTCTTATATCGGCAATAATTTTTATTTAGAAGAAGGGATTTTGATAAGTACGTACCACCCAATTAGCGACTTCGCCATCCGGCATTGCGTTCATCCAGAGATCTATTTCATATTTGTAATCCAGAGCGGATGACTCATTAGTTATATTTCGAATAAACTCGAAATTGAAGGGCAAGACATCGTATTTGTAAAACTCTATTGCCTTTTCCAAACTGGTATACGCCTCTATTATTATTAACTGAAAAAAGACAAAACATTTTACGTCGTGTAGAAAAATCAAGTTTTAGAATAAAAAAAGTAAAATGAATTTTATTTGAAGAAAGAAAAGGTTTTACCTTCTGATCCTCATTGCGTTCATCAGCGTACTGGTCTACGTATTGCCGCCATGTTCCGAATAACTCGTAATTACGTTGGTCATTAAAAGTATAAACGTGGTCTAGATATGTGTAATCGTACGGTGTAGCGTCTTGTGCGTAGGACCTAGGCTCATCCCTCAATTGTGAATCTTCGAAAATGAACCCGGCGGAATCGACACGGAATCCGTCAACACCCAAGTCCAACCAGTATTTCAAAACATTCTATAACAAAATACAAGAAATTCCAATACAAAAAGCACGAACCTACCGTTATTAAGTTGTAAAAAAAACTTGGAAGAAAGAAAGAAAGATGATACAAATATTTTTCGAACTTACTAGCATTTCTTCTTTCACTTCGGGATTGACGTAGTTCAAATCAGGTTGTCTGTATTCGAATTGATGAAGATACCATTGTTTCAGTGACTCGACGTATGTCCACGCTGGGCCATTGAAAACACTGATCCAATTGTTGGGTGGCGTTACACCGTCGTTGTTTGTACCGTTTGCCCACACAAAATAGTTCTTGTACTTCTCGTCACCTTGAAGAGCCTTTTGGAACCAGACGTGTTTGTCGGATGTGTGATTCGGCACAACATCTAAGACTACCTACAAAAATAAGTGGAATTGGTTTTTTTTTTTTTTTTTAATATGTTAAAATACTATGGTAAATTATTAAATGATATCATACTCTTAGACCAAGTTCCTTAGCACGCGCCAAAAGTGTCTTGAAGTCGCTTAGAGAGCCGTAAATTGGATCGATTTCGGTGAAGTTGGAGATATCGTATCCGAAGTCGACCATGGGACTTGTGTATATAGGTGATAGCCAGATCGCATCGATACCACTTTCCACGAAATACGGCAATTTGGATGTTATTCCTAACAACACACGGAGAAATCAAAATTTTATAAATTGATATTTTCGTACTAGGTAACAGTTTCTTGTATATAATTATAGTTATTTTTCTTTATCAGAAAAATATTTACCCGGTAAATCTCCTACACCATCGGCGTTCGAATCGAGCAAGCTTCTGGGATAAACCTGATAGAAAACTGTGTTTTTCCACCAGGCCTTGTTGTAAATTGCGGCAAGAGAACTTCCGCTCACAAGGAGCAGAAGTGCGCACAACGTGAACGACAACATGATACCGTTTGCATTTGGACAGATTCAAAAGTGTTTATATACTAAAGTAGAAGTCGCAAAATCAGTTGTTATGACGTATTTGCCTGTGTTATATACGTATAATAAATCATTATTTCATTAAAATAAACAATAAATCATAATTATGTAGCATGACAGTCATAACAGTGAAATTACTTAAAGAATTTTTCTATTATTGAGACAAAAATAGTAACACAAGTCAGTAGCTGTCAAAGCTGCATAGACTGTAAAAGATCATCGCTATAACAAATAAGTAATGTATTTTTGATTGACAAATAGTGACGTTTTTTTTTTTAATTAACATGCACACATAAAGTGTTCACTAATAACACATAAATAATGATCTAATGTTGCTTAAGCATGACATATTTCTATTAATTAATTTTTCTAGGAAAGAGATATTCTACCATTGTAAATTAAGTATTTCCTGTAAAAACATATGTAAAAAATATATGTAAAAATTACGTATGTATTACGTTACGTATGTATTACGTTACGTATGTAAAAATAGTCATGCGTTTCAAACAAATTAATTGATAAATTGAATTTTGCATTGATAAATTAATTAAATTAATTTTTATTTAAAATATTTTGTTATGACATGTTGTTTATAAAAGTAAAACATTTCTGATAACAATAAAAAAATAGAATAACTTAAAAAGTCTAAATAAAATATTATGAAAAATGTTAAACTCTTTGAATTTATAATATATTTACAAAATATATCAAAAATATGCGAAATAAATATTAAAATATGTATAATAAATTTCGAATATAATCGTATATTAAGCACATTTACATTTTAATATTGAAGTTAATACAAAAAAATTTATTTCTAAACTTTTTATTTTTATAAATTTTTATTTTCTTTTTCTGTTTTGAGCAAAATTTCTACATAGATTATAATAAGTATAATATTTAAAAGTTGTAAAGTTTTTAAAGGTACTTTTATATTTAATTGAAACAAAAGTCTGAAGAATTATATTTACTTCTGAAAATATAGGATATATCCGCTCAGACTAAGACGTTCGCCGTAGTTGTCTAATGACAACTATAATATAATTTGCTCGACAAAAACTGTTGCTGCGATCTGCCATCAGACATTATCCGTCGGCTCTGAATGATATGTTTGCTATGATCTACTAGTGAGTATACGCGCTCGGCAATTCTCATATCTGATTTTCCACAACATAATAATAATATACAATTTAAAATAATTGAAGTCTATAGAATTGGACGCAGAGTCAAACAATTAATAACTAAGTTCAATCATATGTTGCGCAATCACTCAATAGTTTACGACCGAACAGAAAGTACTAGCTACAATGTTATTTTTAAATAAGTACCGGTATACGGAGTACTTAGCTGCGTTGCGTTCAGTATATTTTAAAAATTAAAAAGCTTTTATGAAGGTAAATTATAAAAAGTGGAAGACTTTATTTATTTCTTTCTTTCTTACAATTAATAATATTTAAGAAATAATAAAAACAGGAAAGTAAACATAGAAAAAGCAAGTGAGTTTTTATATTTATTTCATTTTATTATTGAAGTCTTATAAAATTTACTTGATATAATAAAAGAGTAGGTTTTATATTACATTTACAAGATTACCTTTCTTTATCGTTTATTGGTCTTTATTACAGGAAAAAGATTACAATTTATGTACGCAAGGCAGTCTTTTAAAAACTTTGTTGGTGCTTTCAGGATAGCTACTGCCTGTGTAAAAATGTTTGAAATTGTTACATGATTTTTTTGCTTTTACATCAAGATATTCAAAAAGCGAAGTTATTTCCATCGTGATCGATTGTGAAAAATTGCATATTGGCATATTAAAATGGTATTCATGAAGAAACGTAGACTACGGCAGCTTTCGCAGGCAGAGATATCTTCTTCGAGTCAACCAGCGTTCTACGAAATATAAAAAATAAACAATTTATTACGTCATCAATTTCTCTTGTTGCTAGCAAACAAAATTTCTTTGAGTACTTTAGAAAGATAAGATTTTAAAAACGTACCCTGCTTTCACACCGGAATCCAAGCTGGCAACTTTCACCGTAAGTAGAGCTGGAAGTCCTTTATTTGATAAATCTACGATTTGGTCCTCGTCGTCCTTGAAATTGATTAGAAGCAGCACGAAGCGCGAAGCAGAGTTTCGAATGATACCGAGAACATTGTCATTATTCGTTGTAATCGATCGGTAGCTTCCTTCCCTAAGAGCTGGTTCCGTTCTATGCAACTGAGTCAAAGTCGTGTAGATCTTGTAGTGCGACTCGCTGGCCGCCTTTTCGTTTGCCAAATTCAATTCCTTNTAATTTTTATTCACCGGCAGCCACGTCGAGTTGGCCGTGCTGAAACCTGCAGTAAAGAACAAGGGCGATCGATAATGACGATCGATTTNAAAATGTCAGCAGAAATATATATTAATCACGTATTTCTTATTTTTATATTAGAAATATATTATAAGTGTTTTCATAAAAAATCAAATAAGAAAAATCTCGTACCTGCGTTTTTTGTCGCGTCCCATTGGAACGGCGTGCGTTCGGGATCGCGAGATACAGTCGCGTACGAAGCTTTGCCGGCGATACACGCCTGAGGATCTTGCGTGTTTTCCCAGGTAATGTCTCTCTTGTCTACCATGCCGATTTCGTCACCGTTGTACGTCACCGCCATGCCTGGCAAGATCATGGACAACATGGTCATCTGATCCGATCTGCCAGGATAACGAGAAGCCACGCGCGGATTGTCGTGATTTCCTAACTAGAAGAGTCATAAGTAAAAACTATTTAATTGCAATACATTAATTATATATTGTTGCATAATAAGTACTTTTGTGTGACGTATTTCATTTTTTTGATTATACAAATCGTTACTGAAGTACTTTCTGTCTGAATACGTACCACCCAATTAGCGACTTCGCCAACCGGCAATGAATTCATCCAGAGATCTATTTCGTGCTTGTAGTCTAACGCAGACGAGTGGCTAGTTACATTTATGATAAATTCGAAATTGAAGGGCAGAACACCATACTCATAAAACTTCATGGTGTTGTCGAAACTGGCATACGCCTCCATCACTAGCAACTGAAAACAGAATATTTACATGCTTACGTTGCGCGGAAGAGACAATTTGACTAGAAAACAAAACGAAATAAACTGTTCAAAGTGTAAGTTTAGCACCTTCTGATCCTGATCGTGTTCGGCAGAATACTGATCCAAGTATTGTCGCCACGTTCTGTACAATTCGTAAGTAAGAGGCTGATTTTCAGTGTGAATGTGGTTCAGATATGCGTAATTGCTGGGTGTAACGCCCGGCGCGTAGGATCTAGGGTCGTCTCTCAATTCTGAGTCTTCATAAAGGAATATGGCGGAATCGACGCGAAATCCGTCGATACCCAAGTCCAACCAGAATTTCAAGACATTCTATGATCAAATACAAGAAAAGATTGACACACATGTAAAAAGCTGGGAATTATTTTAATTATCAGTAACAGGATATGAAGGTTGTAGAAATATTCTCATTGCTTACTATTAATTCTTTCCTCACGTCAGGATTGTAGTAATTCAAGTCAGGCTGCCTATATTCGAATGCATGAAAATACCATTGTTTCAGTGACGCGACGTATTTCCACGCGGAACCACCGAACACACTGAGCCAATTGTTGGGTGGCGTAATGCCGTCGTTGTTTTTACCATTTGCCCACACGTAATAGTTCTTGTACTTCTTGTCACCTTGAAGAGCCTTTTGGAACCAGATGTGTTTGTCGGATGTGTGATTCGGCACAAGATCCAGGACCACCTGCAAAATTAAATATTAAAAAAGAAAAAGAAATAATTGACAGCGATGTAATTTGTTTTTTTAAATATATTGAGAAATTACTAAATAATATCATACTTTTAGACCAAGTTCCTTAGCACGCGCCAAAAGTGCCTTGAAGTCGTTTAGAGTACCGTAAATTGGATCGATTGCGGTGAAGTTGGAGATGTCGTATCCGAAGTCGACCATGGGACTTGTGTATATAGGTGATAGCCAGATCGCATCGATACCACTTTCCACGAAATACGGCAATTTGGATGTTATTCCTGGCAACACACGAAAAAATAAAATTTTATAGATTGACATTTTTGTACTATGTAAGTTTTTCTTACGATGTATGTAAGAAAAAGACTCACCCGGTAAATCGCCTACGCCATCGGCGTTCGTATCGAGCAAGCTTCTGGGATAAACCTGATAGAAAACTGTATTGTTCCACCAGGCCTTGTTGTGAATTGCGGCAAGAGAACCGCTCACAAGGAGCAAAAGTGCGCACAACGTGAACGACAACATAATGCGGTTTGCATTTGCATAGATTCAAAGGTGTTTATATACAGAAAATTAATTGTTATCGCACGATACTTGCATCTTAATCAAGTGTAATAAACATTATGTTATCTTAATACTACGAAAAACGGAAGCAAACAACAAAGGTGTCGTGGAAATGAAATGAAAAATTGAGCTGACTTATGACAAATAGATGAAAAACAGCTGAAGCAAAGTTTGAAGTAACGATAATGTGCGCACGTAGTATTTTTTGTATTATAATATTATTTATATTATATTTATTTATATTATAATATTATTTTTCAGTGTAAATCCGGTTAAGAGATCTCTCTGAAAGAAATTAATCCACGATCCTGAGATCTATGAAAATTTTTCTCATTGACGGCATATTAAATTGATAACGTTTCGATAAAAAAATCATTACAGTTCTTTGTACAGATATAAAGTGTTTTTATTTTGACAATGTACAACTAACAATGTCTGCGTAAAAAAAATAAGTTTCTTCTCTTTAAAGAAAATAAGTTTCTAGGGATTGTGCTTGACGTAGTTTGCGTTGTTATCGTGAAATAATTATTTTTCGCATGTGGAAGTGTGTTATACGTGAGTTTCAAGTAAACAATCTAACGGATTTCTGCGATTATGCGGAATAATAAATTAAGACTTAGTCAACTCGCGACATACGATTTGCCTCAGTTAATTAGCGTGTAGTGTCATTTGTAATGTTAAAGTCAGTATAAGCAAAACAATAATTATAATATATAAAACTACAATAATTATATAAGATATTTTATTATGTAACAGAGAAAAAAAGAAAATCTCATTATGAGATTCTCTCATTATAATAGCAAAATTATTAGAATGTACATTTATTTTTTGACAATTGGTCATGTCGTATAAACTTGAGATATGTAAGTAAATTATATTACATAATATAAATATATTAAGAAATATATTCTTATATACACAATATATGTATACATTAATACTTTAAATGCTGCTGTAATTTACGTGACGAGAGTTAAATTATATATTCTTCAATAACGTACAGATTACGAAATGAGAACGAGAGCAGCTTTGGCAGGCAGATTCACTGCTTGCGTTTTTACAGTCGTTCTGAAATAAATATTTTTGTTATCATTGTTCCAGAATTAATTAACGTTACGAATTGCAACATATGTATAACGTCAGTCTTTTATATATTAAATTAGAAAATATTTTTGTTCTTACCCAGCTTTGACCGGAGAACCGATAGTGGCAACTCTAACCGTGAGTATGGACGGAAGTCCCTCGCCTGACAAATTGACCACTTGTGCGACTTTATCGTCGAAATTCATGAGGAGTATTACACTGTCCACACCGTAACGTCGAATCACCGTCAAGACTTTGTTGTTATTTTGTACCAAAGTTTTAAGCGTGCCACGTTGAAGCGCCAGTCTAGTTCGACGGAGTGTGGTTAAAGAAGTGTAGATTTTATAGTGCGATTCCTTGGCCGCCTTTTGATTTGCCAAGTTGAGTGTCTTGTAATTTTCATGCACCGGAAGCCACGTGCGATTGCCTTTATTAAAACCTTGGAAAATGAGAATAAAAAAAAAAAACTTGAAGTGATCAGGCTGCTCTTCAAACCCTGATGAAGTGAGCTGTAATGTTCACGAAACGTCGGTATAAAAATGACACTAACGCGGTTCAAACCCGAAAAAACATCTTTGTATGTTAATACTACACACCGCGAAAGCATCAAATATCAACTTGAAGTGAATTGATTATTTCTTACAGTATAAGTTAATTCATTATTTCTTGCGTTATGGGATAAGTTACCAGCGTTTATCGTGCCGTCCCACTGGAACGGTGTGCGATTAGGATCGCGCGATTGACTCTGATATTTGTCTTTGCCCGCGTTGCAAGCCTGAGGATCTTTCGTGTCCTCCCAGGATATGTCTCGTTTGTCCAGCATGCCGATTTCTTCGCCATTGTACGTGACCGCAACGCCAGGCAGTATCATTTCCAGCATCGTCATCTGATCTCCTCTTCCAGGATAACGAGACGCAGTTCGGCTGCGATCGTGATTTCCCATCTAGAAGATTATTGTCTCTCATTATCGATGTACACAATAATATCTCGTTATCTCATTTCATATCCGTTGTACATATATGACATAACGTGTCATTTGAATGCGAAAATGTTGTTTTTTTGCAAATTTTAGAATCTTTATTATATAATCTAATTGCGAAATCACGGAATCAAAAGATAAAAAATATACGTGACTAGTGAAAATGCCTTTAAAGATCTAAGCTATCGATCATCAAGATAAGTGCAATGACTGTAGATTTCGAGAGAGTTTTATCTAAGTCGTGTGATCGCTCTTGTTAAGTAAGTTTATTTATCAATAAGGCCAGTACAAGCTAAAATACTGGATGTTTATGTACAAAAACGTGATTTATTTAAATATTGCAGTCAAACGTTTCGATCGATACGATCTTCGTATCTTTTTCATTGAAACACGGTATCAGTTCTTCAAATATTCTCTACATTTGATGTGCAACCTATCATCTATATAATTGTCACTGAAAAAGATCCGATACAAGGATCGAAACGTTTGACTGCAATGTTTAAATAAACGTTAATTATGAATTTTTTAATTAACATATAAATGTGATTCTGCTTACCACCCAATTCGGGCTTCCATCGCTGGGTGTGTTAGCCATCCAGTCATCGATGATGCGTTTGAATTCCGTTGGCTTGGAGTTGTTGTTCACGTCGGTAATGAATTTGAAGTTGAAAGGCACTTGAGCACCAAATTTGTAATATTTCGTGGTGTTCGCCAAATTAGTGTAAGCCTCGGTCATCATTACCTGAGTTAAAGCACATTCGTCAAACGTATATCGTTTTGTTTCTCGATATCGTTAACTAAATAAAAAATTTTACAATGCACGTCGAAGAAAAATACAATGTACTTACTTTTTCGTCCTCATTGTGATAATCTGCATAATCATCCAGGACTTTTCGCCAGCTCGCAACCATATCGTACGTGCGCTGATCATCTTTCGTGTAAATGTGATCTAAATACGTGTAATCTCGTTCGGTGGCTCCTGGCGCGTAGCTTCTCGGTTCGTCCGGGAAGTTCGAATTTTCGAACAAGTGCGGAATGGCGTCCACGCGGAATCCGTCGATGCCTTTTCGCAGCCAGTACTTGATTACGTCCTGAAAAAAAAAAAAGTTAGATGAACCACCACTGTCGTTCAAGACGTTCATTTTTGTTACGATTCAGTCTTTGGTAATAAAAAAAAAATATTACGCACCTCCATTTCGTCTCTCACTTCAGGATTGCTGTAATTCAAGTCCGGTTGTCTGTAATCAAACTGATGGAAGTAACACTGATTGCGAACGGAATTGCTGCAATTCCAAGCTGAACCGCTGAACACGCTGATCCAGTTGTTGGGCGGTAATCTGTTATTATTTTTGCCGTTTTTCCATACGTAATAATCCTTGTACTTGCCCTCGCCGACGAGACTTTTTTGGAACCACTCGTGCTTGTCGGAAGTATGATTCGGGACCAGATCCAGAATCACCTTTGAAATATTCAGAGTGCGTTTTACATTTTCTTGAAGACAAAACAGAGGAAACAGACCGAAAGAGAAGAAAGAATATCTCTAGGAGTTTATTTTTTTTTTTTTTTTACCTTCACACCGAGTTTCTTCGCTTTAGCGATTAACTCTTCGAGATCTTGCATCGTGCCGAATCTTTTGTCGACGTCCTTAAAGTCCGATATGTCGTATCCGAAATCGACCATCGGGCTCGCGTAAATCGGCGACAGCCAGATTCCGCCTATTCCCGAGTCCACGAAATGTTGTAATTTCGAAGTTATTCCTAGTTGGGACAAAATATGAAAGAGAGAAGTATTGTAAAAACCGAAGTGTTTGTACAATACGCGAGGATTTTTCACACACCTGCAATTTTATCTCACGAACAAAAGAAAAGTCTATAGAAAAATGCCATTCTTCAGATACTCACCTTTCAAGTCGCCTACGCCATCGTTATCTGAATCCATGAAACTTCGCGGATAAACCTGATAGAACACGGTGTTTTTCCACCATCCTTTGTTCTTGATTACAGCGAATGTGTTGCTCGCAAGAAGCAGAACAATCCACGCACACGTCGCTCGCGACATGTTGGTGACTGATAATGTATATCGTAAGTTTAGATTACTTATATAGAAGATGCGTTATAAAAATGCACGATAAACTATCTTACAATACTGTCTGAAATTTGAAAAATCAGCGATATAAATCTGAGAATGCAATTTTTTATCGAGATAAGTGTTATTGATCAAAGAGATTGCGAAAACATTTATCTCCAACGTGTGTGTGTGTGTGTATGTGTGTGTTTGAAAAGAATTCATGTTATTGTAATTTGCGATTAAACATAAGTGCTCCGTGAATTTCATAGATTTATAATTGATTCTATCTCACGGTCGGAAAAACCGATTTATTTATCGATTCAGTTTACATATTCAGCTTCGTGTGTTTTGATAAGAAAATGTTAAAAAAGTAAATTTGTTCGAAGAGAATGTTTCAAAATAAAAAATTGTTTAAATAAATTTGTTTTGAAAAAAAATTGTATTTTTTCTTGATTCTTTTCCTTTTAACGAAGACAAGAAAAAAAAGAGCGAATTCTGCATTTACAATAAATCCAGAAAAATAGATTTTTTGCAAACAATAAGCAGAAAGCGCTGAACTCTGTTTAACGTGGCCAATATCAAGATCGCGAACTTTCGATGTGGTTACGATGCTTGCTATTCAAAATTCCCCCGTCGTGTTTGTCGGTACATTTCAGTATAAGCCTTCGTACATGTGAGTCGTGACTATTCACACTAGACACACAATTACAGGTAAAAAGCTTCTTTCTTTTTGTTCTCATGTATTTTATAATTTTTATTATATAGTTTTTTCGATACATATGTTGCAAATTTATTTTTTTTTTTTTAATATATATAGCTAACATTCACATAATATATATACAAGAGACTAGCACACATAAGAAATTAAATGTTAAATGTGTACAATTAAACTCTGAAATTGAATTGTGCTCGCTTTAAAAAAAAGAGAAAATATTTTCTAAAGAAGCGATAATTTCCGAGAGTGATTTTCCAAGTGGTAAAGATACGATAGAGATACGATAGTGATATAAAGTAAATGTTTGATTTTAATAGTGTGTGATTCCCCGAATATTTCGATTTAATTTGTGAATTCTGCTGATCTCTTTACATGTAACAAAAACGTGTTCAATAAAAAGTTTAAAAAAGTGTACTACTACTGCATAAAGATAATTTTTCTTTGAGTTTTAAGAACTGCGCGGATGGAATTGTAGGAAAAATATTGTTGACCTTGTGGACTGTATTATCTTCAATACTAGGTAGCTAATCTATGCGCTGATAATGAGAAAGCGAGAAAGAGATATGAAGAGAATATTTATTTACGTATTGTTTTTCATAACAATATTATGTGTTTTCAAGTGCAATATTAAATATTGTGTATGTTAAATTTCTTCCGAAAGTATAATACCCCTTTAAAAGCATCTGACAAATACTGCTTGCAGATATTATTACATAAAGCGAGAAGTTATTCACAGACTAGGCACAGCGTATTGTTCAACTTCTGTCTATTTTATATTTTATGTATGTATTTCATAATTTTACACTGTGCTAAATCCTAGACAATAAGTCTACTTCTGACAAAGTTTCGAAACCGTACTGAGGTTTACGACATGATCCTAATCTCTAGTTGCGTCAAGTTTCCAGATGAGCAAGTTCTTCTTGGTGAAGCTGCTCGCCGCGCTGTGTCTTGTAGATTATGTTGGACTGTTTATCGCGGTTGCAACTTCGTCGACATCAAACGATGACGATTATACGAATAACGTGCGATATAACAAAGAAAAACGAAAAAGACCTCACATTGTGATCATCCTCGCGGATGATATGGTGAGTAACTGCGCGGTGTATTTTCGTCTACACCTTTCAAAAAATTTACATCAAATGTGTTCTATATACAATATGTTTTTACATTTATATACAAACGTGTATAGAGAGTACAATATATACATTTTATATTTTATAATATAGATTTAATATATAAAATAACATATATAAAATATACGCCCACATACATTATTTTTATATCTCGTTTATATTATTTTATTATAATACAATAATTTTTTTTCTCTTTTCAACAATATCTGTTTATTTGTAACAATAAACTTGCGCAAACTGAAAGACGCAGAAAAAGTAGGCGGTCAAGCATCAAAGATCAAAGACATTTCGTTCTCGTCACATTTGTACGCGTGTCATGTTTTCAGGGTTGGAACGACGTAAGCTTTCATGGATCGAATCAGATTTTGACACCGAATATTGACGCGCTCGCGTACAACGGAGTCATTCTGAATCGTCATTACGTGTTACCGCTGGGCACGCAGAGCAGATCGTCTTTAATGACCGGAAAGTACGCGTTTCATTTGGGCATGCAACACGACGTTATTCATCCGTCGGAGCCACGTGGTCTTCCGTTGAGTGAAAAATTATTGCCACAGGTATGCTCAAAGTCCGTCTCAGCTGTTGCGCAATGCAAAATAACAAAAATCGTGAAAATTTTTACAACATCAAATTAACACACTTGTCTTAAAATCGAGATATCAGATCTGATATTTTGTTACAGTATTTGAAAGAAGTCGGTTACAAGACGCACATAGTAGGCAAGTGGCACTTGGGTTCGCACAAGAAGGAGTACACTCCGACCTTTCGCGGTTTCGACACGCATTTCGGCTGCTGGAACGGTTTTCAGGACTATTATAGCCACGTTGCGACAGAGTCAGTAAGTTAATTAACTCGTTTGCCGCGGCAAGATCTAATGCAGAGCGCGCCTGACGGACGGCGCGAAACTTTTCGGGCGCAAATTATAAAAGTTCCGTGTAAAATGTGTAAAAGTTGTGCGATATCGGTTGAGTGTCTACAGGCGCCTGCAGTATATTCTGAACGAACTTTCAAAGCGCTTGTAGCAATAATGAAAAAGTTAAAAAAAAAATCTGATAAATAAAAAAGAACAAAAATCTTGTACGAAGTTTAGACAAGATTTCTTACAAAAATTTATTGTCTTTGTGGCCAAAATAATATTTGAGTAATAAAAGCGGTAAACAGTGATTTTAATCTTCTCAAAGTGATTTTTTGACCACATCGAAAAATCAATTTCTGTAAGAAAAGAGCGAACAATAAATAAAAAAACCATCTTAGGTCGCGGAAATTGGCGAAGAAAGATTTGCACGCGGATTCGATATGAGACGAAACATGTCGGTCGCGTGGGACACGGCGGGCAAATATTCGACGGATCTCTTCACCGAGGAAGCTGTGCGGATAATCGACGCTCACAATCCGAACGATCCAATGTTCTTGTATTTGTCTCATCTTGCCCCGCACAGCGGAAACGGATTGTTGCAAGCTCCCGAGGAAGAAATCGCCAAGTTTTCGTACATCAAGAATCCAGAGAGAAAAATTTACGCAAGTGTGATATATTTTCAAATACAAATTTGAGATACGCCTCTCTCGGCGAGAGAGAAAAAAAAATAATGACTCACATCAAACGCACACTCTTTTTCGCTGCGATATTTTTAATAACATAACAATTCGCTGTACAATATATTTCAAATACATTCAAAGTGTCGCATTGTTTCTCGTTCGCACAGCTATGGTTTCTAAATTGGATCAGAGCGTTGGCGAGGTCATGGAAGCTCTGAAAAATCGTCGAATGTTGGAAAATAGTATCGTTCTCTTTATGTCCGATAACGGAGCACCGACTGACGGTATCTGGCAAAATTACGGCAGTAATTATCCTCTTCGTGGTGTGAGTGTATACAATTGACACGACAGTTTAATTGTTTAAAAAATACATATGACTCTTGTAATACCAGGTAATTCGATTAAAATTTTCAGATAAAGGCGTCTCCTTGGGAAGGTGGTGTGCGAGGGGTGGCCGCAATTTGGAGTCCTTTGATACAAGAACGCGAACGAGTCTCGAACACCTTGATGTTTGTAAGTGATTGGCTGCCCACTTTGTTGTTTGTTGCCGGTTAGTGAGTAAAGTAACTTTCTCTTTATCTCTGATGTAAAAACATTGTTACAAAGATAGTTAACTCCTGAAAAAAAAAGAGAATAACCGATAAAAATTTATTTTTACATAGGCGTGAGCGAGGAAAACATTTCTGTCGATGGCTTCAACATGTGGCCAGAATTGAGTATGAAATTGAATACGTTTACAAGAAGGTACGTGCCCTTAATCATTGACGACATTGAAGGATACGAGGTCATTTTTTATCACAACTGGAAGTTCGTAAACGGTACGAGCAAGTCGTCACGTTTCACCTGGTTGGGTGATTCCGGTCGGTCGCTTGACGAATCTCGTCCGCGGTACGTTCCCGAGAGAGTATTGGAGAGCAAAGCTGGAGCTGCCATCACCTCGGTGCGAACAAATCGACGATTATCAAAAATCAGAAAGAAGCGCGTCGATCGAATTGATAAACTGACACCGGCGAAGATTCTGCAATTAAGAAAAGAAGCGGAAATCCATTGCAACGTGACGGAAAAGGAAAGGGTGAGATAGGAAATTTGTTAACTTATTAGACTTCGGGCGAAATGCATTTTTCTTATTTTTCTTGATCGAAATAAATTATAGAGTTTGCATAATGTTTTTTAGGTTCCGTGCAATTTCTCGGCATCACCATGTATCTTTGATGTAAACAGAGATCCTTGCGAGATGAGAAACGAAGCATTACACCTTGGCATGGTAAATATAATAAAAGTACTGATGCAAAAGCACTTGAAACATTACAGATCGAGTGTAGTGCCACCTAATAACAAACCTCGTGACGCCCGAGCGAATCCAACGCATTGGAACAACACTTGGAGTTGTTGGAACGATCCACCGTTCTTGGTTCTTTGCAAAACACGCGGTAGTAACCGATCCGCAGTCTTGTCATTCGTGTTGGCATCCCTCGTCTTAATCGTCACCGGGATAACGATATTTATACTCTTTCGCTCTTTAAAGTTATGTCTGCACGAAAATTCTCGCGTAGAAGAAAGCTACGTGTTGTACGAGCTGAACTCAAAAATGGTACATTTTAACGAAATTAGTACAATCAATACAATCGAAAAGGCGCTCAAAACTCTGATGTGACAAATCTTGAAGATCTCATGACGATTTATGAGCGTGTTAGATGGAGCACCTAGAAAAAATATACGATCTAGTACAAATTTTACATGTGCGCGTGTTATTACAATACATCACGTTAGAAAGAATTTCTGCTCAAGTAAGCGTATTTATTACTTTTTTCCTATTACACGATAATATGCGATTTTTAAGTTTTCTTCTTTTTATATTTTACAGTTTTGTTTTTATGCGCTATTTATTTAAAATCTTAATGGTTTGTAATATCATTAATTATCAGTTTGTACTTAAAAAATAATTGTATCGTGTACATACATGTATACATATATACATATACACGCTTGTATAGATAAGATATATACAAGGTTATATATATATTCAAAACTTTTACATATACAATATTATATTTTTACATACTTTTCTTATTACGTGTTCTTCATTTGTTGAAATCTAGAATAGAATATTATATCCTCAAATCTCCAAAACTTTATATATCACCTTAAAACTTTTATTTTATATACATAATCAAAAGAACGGTAGTTCCTCGCGTCCTTTGAGCGCGTAACCTTGGTCACGTTTTTTAACAACGTTTTTAAAGAAACACGTGACCAAAGTATATATATACTACACTTTTTGAATATATTTTTTTTTGTATTTTCATTGTTACTCATAACCCAGTTTTTTTTAATTAACAGTTCTGGAATTTTTTTTCGTGTTCAAGAATTGAACACGAAAAACAAACTCATTTTAATATAATAATTCGTGTCATCAGGATAATAAATTTATAAAAAAAAAACACACATAATTTTCAATTACATTGCGCTTAGTATAGTTTGTAACTAGAGGAAATGTGTCTTGTTTCATATTTTTAATTTTTATTAATTCTTCTCTTTCTCTGTACAAAATTTTATGGAAATAGAATAGAATAATTTACAATCGCAAATAACTTTTCCGCATTATCTAAGATTTGTCTCTCGCGGTTTTTTTTTATTGTGTATGTGTATGTGTGTGTGTATGTGTGTATGTGTGTATGTGACTAAAAGTACAATTGCACCTGGAAAGTCGGAGAAGACAATCTTAGATAATTTACACAAAAAAAGATATACAACTTTACAATTAAGAAATGAGACTTTCTGACATACACGCGCATATTGTAACGCGGAATTCCGATACAATAATTTTGACGCAGAGTTTGGTGTACATAATTTTTAGTCACCGCATTAAAAAAAAAAAAAAAAAAAAGCATATATTTAAAATAAGGTTTTAAGGTTCATCATAAGTTTCGCGCACTTTAGCTCTATACAACGTTATAATACACTTTAGTCTACTCCCCGTATTCTCTTCTTTCTCGAAGAGGAGCGACTTTTTTTTTTCGAGAACGAGCACTACCTACACTCTGTACATGTGATTTAAAAAATATTTCTTTTCCCAACTCTATATATTCTGCAATATGTACTCACACAGGAAGCAATTCCTTATAACCGTCAGCGAGTAAACGATATTATCACTTAAAAAATACAATACAGACTGCACCGACTACGCGATAGTTAACTGCAGAAATAAGTCTTGGCAGTTGGCACTTGGCAGGAATGTCTCTAAAAGGCAAAAACGTTGGCCATTCCACTCCCGCTATTCGTTCATCACATGTGCACCACCTTCGGCGTGCTAAAATCATCACACATCACATGATATTAACGAGATATCATCTTTGCTACGTCCTGGAGAAGAACAACGAGATCTCTGACGGGACGTAACTTATGACGTAAAAATGTAAAATTGATAATTTCATGAAAGAGTTGTAAAAAAAAAAAAAAAAAAAGAGCACACATTTCGTACGACTCACCTCTTGCCCCACAACCAGTTCAAGAGAACGCTCGATTGGCTCTGAACGTCCCGAGCTGTGAACAAACAATTGATTAGTATTATCACGCAATTTACGCGCGTCTAATAATATTTGCTTCGACTTGTCAGTGAATACCTACAGAGTGTGTAATTAGCGTTGACAAGCCTCGCGGCTGCTTCGGGAGGCAATGTGCTTAAAACGTCTCTATGCGCTAATAAAGACATTTGCTGCGTATGCCTTAACTCCCGTTCGTCTTTTAATCGCACGTCCTTTGAATGGCTGACCGAATGCAACTGCGACAACCTAAGGGGAAAACTAGCATGTATCCAAGCTGCAAGCGGATTACAATTACGCGGAGAGAGACAGAGAGAGAGAGAGAGAGAGAGAGAATGAGTGAGACATTCAAACATCATGTTAAAGAACGAGTATCTTCTTTCAACGTTACTTGGACTCGGTAAGATACATCAAGTAAACAACCTAAACGAAGAAGCAATTTCGATTTCTACTTTAGAGGACGACAAAACAATGAAACTTCCGACTATAGTTTACAATACGACCGTAATGATCACTTTAAAGGCGACTCCGTCATTCACGCCAATGAGAAGCAATGTATCAGCGACTAGGATGGAAAACAACTCGATTAGTTCGACGGAAAACTGATTATTAAACGTGAACAAGCTGTCTTGCGTAAGTTTTTTTTGTTTTTTCTTATTCTCTCTCTAGAATAAAAAAAAAATACTAATTTGCTCAACAAAAGAACTAATTGAGGGACTTGTAAATACTGTGAGAAATATATGCACATAGCGTTAAATCTCTTCTGCGACTAACTGCAAAACTACATGTACCTAACAATATTTACGCATTTTTCGATTACATGATTGAAAAAAACAGTTTTACTCACTTCACGCTAAGAGCTTCCTTGTCCTCGAGCGGGGCACTGATGGCTTCTTTCGCTATCTCAACCGGACCTTCGGATTTCGAAGGCGAGGGTTGTTCTACGACAGGTTCAAGCAACGCTTGTGAGGCCGATGATGAATCTTTCGCTGGACTCTCTTCGATGTTACCTATTTCTTTTCTGAGCTCTTCGTTTATTCGTATCGCATTTGACAAACGCAGCTGCAACGTGTCGCGTTCCTCGAGCAACTGCATCAGCTCGTGGGTCAGCTCTTCGCATCTGACGTCTCTTTGATGAAGCATGTATAGCGCGAAATCCAACTGGCTGGAAACGGTCTCCTTATTATCTCCGGCCGTTTCAGCGGTTTCCGAATCGCTCTTCGGTATCGCCGCTTCGATGACGGACACATCTTTCTTCAAGGCGTGCTGTATCATCTCGTATTCCGATACCTTCTGCTCTAGCAACTCCTTCAACTTGTTTATCTCTTCTTCTTGGGCTGTTAAGGTCTGTCTTAGTTCGTCCGCTCGTTTCGCCTCTTCCATGGACAACGTAACGAGTTCCTCCACACGCGCATCCTTCTCGCGAATCTGCATTTTGAGATTGTGAAGTTCCGCGTCTTTAGTAATACTCAGCTCGGCCAGTCTTCTTTCTTTCTCGGCCAGATCGTCGAATACGTGCATAAGTTCGTCCTCTTTTTTCTGCAACTTGTCGCCTCGTTCGGTGGCGACTACTCGCAACTGTTCCAACTGCGTCTTTAGATTCTCGATATCATTGTCTCTCAATTGAAGTTCCGACATTAACTTCTTATTCTCCTCCGACAGCTTTTGCTTTATTTCGCCGATCTCCAATTCTTTCGTATGCAATTCCTTCCTCAAGAATTCTTCAGCCTCGACGCGAATTTGCTCTTTCTCCGAAGTTAGCCTCTCGATGGCGTTTCTGCTCTCTTCAGAAAGCCTTTCAAAGTTTTTGAGACGCAGAACCTCTTCTTCCAATTCCGCAATAGTCGATTTTAATCCCTGAACATCCTGCTCTTTTCCGTACAATTCTCCCGTCAGTCTTTGTATCGTCTCACGCAGCTCGAAGTCGTCCGACTGCGGTTCCATGGTCGCTTGAAGACTCAATTGCGAATCTTTCTCGGCGATGATGTACTTCAATTCGTTGATCTCTTGCTCCTTCGCGTGCACCTCGTTCTGCAACCTGCCGATCTCCTCCTGATCGTGCACGGATCTTCGATCTCTGGAGAGCGAACCCATTTCCTCCTTAGAAATATGTTCGTGACTCTGTCCGTGTATACACTGCGTTAGAAGATTCACTTGCTCTTGCTTCTCCGTCAAGGTCTGGGTAGTCGCTTGCAAAGTTGATTCTAACGTGATCTTTTCGTTGTACAAACAATTGATTCTATCTTGCATCTGTTGAATAATCGTTGGATACGTGCTCTCGCTCAAAATGTATTTGAGATGCTCCAATTCTTGCTGCTTGGCTTCCATTTGCGCTTTAAGTTCGTCTATTGTGCTTTGTAGATTGGCGTCGTCGTCTTTATCTATCTTAGACACAGAAGAAAGATTATCGGTTGTCTGAAAACTTTGTTCGTTACGCAGCATCTCCAGTTCGACTCGTTTCTCATTCAGTTTTTGATTCGCAACGTCCAACAAAGAATCTTTGTTACTCATCGCGGTCTCGATTTGTTCGAGTTCGTTCTTCTTGGCGCACAACTGCGAGTTCACCAAGTGCAATTGCTCGGTCTTCTCTTGCAGATCGCGTTTCAAAGCTGCGATTTCCTCTTTATCGTTTTCCAGATAAACTTGGTACGTCTTTGTCTCCTTATCGTATTCCAGCAAGATTGATTCTTTCTCTGACTTTAGAACTTGAATTTCTTGCTCCATTTTACTAATGCGCGCGTTGTGCTCTTCTATGTCGATTGTAGTTGCTTCCACTTCGCTCAGTTTACTCTGCAAACGTTGAAGATCAGCTAAGAACTTATCCATTTCTGCCGTGAGCTTTATCTTCTCTTCTTTGTACAGTGTCAATTCCTGTTCCTTTTCTCGCAATTTTTCGTTTATCGAGTTTATACCATCTTGAGTAGATCCTATTATTGAGTTTCGTTCCGTTAGATCTTCTTTCAGATACGCTATTTGTTCCTGCTGCGTTTCCAATTGAGATGTGCTAGCTTTCAACGTCTCGGTGTACTCGTCGACTGTCAATTGCAACGCCGTCAGTTTCTGCGTCAGATCGTGTATCTCCTTATTCCTCTCTTCAATCTCGATCGCGTGTTTTTGAACCAATTCCTGAGTAGCTTCGGTAACAATGGCGTTCACCGTTTCCACATTTTTCTGTTGCACCAATTCGTGTTCCTTGTCGCTGATCAATTGTCTCAAGACTCCCAATTCTTGCTTCTTCTCATCCAATTCTCTCGTCAAGTTCTGTATCTCCGATTGTAGCGTCGCTTCAGCCTGCTGTCTTTCTACATACTGAATCTGAAGCTCTTGCTTCAGATCAGCGACCTCTTGAACTCTGGCGTTAAGCAGTTCCGTAACCTCTATCAGAGATGTGTTAACGGTCGAGAGTTTTTCCTCCGAATTCATCAGAGACTTGATTTTGTTTTCCAAATCTTCTTTATCCCTTAAAGCTTCTTGTAGATTTTCCATCTTGGCTTGTAATTCGTCTATCGTCTCTTTAGATTCCGTCTTGAGAACATCATTGATATGGCGCATTGTTGTCACTTCGTCATGCGCATCTATCAGACTCTGCTCGTATTGCTTCCTCAGAACGTCGTATTCCTTCTTGCTTTTGTCTAGATCGGTTTGGAGTTGCGCGACTTGGTTCTTCAAGGTATTTACCTTCTCTATCAGTTCGGTATTGTCGGCTTTATTTGACTCCAAATTCGTTATCGTTGTTCTCTGTTCTTCCAAATAGTGCTGCAACTGTTCGTTTTCGGCCGCGAGCGCCTCCAGCTCGTCTTTCAAATCGTCTATCTCTTCTTTATACTTTTTCGACATAGCTTCGAAATTGTCAGCAGACTCCACCGATCTTTTCCGGGGTTGGCCATGTTGATCAACCTGATTTCCGACTTCACCAGACAATTCCACTTGGTCTTCGTGTTGTAAAGTAGAGGTAGTCTCTGAGATAGTTGCATTTTCCTGTAACTGCCATTCTAAGGATTGCACCTTGTTATTTAGTTCCTTATTTTGAATTCGCAATACTTCGACTTCCATATCCTGTTTTTCTTTCATCTCCATGTATCTGTCGTTAGCTGATACCAGCACATCCAGTCGCTTCAGTAAGGCTTCCTTCTCGGCAACGATATTTTTCTTCTCTTCCTTGATTTCGTTGAGACTTTTTTCCAAATTGGCGATCTGCGCTTTCAGTTCCTCTTCTATTGCCGTGTCCAGATTGAAAAAGCTATTGTTAGCTTGCTTCTGCGTCTTCAACTCTTGCTGCAAGCTCTCTATCTGCACTTTGTACTCTTTGACTTTTTTTATCAATTTAGCGCTCTTTATCTGCGCCGCTTTGTTCTCCTCAACGAGTTTTTCATTCTGCGCTACCAGATCTCTAATTTCATCTTGCAACTTTTCCACTTGTATGCGCAATTTTAGTTCCGTGCCTGAAATCAAATGCTCATCGCCACTCAATTGAATCTCCTCTGTGTTCCAGCCACAAGAGTCCTCGTCGTCGTTGACCTTCTCGGACGGGTCGTTGTCCCAACCCGAGCCAATGTCCAACTGCGCGTCTTGTACTTTCTTCTCGACAGAAGCCTGTGTTGCCTGTACGTATTTTGGTTGATTCATTTCTTCCATAGCCGCGTTAATATATTCTGAGATTTGTTGAGCAGTCATTTGGTTTTCAGAAGAGGTTTCGGACACTTTCAATTCCTGAGAGGGAACAGGTGCATGTTGAAATTGTTGCAGGAATCTTATCATATCTCTTTGCCTTCTATCTTTCTCATGTAAAGCGTTCTGCAGATCAACTTGTAAATATTGTTGAGTCTTAATACGTATCTCTGATTCTTTCAGTGTGCGTGTTAAGTCATTCAACTGTAGCTGCAACATGTCCCGCTCTTTTGTAATAGCTGAGACATGTTGTTGTAATTCTCGTATTACATCGATGTCGTCGACATTTTGTGTTTTACTCTTCAGATCATCAATCCAAGAAGAAGATTCCAAAATGCGACTTAGCTGATCCCGTTCTTCCGTCAACGCTTTCACAGTTTCTTTCGCGGAAGCCAGTTCCGCACTAATCACGTCTATGTCGATGTCCCTAGATGAAATTTCTTTTCTCAGATGAGCTTCTACATTCGCTTGTTGCTGCATTTGCGCGCTCATCTGTTGAATTACATTCTGATGATCCGCAATCAACGAATCTATCTGCTCATTCTTCTCGTTTAATAATTGCTGCATTTTTTCCGATTCGGCTGAAGCGACGCGGTACTGTTCCCGCAATTCCGTCAATTCATTCAGATCGAAAGACGACCTGTGCAATTGCGCACTCAACCAATCTATCTGCGCATTCCTCTCGTCTATCAATTGCTGGAAGTTTTCTAATTCCGCTCTAGCGGTGTGATATTGTTCCTGCGTCTTTATCAATTCGCCGATCTCAAAAGACATTCTATCTAATTCCACAATCAACGATTCGACCTGCGTGTTTTTTTCAGAAAGAATATGCTCCTTTCTCTTCAGCTCGTTTTGCAAGTCTTCAAACTGTTCCTGCAGTTTGTTGCCGCGCGATCTCTCTTCGTCTAAATTCTTGTGTAAAATATCGATTTCTTTCACGTGCTCGAAACATCGGAATTCCGTCTCGTTCAGTAAACTCTCCAGTCGCTCTATTTCCTTTTTGTCCGAAATATCAACATCCGAAGCAACAGATGTGTCGGCGACATCTTGCTCCTGCAGTTTTTCGTCGCTTTGGGTAGAAGTCTCAGCTGTTTCGGGAACTTCGACTTTGCTTTCTACGTTCTTACGTTTATACTCTTCCAACTCAGATTCCAATTCCGCGATTCTCTGTTCGCTCGCAGCTTTCTCTGTCTTCAAGGAATCGATTTCCTGTTGCAAGGAATTGGTTTGATCCATGAGTGATTGATTGAAGCGCTCTTGAGCGGTCTGTATCATCATGTTATTGTATCTCTGCGACTGGTCGTGAAGCAATACAATATTGCCGTACGAATTGGCCAGTTCGTTGTTCAGATTTTCAATCTCCGCTTGACGCTCTTGCAGACGCGCCTCCAAAGCTTGAACAAGATTCTGACATTGCTCGGAATGGTCGCAATGTTGCGTGACGTCGTCCTCCTTCGATTCCGAAGGTTGGCCAGTTGCTGCTGTTGTCATAATTGCAAGTTCCTTCTGTAACTGCTCGATCACGACACGACGTTTTTCCGATTCCTTCTCGGCGTTTTCGAGTTTTTCGTCGATTTGCGCCTGTTTGGACGACAAGAGACCGTTTTCCGCCATCAGATTCTTTATCGTGGCAAGTTGTTCCACATACTCGGTCTCCATTACTTGCATGCGCACTCTCAGTTCTCGCGCTTCTTCCTTTATCTCTTCCAGAATCGCCTGTTTCTGTTCGATCTCTTTGTTCGTAGTCTGTTTGTAGAGTTCGTACTCCCTGGCAATGTCTTCCCTCGCCGTTTCCTTCCTCGCCAACTCGTCAATGACTCGTTCGATCTCGGCGCGTTGTCTCTCGATCTCTTCGCCCATCTCCGCGTTCTGTTCCGTCAATATCGTTATCTTTTCCTTCAAACTGCTACACTCGTTTGAAAATTTGTCAGAACTCGTAAGAGCTTCCGCAGTGTCGTTTTGCGCTTGCACCAACTTCCCCTCCAGATCGGCGATCTTGTTGTCCTTCTCCCGCATGGAATTCTCCACCTCTTGTACTTGTTTGTTTTTGACTTCCTTCTCGTCTTTCTCTGTGGTCCATTTCTCTTCGAGTTCGGCGACTCGCGCTTCAAGTTCTTGACACGCTGCCTTCTTCTTATTGAAAGTCGCCACAATTTTCTTCATTTTATCAGATTGCACCTGCAATTTATTCTCCGATTCTGCAAGCGTCACTTCCAGTTCCGCAATCTTGTTTTCCAATTTTATCTTCATTTCTTCCGTGAAGATATTTTCTACCGGCTTCTCTTCCTGTTTCAAATTGATCTTCATAGCCTCATTTTCTTGCGTTTTCTCGACCAGTTCCTCGATAACGTCTTGCAATCTTCGATTCAGCATCGTTATTTCCTCTATGTGCTGTTTCTTAAGACCTTCCATCTGCTTGTATTCATCCGCCAGTTCTGATCGCAGTTCCTTAGCGTATGCGGTTTGATTGTCCAAAATCACTTGCAGTTCCCAGATTCGTTTTTCAGCTTCGGTCTCGTTGCTCTTCAAGTTTTCAATTTGTGCGTCCAAATTCTTTTTAGCTACAAGCAAACTATCGATTGTTTCTTCCTTCTTAATTAATTCGTTTTCAACGTCCTCAATCTTTTGCCGTAGCTCATTGTTTTCCTTCACGATTTCTTCGTATTTGTTCTGCAACTCGATATAATTTGTTTCCTTAACTCGTAAATTCTCTACTATTTCATTGAATTCTGTTAGTGGCTTTGATTGATGCAACGCCTCAGTGATTTGGCTAATATTGGATTTAAGATCATGAACTTCGTTATCTTTCTCTTGAGTTGTGTTCTGCAGTCTCGTGATCTCCGCTAACAGCGACGACATTGCGGCATCGTTTTCTTTAAGCTTGATCGAGCAATTGTTTAATTCCTCTTGCAAATTGTCTATTGCAATCATTCCGTTTTGCAACTGCACGTATTTGTTATACAATTCTTGATTTTTCTTCTCAAGTTCTGCCTTTAATTCCGCGATTTCGCTTTCTTTTGTGGTTACATTCGTTATTTCATTTTGCAACTTTGTCTCGAACGAATTCGTAACGTCTTGAAGCTGTTCCTGCAAAGTAAACGCCACTCTATCTTTCGCCTTTACAGTCTCCAACAGTTCTTTGTTATCGTTCTCCAGAGTTTTGAAGGTTTCTTCTATCGACGCCTTTCCTTGTTCCAGCGCTTGCATCTTTACTTGCATATCTTCGTACTTGAACTTCCATTCTTCCGCGGTGGCAAACATGTCCTTCAGTTCACGTTCCAAAGCTTCAAGCTTCTCAGTCGATTTCTCAAACTCGAGCGCTTGCTTGGTTTTCTCTTGCAACTCCGTCTCCATGCTCTGCAGTTTCAAATTCATCTCTTCTATTTGATTTTTATACTCCGCGATCAACAATTTACTGTTTTCCAGTTCCTCTTCCAAAGATTCTACGATCACGGTCTGTGTTTCCTGACTAACCGTCTCTTTTGCTTTTCGCTTTTCCGATATTTCCTCAGACGATTTACGTAAGAGAGTGCTGATTTGATCCTGCAACTCCTGCCTCTCACGAGCAACGTTGTCTTTCTCTTTACACAGATCTTCCAATTTCTTGATAAGTTCCATCCTCTCTTTGTGAAAATCGTCGCAGTCCAAACGCTTCAGTCTTTCGAGCATTGATTCATTCTCCTTGCCTAGTTTAACTAATTCTTCTCGCTGTAAATCGTTATACTGCTCCAGTTGTTCGATTTTTCCTCTCAACTGATACTTTTCTCTCTCCAGCGTCCTGACAATCGACTTCGCGTCATCGGTTTCGCACGACGTCACGTTGACCGACTGTTCTATCGCAGCTTCCTGCATCTGGTCCAGTTCCTTTTCAAGAACCTGTATCCTCTCTCTTAGAATATTAATTTGATCGTTAGACGCTATCACCTGCACCGACTGCAACAACTCCGCGTCAAGACGTTCCTTCATTAATTTCGTGTGATTTGTAGCCAATTCCTCATTCTCCGTCGTCAACTCTTCTACGCGATCTTGCAATCTGCTATTCTTCTCCGCTAGATCCGTCACCTGCGTCTGAAGATTGGAAATCTCCGCCATCAAGTTATGCTTCTCTTGTGCGAGCGTGTCGATCTGCGATCTTAAATCATCTTTAAGCTGATTCAAGTTGTCGATCTTACAGACGTCCAACGGAACGTTACTCTCCATTTGGCTCAACTGCTCTTCCAATTTTGTAAGTTTAACAACAAGCTCGTTATTCTCCTGAGTAAGTAATTCAATCTTGGTCGTGTTGTCGTTATGTTCCGGTATGCGTTCGAAAGATTCCGTGGAACCGGTGTCGGACGATCCCTTCTCTTCGATTCTGCTCAACTTAATGGTCAGGTCGCTGTTCTCCTGCGTCAGCTGCTCAATTTTCTTGAGCATCTCGTGACGATCGGTATCGTTTATAGTTTCGAATGACTCCGTGGAACCGGCGTGCGAGCCATCCTTCTCCTTCGTTAGCTTGAGCGTCAATTCGTTGTTCTTCTGCTCCAGATCTTCGATCTTCTTCAACAGATCGTTCCTGTCATTCACGTGAATGGCTTCGAAGGATTCGGTCGAGCCCGTGTCCGAAGCGCCTTTTTCCTCCAATTTGCTCAACTTGTTGTACAATTCAGAATTTTCTTGGGTGAGAGCATCGAGTTTCTTCAGAAGCTCGTTGTATTCGGACTCGGACAGAAACTCGAGTTTGTTATCCCTCGATTCCTTGCTCTGTTGCATAGCTTCCAACTGCTCCTCCAGTTCGACGACTTTCATCTCGGCGGTCACTCGAAGATTTTCAGACTCCGCGTTTTCGGCTTCCAGAGCCGAAACTTCCTGCTTCACCGTATGAAGTTCTGAAAGAAGACACACATAAATATCAGAATGTATATATATATAAACTTACGTCTTTTTTTACAAAAATGTAAACTAGATCTTATTTTGCGCAGATTGTTGCGACAAACATTTACCTTGCGTCAAGTCTAACTTTTGATTCTCTAAGATGGCGATCGCCTCGATATGCATCTGTATATCTTTTGTCTGAGACGCAACTTTACTTTCCAGGTCAGCAATGCGTTCTTGCCAATCTCCTGCCGAAGCTGTGCAAGATCGTATAATTTTGGCGATAACATACGTACAATTTTTAGTTTTGTTCGTAATAAGCTTAAAGCGAGCGAGTTGTTAAGCGACAAGCACAGTAAAATTGTTGCAAGACAATTCCACTTTTTATACAATCTGTTCCATTATCCATTTCTATAAATTGTTCAAGAAATGGTGAATTGTACTGGATTTAAATCGAGAAGAGAATTTTGTTTTCTGCGTATAGGGGAAGCGTACGAGGTAGGAATAACGTTGCGTACGGAATTGGCGGGACACTTGGGCTCTGGTTTGGTTATTACTCTGGCGGTACGAAAATCTATAGGTTCACGTTACGTACTCTATAGATTTTTCAGTACTGCCAGGTAATAACAAGGGTCTTGTTGACAGCCAATGGCTGTGGAGGCTCTCTGATCGGAAAGACGCGCGAAAGTTTTCGTCCATCCGGTTTCTCTTCTCGATTTGAACCTAGTATATAGCAGCGCAGATTCTTAAGTTTAAAAAGCAGAATTATACGACAGAAGTAAAGCGGTAGTTTTTTAGACACTGATACTAGAGATATCGAATCCTGAATATGAAGAAGAATATTTCGAATATTTCATCCCGAGCGAAAATAAATCTGGAATCTGCAGATGATGTGCATCTTCTTTGAAAACATCTTTTTGTATTTAGATCGCAAGATGTATTCTTCTTTTTTTTTTTTTTTTATTATTATCATTAAAAGCATATAACATGTAAATGTGGAATTAGTTTGATCAAGAAATTAATCTCGTTATTTGTTTAATTTACTTAACAAACCAAAAGCTAGTCATACGCGGTCATAAGATCACTTTCACTTAAATGATTTACCTCAATAAAAGTGCGTGATAACGATTGCACTAATATAGAGAACAAAATTCGTTGCTGTAAAAATGTCGTTACTGCAACCATGTATGCAATTCATGCATGTTAATAAATCAATTGTACTTCGTGTGAACATCAAATACATATATACTAAGAAAACGATAGATAGGAGCACTAACGATAAATCTACACTTATAAATAAGTGCGTAGCAAACTTTGACAAGTAAAGTAGGTACCATGTTACGCTCGATAATCGAGAAACGTCATTGATTATACAGTTATTGATTAGATAGTATAATTTGTTTCGTGAACAATTTAATTGCACATAGAAAAAAAAATTCTAATTGAGCACAAAGAGCGAAGAGATTCCATCACCAAAAACAATTAGCCTTGAAATATATCGTTTATTCCACAATTTTTCAAAGTGAGTATTCGCGGAGATAAAATTGCGCGATTAATTCGATATTTAACCCATTTACACACACCCGGTCATGTACACTCGTGTTTGTAAAACTGATATTGTCTCTTTGCAATATATTGATTTCTCTTTTGCAAAAAACAAATATGTACATGTAATTGCAACGACGATTAGGACGAATGCTTATTGTAGTAGAGGAAACGGGATTGTGGAAAAAAACAAGCTGTTCGATATAAAAAAAAAAAAAAGAAAAAAAAAACAAAGTACCAAAAAAATATTAACACAGATTGCATTGAAAATCCGACAATATAACTAAGACAACGGAAACGTCGGCGATAGAATTTTTCCTGGTTCCTACCTTTAAGCTCGTCAAAGTCTACCAGACTCAGCTGAAGATTACCTTTCTCTTCTTCCAATAATGCCACTTGATTGTCCAGTCTAACGAGTTCTGCATTCGTATCAGATACCTAAGCGGAATTCATTAGTTTTTAGAAAAAGTTTTATTTAAAATTTTTAACATCATATATGTATAAATTTATACGAATTTGTTCCCAACACAAGCATAAAACTATCGTAAAAAACATTTGAAATAATATTAAAACATTAAATTAACTCTATTTTAAAACAAGTTACCATTTTAAAGTTATCCAACTGCTTCTGCAGGTTTTTCACTTTGCTTTTATGTTGAGCCTTTAATTTAATCATATTTTTATTTAAATCCTCCAATTCCTTCGTCAACCTTTGGACCACGTCGTCTTCTTTAGGCGCCGTTTGCTCGGCTGACAATCTCGCTGCGATATCGTTCCTTTCCGTTTCGATTTCGTGAACTTGATTCTCGAGATCGGTAATCCTGTTGGAATATTCCTCGTTCTTAGACGACAAGTCGGTTATCTGCTTCTGCAGTTCAGCTTTTGATTCTTCTTTCAACAACTCGTTCGAGTGTTTAAGTTCCTCTATCAAATTTTCGAGTTCCGCTATTCTATTGTCTTTTTCAATAATCGCATCGTTACCGTGAACAGATTTCGTAGCGATAATCTTATCTTGCAATTCGGCCACATTTTTTTGCAACTCGTATTTTTCGTCTAAAAGCTGCCGGTTGTTTTGCTCCAATTTCTCTATCTTAAATTGCAGATCCTCGACCGTTGGAGATGCCGCTATGCCAGCACCCGATTCCAACTGAAATATTCTGTTTCTCGCTTCTGCGAGTTTCATCTCGTAATCTTCGAGTTGCTGAAGAAGATTGTCGTTCTTCATCTTCAACGAAGATTCGATAAGAACGAAAGTTTCCTGCATCGATTTCATCGCATCTTTGGTTTCCGCTAAAGTATCCATAGTGGAACGCGAGAAATCCGCACTTGCCGTTTCAGCTATTTTTTGTTCCTTCAGTTGGTCCTCGATTCTACAAAATTAAAAGAGTAGATAAAGAGATTAAACATCAACATATCTGTGTGCAAAGATCACTTCAAAGTAAAGTTTACATAGACATTTATTGTTTTTTTTAAACACATTCATAATGTTATATCAAAATACATTACCTAGTGATTGTATGCTCCAATTCTGATATTCTGTTGTCTCGTTCTTGCAATTGTTCAAGAAGACTGGTATTTTTAGTTTTTAAAGACGTTTCTATTAAGACAAAATTTTCTTGCATCGTTCGCATTTCGTCTTTCGTGTCTTCGAGAGTGTCCAGCGTTGTTTTACCCTTCTTGGAGAGATCTGCAGACATAAGAGTGACCGCTTTCGTCTTGGAATCAATCACGGAGTCCTTTTCTTTGATGTTTTCTTGAAGATCGAGAATGGTTGCTTCTAGCTCGAGGACTTTACTGTTCAATTCTTTAATCTTTTTGTCCTTTTCTTGAAGGTCTTGAGCTTGAACTGATGCCATCATCTTAAATAAAAAAGTAAAAATATATATTTTTTAAATATAATATTTATTTCTTAGATTTAATAAGATTAGTGAAAAGAATTGTTTATATAATTAATGTGATACACTTACATCGGAAGTGATCATGAGAGGCCTAATTGGTGTGGCAGCTAATTGATCTGCAGCAGCTAAATCTGTTTCATCTAATTTCTGTCTGATGGCTTCCACTTTTTCTTCCACTGCCCGTTTTGTTTCCGTTAGTTCTCTGCTACGTTGCTCGAACGCTTTTCTGTTTTCAGCCAATTTTCGCTGAAGCAAAGAAGACTTTGCTTTTGGGGTTTTTGCTTGACTTATATCATCGATCACTTCCTCCGGCACATTCTTTGTTTGAGATTCAGATTTATGCGCCGTATCTTTAGATGATGAGGCTCCTTCTTTGCTACGTCGTGATAGCTTTGCTCTAGATTTGATTTTTGACAATCTTCGTGCGTATTCCTAGGAAATGTTACATAAGATTCCATCACGTTGACACAAACACTTTTATTTCAATAAAGAATATAACTTGGATAATTATAAAAACACTTTTTTTAAAACATAATACATTTTCAGATTTATTTAAAACTTTTAATTCATAAAGTAAACAATGCGAGTGTGTGTTTACATAAATATTGAGATATCTCTCTTGGTTAATCCGCCGCAAAGCGGATGCTTAAAAAGGCAAGATTTCTGAAATATATTGCTTTAACAATCTCACATACCTGAACCTCTTCCTCTTTCTTCTTTAAACTTTGTTGATTCCTTATCATGATCTCCTTAAGAGACTCCAGTTGATTCTTGTTTTGCTCACATGTCTCTTTTGTATGTGCCACAGCCTCGGGTGGACTACTTTCCATCGTGCCTGATGGTTCCTCCGATGCACCCCACATGATGCACTGTGCAAACAAAAGCAACACAAACCACTGCATTATTGTATTTTTTTATGCTAAATAATTTAACTGCAGACACTTTGTGAAAGAAGAACAACCGATAAAATCAATGGCAGTGAAAGTTTTTTCTAATATGGCAAAACAGTATCACTCACTGCTCCATTTTCCAGATCTAATTGGATATAGTCTAGGTTCTAGACTGGGGTAAACTAATTGCATTAAGTCTCGACATAGATCTCGACAAAGACTTTCCACATTCTTCATCATTTTTACGCGATATCTAGTACAGGAAACTGTCTTTTCTTCAGTTTTTACTTCAGTGTAAAATATATTTTAAAAAATTATAAAAGTGTTTTAATGTAAAAAAAATTTAAAAGTGGCGTATAAAATCATAAAATTGTTATTGTTACTTTTCTGATTTTATTATACAGTGTCTTAGATTATTCTTAAAACAAAGTAGTTTTACTTTGTTTCTTGTATTATTATTAGTTGCAGTATTATTAATTTATGAATTTCACTATTGAAGTATATGTTCCCATTAGTTTTTTCTCATTTACTACTGATAATTATTTATTACATAATTCTGTAAAATTACATATTTTTCTTCCTGTTTGGTTTTATATACTATATATTTCTTTATTGTGAGGATAAAATTTTTCTGCAATGCTTCTAATAGTAGTACACTTAGCAAAATATGATATCTGCTCTTGAAGTTTGCAAATCTATAAAACTACGTGCATTATTTTTGTTAATAGTACTGGTGATGGTTACTGGTGCCCTTATGACTCAGTGGACCTTTGCAACTAGTCCATACGCCATTCTACGTGATTTTTTTGTTAATAGTAAACCAGAAACACATGAAATATGTTATCTACGAGAATTGTATGCAGCCTGGTGATAAAAGTAATGAAGAACGCAAAATTACAGGTTTTAGAAAATGTAGAAATCTGAAATTGCAATATATAAAAAAGTAAAAATAAATGAAACTCGCAAAATTCGAAAGTACATACATTGTATACACGCGAATACATGTATCATCACCATAAGCACCCCAACAAACGTATCAACTTCATTGAACACGTAGCAAAGTGACGTAATCGCGATGCGGAGACACACGTGAGAGAAATGCGAGAGCTTAATCTCTTGATGTCTCATTTGCTGGCACTTTTGTGAATGTTGTCAGACAGGATCGCAAAAACGCATATCGCACGTGGATCGAGAACACAGCTGGATCACGATTGATTTACCTCGTTACTTGGCGTTGCTCGGAAAAGTGTCAGGTGGGTAACAAGTCGCTGCTCATATTTAGGTCGCTTTGTTGCCGAACAATCTTCCTGGCGCTGCAAATTGAACGTGTCGTCAAACGCTCATAACTCCAGCAACGTAATTCGCAGATTTTTGTTGTAATTATTCCCGCCGAAATTTTACATACAAAAAGCAGCAAACCCACTTTTGGTTACCGTCGCCGTGCCATACTTTTCAGAGCCGGAAATAGATGACGTACACTCTTGCGCGCCACGTTACGGCGACAATCATCATCTTCTGAAGAACAAGATCTGAGAATTATCCGACGATAATTTGTTGACTGCTGATACAACAAATTGCAACAATGGGCTCTCGATCGAATTTTGAATTATAGCGTTGCGACAATAATAAACAAAGATACACCATTGTTTTGTACAACAAAAATGTAGAAATATAAAATTCACACCATATTCGATCATTTGCGCAAATATCAAAGCATAAACATGTAAGTATATGGGTTTTTTAGAGTTCATATAGCTTTTTACGAATTTACAAAATACTTTTTTGATAACTTCATATTTTTTTCATAACAAAAATACATATATTACGTTCACAGAGAACAAAGAGAATGATTCACGACAGTGTTCACACTATTCATGGGGATTGATAAAAATTGATATCTAAGTCCATGGAGTCTGATAAAACTTGATTAAAATCGTTCAGTTTTTGCTGTTATGACACGTGCGTGTATTAGATTCTTCTGTTAAAAATTTAAACGCTATAAACAATTTCTTTTCAAATTTTCGTCAGTATGGGGCTTGAAAACGAGCAAGTTGCGGAAATTCCGACCGTTTCATCTGAATTGAACGACATCACTCATCCTGTCAGATATCAACATCGAGTGGAAAATTCTCATCTGTACAGAAAAGTAAAACTAACGCGGAACGAAATAGTCACAAAACCTTACAAGAAATAATCAATGTAACAAAATCTAATAATTTAATTTAACTTTTACTTAGGTTTTAAATGAGTTCACGTCTAACAAAAAAGACAAATCCGTCACGGATCGTACAAATTTGTCTCTTGCGTCAGTTGACGCGATCAGTACGGAAGAATGTTCGAACACGTCGGTTAAAACCGAACAATATTTGAACGTGGAAAATTGCGACGGATCGTTTTTTGAGAATAACGCGATTCGACTTCCTCATGTCTCGTGGAAGCGTAAGACTCCCTACAGCATTTCCATCAGTAGCTGCACACGTTACAGAACATCCAGTACTGTTTTAGGTAGTCCTACGCGTATATAATTTACATAACAACAGTAATAATAATAATAATAATAATAATAATAATAATAAAAATAATAATAATAATAATAATACAGATTGTTTTTAATATTGCATGTGTTGAAATGCGCAGAGGATGTCCCCGGAAAGGACGAGCCGCGAGAGGGAAGAGCGGAGCGTAGCATACTCTCCGATTGTCGGGAGTATTTGGCTAATTATCAGGAATCTTGCGGTACGCCGCGTTACGCGGATTATTCCTACGCCGCTTTGATCACGACAATGGCTCAGGCTGCCGCACGATGTCTTTGGGCGTTGATATGCGTTATCGTTAATGTCGTTCCCGTGATTCAGGTGATGACTGTAAACAATGCAGCGTAGAGGTTCTTCTTCTCAATCCTCGTCCTTCGCGGGGAGATCGCAAATCGAAAGCGCATATTTTCGAACTTGAGTTCCAGATGTTCACCTTCGTGCTGAGATTTGTGTTGGACAAAACGATCGACATACGCGGGACCAAGGATTTCCAACGGGCATTGATAAAATTCGCGATACTCGCCGTGCAATTGTTCAGCGTGTACGTTTGCCTTTTATTTATTATTGACTTCATCGTTCTACCGATCGTACAAATGACGGTCAACATCGTAGCCAAACTTATAATACGCAAGTAGATCGTGCGCAGTAATAATATATTATATATATATATATAATACGTATATATATTAAAAACTGAATAAAGTTATGATAACGCCACCTTTACAAAAGGTTTTTCTTTAATTTCGAATTAGTCTTTCTTTTGTACAAACATTGTGTATGAGCATATAAATGACAACCAAGTTGTTATTTTGTAGCAAAGTAACTATATGTATATATATATATGTACTATTCCCTTCGATGTGAGAGAGATTCACACAAATTCGAGGACATTAGAGAGTAAAGTTGCGAAAGCGCTTAATAAATGTCAAACAGAGCAATCAAGAACAACAGCAGAATATAAGTGTTTGATACTGAGACGTGACTCGCCGCGCTCCATCCGCATTCAAGATCCTCCTTCAACGCGTTCGACAGCGATAAATTGTTCTTGTTCAAGCAGAACGTCTCGCGAAGATCGTCGTCCCAGCCGTTGTCCCAGCAACTGAACTCGTCGTCCTCCTCGCGCTCAAAGTTCTTGAATTCCTCGTAAGAGTTGCATCGATCCTCCTGATATTGTCTGTGTTTTCTCTGCCATACCTCGACCCATCTGCGTGAAAAGAAGCAAGAAAAGTTTTGTTTTGTCAATTAGCTTAAGTCAAAGCGTATCAAAGCATCTTCCGTATAAACAACGGATTATCCTCGTACCCGATGTCGCAATCGCAATTGATGTAACTGCCCGCTAATCGGAGCTTCATCAGGAAACGTTCGCCCGGCACTCCCGGTTTGTAACCGGACGACGGATTGTGCAACGTTCGAGTGTCGCTGTTGCGAATCTCCACCGTTATGTTGCGCACCCGATGAGCGTTAGTGAACACTTCCTGCGGCACGGTCGTCACGCTGGTATTGTACAATCCGAAGTGAAGATGTGGATTTCGCATGCCCTGAAAACAATTGGTTCAAAAAAATATGCTTTACAAAAGTCTGATGACAAAGAGAAATTTCTCATCAAATTTTACAAAAAGAGACAGGATAAAGGATGTACACTTACGCGCAGTATTTCCGAATGTATATTTCTCAAATTTCGACCGGTTAACGTAATATTGTATAACTTGCAGGGTAACTTGCCCTTCATTTCTTTCTGCAGATCGGTGTCATTTTGAACCTATAATTGTTATTGTCATAATTTGTTTTTTTCGATTGAGCAGAATTTTAAGGTCGTCCGACTTATTTATTATTCGATATACCTACATCAATAAGCAAGTGTTTCAGTCCGTGATTGTAATTTAAGATATTGGGAAAATTGAAGTTCTTCACACCGTTGTACGCGGTGATGTGCAGCTTTCGGAGCTTGGTGGCTTTGCAGAGCGCGCCCGCCTGTGAAGAAATCACACACACAGTTCGCGTCTCAGTGGCGAAGTTTCTCGAATATCGCGAATATATCGCGGAAGACAAAAGCGGGAACTTACTTCGAAGATCGACAGAGTGAGTCTACGTATGTCCAACTCCTCGAGACTATCGGCCACGCCCAGGAAACTCGTATTCGTGATGGCGGTTATAGGATTATCCGCTAAGTTGAAGGTCTTCAATTCTGGCAGCGTATGAGTGATCAATGGGACCACAGTCAAATCGTTGAAACTTAAATCTAAATAGTGAAGAGACGTAAGATTTGACGACATTTCGGCGGGTATTGACGCCAGCTCGTTATGCGCCAAATACAGGGTTTGCAGTCGTCTGAGAGGTAATTCCGGAACCTGCGTCGTATCAATTACAAATTATTATTGTTTTTCGCGATCACATAAAATATGATACTTACGCTCAAGAGAGAAATATTGCTCAGACTGAGACTCAGAAGAGTGTCCTCCAAACCGTAAAAGGTTCTTCCACGACTATCCAGAATAAGTTGCTTGTTGTGACTGAGATCGAGATGAGCTAAGTACGGTAAATCAGAAAACACACCGTCATCCAGTCTGACAAGTCGATTGTACGACAGATCTAGCCACACGAGACTCTACATGTGAAAAAAAGTTTTAGTTAAACAAGATGACAACTTGTTGAAGAAAGCAATCATCTGCAAGAGATACGTGAAAGATCGAACTTACTCTGAGTCTGAAAATTGTATCTGTGTTGTGGATGCCTGACAAGCTGTTCCAGGACAAGTCCAGATTCGCCAAATTCGCGGCAGAAGATAACGACATGCTCTTGATAGGCAATCTCGTAAATTGATTGTGCGACAGATCGAGACTTTCTATGTTAGAGTCGATGAATATGTTGTCTGGCAGTGTTCTCAGCTTGTTGTGAGACAAATCTACAATACGCAGCTTCTTCAACGGTCTAAATACTTCCGGCGGGATGTCCGTGATATCGTTCCAAGACAGAAGCAGCACTTGCAGGTTCTTTGTGTTCTTGAAGCAGTCGAAGTCCAACTCCAGCAGATCGTTGCGACTCAGATCAAGCCATTGCAAATGCGGCATGTTACCGAAGAGATACTGAGTGATGTTCCTCAGTTCATTGTTCGACAGATATAAATGGGTGAGCGAGAACTCGACCGGTTTGAAGTAATACTTCATAATGTCGGAAATGTTGTTGTAACTCAAATCCAAAACTTTGATGTTCGACTGAATATTGCCGCTAACTGGGAACAAAGATTCGGCAGATTTGAAAATTGAAAGAATCAATTAGCGATTTTCAACGTGATTTTCTGAACGTATAAGCGATAACTCACTGGCTGTCACTGGTGGAAAAGAAGTGCTGTTGATCCACAATCTCGGGATCTCGTTGTGGCTGACGTTAACTTTGAATGACGACAGAGTTCCTACTTGGTCGAATGAGGCGAAATCGAACTCGTTGAGGTCGTTATACGCGAGATCGAGAAACTCAAGATCCGGTAGATTCTGAAAAATTAACGATATTTATTTCACAGAAATTTTCCCCCGAACCCAAAATCACAAAAATCGTCTTTATGGTTGAGAACCATCTAATTATAGCTGGCCAAGCTAACGTTCTTCTACACACTCTGCGCACACATTGTGTCGCGCGCGAGTCACGCACGTATAAGTATATTAAATTACTTGAAAGGCTTCATCGGTGATGTCCTTAATCTTGTTGCCACGCAAGTTGATGTACTTAAGTCGGTTCATATTCATAAAAGCCCGTCTCTCGATTCTGTTGATGGCATTGTCCTCTAGATTGATTGTCATCAGAGACGACAAATCGACGAACGTGTGCGTTTGCAGATTTTTCACTTGATTGAACGCAAAATTGACTTCTTCCAGGGTCGAGTGTATATCACCCTACGAATTGAACGATGATACTCTTCTGAATCATATGACGCACATTTTTATCGTAAGAAACGAACTCACCTGGAAGGTACCCTTCGGTATACTGTCGATTTCGTTATCCTGGAGCTCGATACGCTTGATCCTTTTCAGAAAGTGGAACGACGTGGCGGGTAAAGATCGAATTCTGTTATTGCTGAAGTCAAGATGTTGCAGATTCGTCAGGGATTTGAACGATCGACTTGGTATCTCGGAAATTGAGGAGGAAAGACCGTGTGATATCCTCAACGTCAACAAAGAGTGACCCACCTAGGGCGCAAAAATAAAAGTCGAAAAAATAAAAAAAAAAACAAATGTCCTTCAAATTAATTTTCTCTACAAGTACACACGCAAGGAACATTTGAACCTTTGCAAGAGAGGTTTATATAAATTTTCTAAACATTTATATTTTTTTATTTATTGACGCTCGTCAGAAAAGTTGAAACAAGAGTTCACCTCTGAGAAAGCTTCGTCTTCTATCGTCGATATCGAATTTTCGGAGAAATCGAGATACTTGATTCCGCGTACGTGCATGAAGGCGTGATTTTTGATGTTGTTCAGATTACTGTGTGTTATTCGCAACTCCTTGATGTCCATGCCGAACTCGATGAAATTGTCCGCTGACAAAGTCGCCTGCGGCATTCGGGAGATCGAGAGAAAACGCAAGTTTCTCATTTGTCGTAGATCCTGAAGAGAAATAACGCCGTTCTGTCTGCCGCTGAGATCCAAGGTGTACAACGAATACTGGAAACCGTTGAAGACTTCGACTGTAAGCAAACGTTATCGTGAAAACACAACGATCAGTTTGACGTGTCCGACGATTGCAATACGTGAAATTGTGAATAATTTACTTGGCGAAAATGTGTCGATACGATTCTCGCGGAAGACGAGCGTGCGCAAGAAATCGAACTCTTGGAACAGATGGCTCGGTAGCATAGTTATGTTGTTTCCCGAGACGTCCAATAGCTCGAGCGATGATTCCAGACCGGCTAAATTGGCCGAGCTTATCTCCAGCAGATCGCAATCGCTCAGGTACAGCTCGCGAATGCGCGAGTTTCGGAAAGTTTCCTCCTTGATCGCATAGGTTTTTAACTTCGTTATTGATTGCAATTTATTTATTAATACAATTTGTGAGTTCGATTATCGTACCTCGATTATCGTCAGAGGATTGCCTCTGAAGTATGTGCGATTGACTTTGAAGAAGTGCTGAAAATCACCGGCGGACAGGTTCTCGATCTGATTGTAATCAAGCTGCAACACATCAAGGGACATCTGCACGCCCCTGATCTCCGGCTCCTGCTGAGTCTGCAGCATTTTCGATATCCTGTTGTAACTGAGATCGAGAACCTTCATGCGCTTCAGCAGAGACAGTTGGGCGTATGGCACGTGCGTTAGCTGATTATCGTTCAGATAGAGGTGCGTCAGGTGAGCCATTCCGTCTCTGAACACCGACGGATCGATCTCCTTCAGACTGTTCTCCCGAAGATCAAGGATCTCCAGATACGTGAGACCGGCGAACGCGTCGGCTGGCAACTTCTCGATCGCGTTGCGACCCAGACGCAAAGTCTGAAGAGAGTTTTCCAAGCCGCGCCAGTTCTCCGGTGACACGCGGGATATCTTGTTGCCCGTGAGTTCGAGAAGTCGCAATTTCTGCAAGTGTCTGAACGACTTGCTCGGCACGTTCGCGAGTTGATTGTAGGATAAGTCAAGCTCCCACAACGATCTCTCGAGACCTAGAAAGGCTTCATCCGGAATGTCTGCCAGGGGATTATGCTTGATCTGTAGCTTATAGAGACCTACAATTCATGACAATTTATTTTCGCGTATTTTCCCACACAATCTATCGCAACACATCAAACTACAACATGTAAAACCCAACAAAGTGCACGCACAAATAATACGTGTACATACACTAGGAAATAAGAACAAAAAAATCTACAATTTTGATTTTTTAATGCAATGAGAAATTTAAAAAAAAAGGAAGTGTGCGAAATAAAAAATGCAGCCGTGTCGACATTTCTTCAGTTTCCATTCTTTTACGTACCGGTGTTCATGAGATATTGGGGCTGCAGAAATCTGAGCCCGTTGTTTTCCAGTTGCAGCATGAACACCTTGGACGAATTAATTGGCTGCGGTATTCGCGGCATCGGCACATTGTAACACGCGACTATGCCGAGATCCGGTATGGCTTTCGAGCAGGTGCAGAGCGGATTGAAGAAGCACGGCGGATATTGAACCGGTAGCTCGTGCATCCTCACCACGGATGCCCACATCATCAACAGCAGGGTGATTATCAACATAGCGTAGGCGACCTTCACCAAAGTAAAGAGCTTCTGCAAATTATTGATTTCACGTATCGGATTCGTTTTCGAAGTTGTGCGCGACGCATTGTGAAGAGACAAAAAAAAAAAAGAAGAATTCGTCTCGGTTGAGTCAAAACAAATTTTGAAAAACCATTTGTTAGAAACGACGGCTAAGAACGCGATTGACGAGCGTAAATAAATAATACCGCCCTGATAACAGCGCGCTAAACGAGTATCTTCTCTAACGGGTTGCAACGTCTCAGCGCGCCTCAACGAGATTTGAATAAAAATTGTCCTCAAAATCTCGAAGGTGTATGAATCTTCGAACGCGTTCCGCAATTTAATAATTATCCCAATTACATTTAAATTTCATTAAATTATTATTCAGGTTTTACCATGCTCTCTTTGAAAAATTGCCCCGCAAAAAACTCTTCGCGTGTTTTACTCTCTTCTGCTAAGATGACACACAACAACAAAACACCGACTGGCCGCTCGCTTTCAGCCGGACGCGGTCGTTTGTCGTTGTGAGCGTAATAAGGCTTCGCGTGCGCACTGAACGGGAGTCCCGGTGCTTCTCTTTACTAGATTACAAATGATATTCCATTAGCAGGCGATCGAATAAAGCTGTGCGCGCAAAGCCATTTAACTAGTCTCGTCGCGGTCGGTAATTATATTTGAGCACATTAAGGACTGAGACAACATTTTGCAGAGCTCCACAATATGTAAGAAACATCATCACCCAAATCTTTTTTTCGCGGAAGAAAGTCTTTATCTTGTATAAAAACTCTATTTCTCTTCTTAAAGCCAAGTTACGTCATCGGTATCCTATCACCTCGGTACTTAGCCGTGTTGTTAATTGCCGTATTACTTTGATAGTTTGGTTTTGTTTCAAACTCTTTTCATTCATACAACACGTACGAGACGATATGTGGGAGGAAGAAGAGCAAACAAAAAAGAATGAAGACAGAATCGTAGATAAAAACAACCATTTGTATTTAGGCCAATTATAAAATTTATTTCGCTTATCACATGTCTATGTAAAAAACGATAGATCAGTTTTCATAATTTACATAAATGTACACGGCCCGGTTTTTTTTTTTTTTGTTTTTCTTTTCTTTTTTTTTTAATAAACTTTCACATTTGTAATGCATCGTAACAAGAAATATTGAATACAACTGTGGGAAGATAGAGGGTACATTTATACATACACATTTGTATATATATTTATATTAAAAACATCCATAAAAAATATCTGTTTTTCTTAACGATCCGAAGACTACATAGTTTTTTGTGCGTTTCCGTTGCTGATGGCATTGGAAGAGAAATCAGTCTCAGTCTTCTCTGACTGCTTGCGCGTCGTCTTTCGCGACAGCCCGAGACGGGGCACAACAAGTATCGCGAACAAACCCAATAAATGCGGGAGCAGGTACAAATGCCTAGGAATTAAAAAAGCGATATGTTAATAAAAGTTAAACTTTTTATATTACATGTGTATATAGTTTTTGTTTTGACGATTGATATGTGACGGTGACACTTACAGGTACACTTTGATGCTTGGCACAAATTCTAATAGTATAAAACTGAACGTTATGTAGGCCATCACAATCCTCGTCGTGATAAACGTTAACACATCGTAGAAGATCTTCATTCGCCTGGACTCTAAGAACAACGGCCGGACGTGACGACGAATCTGTTATAACAAAATTGTAACGCATGAGAATTAGATTCACGCGCGATTATTATTCGCGAGAAATTTGTAGAGATAAAAAAAAAAAAAAAAAAAAAAAAAAAAAAAAGTACATTATCGTGTGCGTATACCAACCGAACGTGACGCAATAGTGAAGAGAGCTCCGCTCGCGAACGTAAGGTAATAGCCGGGATAGAAACCGTGCCAGATAGCGGAGAGGGTGTACGTGTACAATACTTTGTTACGACCGGTTCTCTCGTACACGAGGGATCGCAACCACAGATTCGTGCCTTTGTTCCAACTACTGATGCTATCCCTAAGAGTAAGTGACATCTGAAAATTGAGTAAAACGATAAAAGCAGCTACAAGAGCAGCTCTCGATAAATGCGAGCTCTGCTAAGTTGACAAGAAAGGTGGTCAAAAAGAGTCACTCTCTTACAATCGTCAGAGAGAGAGAGAGAGAGAGAGAGTAGCGTTTCTTCTTTAATTATTGTTTTCTTATTTATTACAAAAAAATAAAAAAAACTGCAACTGCGTCATGTCTCGCACCTCGAACTTGTACACGTCGACATTGGACGTCATGTCCCAGCGTGCGTTGCCTTGTTCGTCGTAACCGTTGAAGCCGAGGCCGGAATTGTTGCATATCGCATCGGCGAACAACCAAGCGTGGTAATACTTGAATCGTACGAGCATAGTCGTCATCATAAGGAATATTATCATGTGAAATATATTTGTGGTCTCCAGGAATTCGTTCTCTGAGAAAAAGATGTTGAGCGTTATAGTCATAGAGACAATTTTAAACTACACAGAGCGGTGAGGAGAAACTGAAGATAAAAACAATTCGAACCTTTTAAACGTTGTATCGGGAAGGTCGGAATGAGCGTGATGAATATAAGCGCGCATAACAAACTGGCTGTGACTTTTTTCGCGACGACTAGAGTGGGCGACGGTTCCACAACAATTTCATTTTGTTGATTCCTCTTCTCGTAAAAGCTCTGAAACACATCGTACATCCTAATTATTTTTTTGTTTGTTTGTAAATATTTTATAATGAAACAGCACGTTAACGTTTCTCACCGCTATAGATTTTGTGCCAGGCAAATGATTCCCATGTATAAAATCAATGTAATCGCGATAGAATATAATCGGACCAGCCATCAAGGCTTGAAAGTGGAAGATGTAGCTGAAGTATTCCAAAGTACTTGGCATTTTTCTGTTAAAATTAAAACGTCTAAGTAAATTGTTCGATTTTTTGATAAATGATTCTCAAGTTAAATTTTTGCTTTTTTCTATCATCTTATTTTTTTTTCTTTGTGCGCGATATAAATAAAGTGTCGCATGGGACCCCCGTTTAAAGAGCAAAAGCACTCACTGCACAGCCTGATGACGTTGCATCTGTGTTAGCTCCTCTTCCCGACGCGTTAGTCCATCATGAATGCTATACGCTAGACTAGTTACTTTCTGCGTTATAACCATGAGAGGACCTGAAAAGAGAGAACGCATGTACATACGTTACATATATATATATATTACAAAAGCGAGACACGAGAGACACTTCGTCGCGCCGAAACATTTGCAAGCGAGACACGCAGTTACTTGCGCATAATAGGATATAAGAGACATTCGATATCACAGACTGCTGAATATTGAGTTGAACGTGACTCGATTAACAAAATTTTATTATTCAAAAACAAATACATTAATAGCTGACTTATAAGTATGACAATTGATAGAAGTTACATGGAATAGAGCTGAAAATGTTTAACGCCCGTCTATCTCTCAAAAAGATTTGCAAGAGTTATCTATAGAGTTGAGTCATGTAAGAGAAATGAATACGAACGGACGTGACTTACATCATCGTACAATCGAAAACATAAGAAATAACATCGCCAAGATATTCTAACTATTAACAGTAACACACGAGATTTACATAAAGATTTAAAGCTTGTTTGTGGTTTTCTTGTTTTATGACGTCAGAGGCGAGAAATTAGTTTTTTTTCAAACTCACTAAAAGTTTCTTACAAACTACGGCTTCAGTTTTTATATACGTCATAAAATAATTTACTTTAAACGATGTTTTTCTTCTAACTTAAGTCTTTGATCGAATATTGTGTACGTGAACGCAACAATCCGAAACAATATGTAACTTCGACATATAAACGAAAAAAATAAATAAATAAATAAATAAATATAAAATACGCGAGTAAATTGAAGGGGAAAGAGAGAGAAATAGAGAGAAGGAGAGAGAAGTGAGATTATGAGTTAAACGTACCGGTGATGTCGAGCTTGTACGAGCCGTAATCATACATCTGACGATGTAAGTGAATGCACGATAAGTAGATCAACGCTATTGCGAGAACGACCCTGAAACACATTCAAACATACGGGAGTCAAGTTCGTGCGGCCATCGTCGTCGGTCGCGTGATTTACGATGGGGTCAAACGTGGTTAATTCGACAATGATCGTGCGCACATAGGTATCGTTACGTCGCATGTATGCAAACGATTGCGCAAAGTACACTTTATATCGTTATAAATTGTTGTATCATCGCTCGTCATTATTTATTCACGTTAGACTCGATAAAAAGGAAGTAGAAAAAAAAAAACACAGTCACGATGATACCTTGGTTTCTTCCATAAATCAATTATGGAATCAAAATATTCAAATAAATTGCAGAAAAAAACGCGAATCATCACCGCCCGAGAAAAAAATGGATTAGATCTAATTTAAATCTAACGAGATAAAAAAATATATTGAAAAATAGATCTAATTAGATCTAAATGAAATCTAAATAGATATAAGGTAGATCTAAATAAATATAAAGTAAATCTAAATAGATATAAGTAAATCTATGTAAATTTACACTTTTATTTATTATTAGATCTACTTTTGATCTACTCAGATCTATTATATTAGATCACCTCAAATCCGTTCAGATCTCCTTAAATCCAAGTAAATTTCAGTAGTTTTAATATAGTAGATCTGAGTAGATCTAAAGTAGATTTAATAATATATAAAAGTGTGAATTTACATAGATCTGCTTATATTTATTTAGATCTACTTTATATCTATTTAGATTTGATTTGGATTTAATTAGATCTATTTTTCCATTTTTGTTATCTCTTTAAATTTCAGTTAGATCTAATCCGTTTTTTTCCCGGATAGCGAGAAAAACAACACGTGGATTGTCATTACCATACTGCTAACGTATAACAAAAAGGATCAGTGATAATGTTTCTATTATTTATTCATTCATTTATTCATTAACTATTTCTATTATTTATTCATTCACTTATTCATTAACACATTTTATTATTTATTCATTTATTATTCAACACGCATCGTGTGCGCAATACTTATATTTCGTATCTCACCTCTGCACGTTGTGCGGATTTTGTGTGAGCATCGCTATGTAACATAGCGCGGGAAGACCAACGAGATGAACGGCTTGCCTGGAAAAAAAACATTGATAACTGAGCAGTAAACTTGTTATATCGGAATGCGTCAATAATCGCGGTGGCACGATAAAAAAAAAACGTAACTTATGTAAATATAGTCGCGATTAAAAGACTAATCTTAAGAAATTTTAAACAACAAGTGCAGTAGACATATATTAAATGCTCATAATTGAAAGAACTCATGACCTCGGGGATTGACAAAAAAGATAAATAAATTTAATAAAATTCAGAAGGATTTATATATTTTCGAAGATAAATGAATTATCATTTGTATATTGTCAACTGAACTTAACAACTGAACTTTTAACTGAATTTATCATCGAGACATTATTATATGCAAAAGTGACTAGGTTTTATATGTTATTTTTTGATATGATAAATCTCTTCTATAAGAACTTCAAGGTCCTCTTTTTGTATGCAACGCGCAGCGCATCAAAAAACTGTATGGCCAAAGCGATTTTGAAAAAATTTCTGAATGGAACTCGGAGGAGTCTTGCTTACACAAGAAAACAAATTGAAATTTCAGCTTCTTTTTTAAACAATCTTTGTGTTGTTTCGACAAAGATTGACTAATCTTTGAACAAATCTCGCGTGAATGGAAAATTCATGCAAACACGCGTGGAAACACAATGTAATCAGCGCGTATAGTAGTAACGAAAGAGAGACGTCTCGCCGAGCGTAACACTGCGTACAATTAGAGTAAATCTTCTTAACTCTTCTCGAATGAATGTAGTCGTAAGAAGAAGAAAGATCGGCGGATACAGACAACGATCCACACAATTCTGTCTCTTCCTTTCTTTCCTCCGTGAAACCAGAACGTGACAAAGACATATCTTTAAACCGCTTTATTTTAAACAGACATTATTTTTAAAAAGCTTTCAACGACCTGCTCAACGAATCAATTATGCACTTCGGTATTTCGAGCTAACTACGGTCAATTTGTCGCGCCACGTCAAAAATAATCACGCGTGTGACAATTCTCGTGCATTATTTATACGCGGGAGACGAGAACGGAGTGATATCTCACCTGCCAAAGCAAAAATATCCGAGGGCAAGGCCAATAGTAAGACCGTACACATGTCTGGTAGCTGGAGTAACGGTGGCGGGACTCAGACGCGATCTCAATACTCCGGCTAGTACGAGAGCGGTGAATTGCGTCAAGAGAAAATTCACCTGCGCAGAAGAAACAAAATTGTTTTAGTCAAAGTCAAACGGGGGAATTAGATCAGGAAGAGCCACGTGTGATCATCAGTCACGTGGTAAAAACCTTGCTTTGTGTCGACTTGAATTTATTGCGCATATGTCGATTATAGTTCCGGTTCTTCTGTATCAATATTTACAAGCTCTGATGTCGCGACATGAAATAAATAATGTCAGCACAAAAGAAGATTTTTTTTTTCACGACAACTACGTTTGTTTGGATCTTTTAGCGTTTTGTCTCAATCAAAAGGATAATTTCTCGCACAACTTAAGCGCTTAAACCGTTTACTCATTAACGCTGATAAGAACATCGCGTCCTTTGCTCCAGACAAACAGGTGAAGAAAATCGACTAACGAGCTCTGACACAGCTTCCGAGGCTCGGTTACAACGCGATCTCGCAAAAAGCGCTACGACTGAGTGGCGCTTTTGCAATTCGATCAAGTAAACCAATGCCTTTATCAAACAAAAAAAAACATATAATAAAACATACTCCGATAACTTATTTTTAAATTCAAAAAGTCAACCGATAATATTTTTCTGACATTTATCTGTGCACCTACTGTGTGATATTTTAAAAATAGATGAAAAGCGATAAATAAGAGAAGTGCCTCTAAACATAAAGGCTCTCTAAAAATAAAAAATGATGTAACCAGAGCATAACGGTGTTTGTGTCTAAGCGTCGGGAGAAAAGCTCCACCGTTTTGCAATTTCATCGCAAAAAGATAAAATGTTTTAAAAAAAAAAAAAACATCAATCATTTCGGACACTGTATTTTGTTAGGTGCAATCTAACGGGTGCGCGCGCTCAATTCGCAATTCGCGTGGAATTTTCCTAGAATGCATCCTGGTTTGAAACGCGGCCGAGATCTGCGCGACGTTGATCACCGCAGGGTCGTTGATCCTTTCGCCTAGTAATTTGCACAGTTTCAAATTGTACCAAACAAACATCTCTCCACGTTACAACGTTCTTACTCGCGAAACCAAATACGTGCATCGTCAACGTTTTCGCGAGTATTGGTTTTTCAATATACACGTAACTTCTTTTTTTCTAACTTTAAGTATATAAAGTTTCTTTTATTTGTGCGGTGTTTTTCTTGCGTGTTCGACTTCTTTTACCCTCGTTCAACGTAAATGTATTCTTCGCGTATCGGTTTTCAAGCTCAATTGTTATTTTGCCGGTAAGACGCACCGATGGAAATAGAGCTGACTGATTTGCGGACGATAAATATTCATGATTCTTCGCTGAAAATGCAGATGAGAAATAGAGGCGGCAAGAAGAAAATCCGGTCGCTCGTTTACAACGCAATTGCTACTGTTACTGCTCGTTGCAAAAAAAAAAAAAAAACAACGTAACGGCCACCGTTCATTCTTGTTGCACGTACGCGCGGTGACGGCGTTTTCAACCTTTGGCAACGCGCTGCGGCTCGTAAAAACCGCGTGCAACAGGGCGTAGTAGTTAAATCTCGCTTCGCATTATACCTGTTGCGTTCGTTGAAATTTTATTACACTCGGCAGCTGAGTTGTCTTTTTTTTTTTATTTCAATTCCTCTTGCGCTCTTAAATCGTAACGTAAACGCGCACTTGGTAAACGAGGCGCTCTGCTCGCTCATCGATAATTGGGACGTTAGTGCTCCCGTTTCTTCGCAATAACACGCAGGTAAATCTCTTCTTGCGCGCATTTCACAGTTGTTTGTTAATTTAATCTGTGATTATTTATTAATTAATTAAACTTCACACTCGGTTCACATTTGAAACGAATTTTTGTGAATTTCAACGTTTTCTTTCGCACAAATGTTTTACCGTAACGAAGACCGTTCTATTCGCAAGCACATTTCTCGCGCATTTATTCTATCTTGAGAATTCGATCGATAAAATATCGGAGTTCTATCCGGTTACGAAGGATTCTATTTGCTAAGTCACGTCGATCTATTTTCTATCGAAATTGTCAACGCGTTGCATTTTGCGCGAAAAAGCTTCTCGTCATCGAGAGTGCAGTAGAATAAATCTCTTTGTTTTCGTTATCTCCGTATTGCGCGATTTCTTGTATCGCTTTTATAATGCATTCTGCCATCGGACGTCAGTCGCATATTCTCTTTCGAAATACGTACGCACAGTGTTTATTACTTTTACGAGCTAAGCCGAGTATCGAACTCGCTCTATCCCGCACGTAAGTGCTCGCATTTCGCCTTGGGAGAGAGAGAACCATCACACAGCAATTTACGTCGCAATTAAATCCCCGAACACTAAAACAAAAAGAATAAAAAACGTACACGTAAAACTTTGATATTGTCTCACAGTCTCATTAGAAAGCACATTAAAAAAATATTAAAAATCATTTAAGTAAGTGAAAAAGTATAACGTGTGTCAAATACCTCTTCAATATTGCGTGTTTCATCATTTAAAAAAAATTCTACTCTTCGCTGTAATCTTTTTCTTTTTTGCGCGTCTCGAATTAACGTGTTAATGTCACCATCACGCGTATTACCCACAAGTCTACACACACAGAACGCGCATATTCACCAGAATATCATCTACATTTACAGAACAGATGTTAAGACAATTTGCCTTGAACTTAATATAATTTCAAAGGATATATAATTCCAAACCGCATGTGAAACGCGCGCGAGGTATTTTATTGTCGGGTGATGTAACGCGCGATGTAATAAATTGCTCATTGATCTCGGAGTTTATACATGCATGTCACACCTGTCAATCCGAGATTTATAATTTGCAAATAGGTGCGGCGCGTTGGTATTTTTTTTTTTTTTTTTTTTTTTTTTTTTTTTTTTCATCCACAACCTCACGTCTCACGTAAAAATGTTGTCGCACAAGTCGAGCGCAAAATAAGAAAACTTTCTCGAGTGATGACACAGAGAGTATCCTCGAACGTTTTCGTTTGAATGAACAAGACCGTGATTAATTGATTATTCAAGGCGGTTAGGTCTCGACGAGAAACTTCTCGTAAGCGAGAAACTTAGAGAATTTAACATAAAACATTTATTAACGCACACGCGTCATTCGCCGCACGATTGTGACAATTATTTGCGACCTTGCTTTCGAGACATTGGTATTTTAATAAATGCTAAATGTCGCAAGAAAATGGCTTGTTTACATATCTGTTTTTCGGACTGATAGTCGCTCTGTCATTAGTCCGTAAAAAACAGATAGGTATATAAACGGAGCATTTTATCGCGAGATTAACATTTATTAAAATGCCAATGGGACACTGAAGGCGCCAAAGTCCAAAGAAGTCGTGTGATGTAACCCTGTCAATATTTTCAAACGCAATTCCGTGCACATTGCTTCGTTCAATCATGTCCTTTCCAGTGTCCTTCCTCGTGCGTATTCTCGCATACAAATCTCCAGAGCTCGCAATGTGACGGCTGTCAAAAACTCCGTCGCTAATTAAACGCATAAACGAGAGACGATATGCAGCAATTTGCAAATATCGCGACCGAGTACGCGAGAAAGAGGAGAAAAAAAAAACACGCGCGGTCAACGGGACGATCTTCCGTGCGATCGATATTTCCCTGTTGCCGCTTTCGAAGACGAGTCTCTCCCGGGAGGGCAGCGACACGCGCCTGGTCACGTTTGGTCCAAGCGCGCCGGTAAAACGCGCGTACTCGGTCGTCGATCCTTACCTGATCGATCGGCAGCCCGACGAGATCCGCGAACCAGGAGAATGTGCGAAAGCCGTCGTAGTAGTTACGCTCCGTGGCCATTATCAAGGATACTTCACCTGGAGGAGGCGAAAAACGTCACGCGTCGTGTGTCGCACAAGCACGCATACATACAGACACACACGCACACACGACGAATTTACGCGGGATGAATCGCGTAGTGTGACAGCGGCGACTTCTGCGCAAGCACGTAATCACGCGACAACGTCCGAGCGAGATGCAACACAACGCAGACAATCGACACTCTCTGTCCGGAAGATCCGCCCGACCACCGAGAAGAAACGAACGACCGACCGCGACTGCGAACTAAATTGGAACGCGCGCCGGGGCGCCGGTTCCATTGCCGGCATGTGCGGTGTGTGCGTGTGTACGACGAAGATAGCATCGCAACGCGCGGTCATCCGCTAACCAATCGCGTTGCGAGCACGGACAGTTCTCGATGATGAGGCGATGGGACGGGCGGGGTGAGTGTGACCGAGCAAAGCGATCTGTCATCCGATTGCAAAAATGGATTATTGAACCGGCTATTGTAATAATTGACTTTGATCGTGACATTACCGGCCGTAAATCAGGAGAGAAAGAGAGATGAGACAATTCCTGGGAATTTATAACAGAAAAAAAAATAATCGACATCACCGATCGATATCATTTGATCTCTTATTACTCTATTGTTATACATATTGCAATTATACTACTTTTTCAAACGTAGATGTGATATTATAGTACGCGCACTCTCAGGAAGATAGAAAAAGAAAACTCTAGTCAGATGGTGGAAGAGGAGGAGGAAAGAGAGGTAGATTAATTAAAAGAAAGGAAGAACTAGGAAACGTATAAGAGCTAAGGGTAGAGAAGAAACTAATTTAACTAAGATAAGATAAGTTAAGATATATATAAGATATATAAGAAAAACAGAGTAATATAGTATAAGATGATGTAATATATGTAATATATGAAATATGTCCGCGAGGGAGGAATATAGGAGGGTGTGTGTGTAAGATAAGATAGGGTAAATTAAAACCAAACCAAAGCTGTGATACTTAGTATGTTGTAAAGTATATATTTCAAAGGGTAGGTTAGAAATGAGAAGGAGAGAAGAGATTAGACAGAGCAGGTCAGAGCAGGAAGGGCAATAGAGATAACATGCGTACGCAAAAATGAGATATGTAATAGGATAAGATATATGTAGAAAGAAAATTGTAAGAAATGTAACCAAGTTGCCTTCTTGGCCGTCAGGCTGAAAGATTAATAAATAAATATTAAAAATTTAGTACGCGCACTCTCTCTCTCTCTCTCTTTCTCTGTTAGAATAAATTTTATTATATTCTCTTTATTACAATAGAAATATATATTTACATGTGTATAAAAAGAAATGATATGGCAACACAAAAAAATACAAAGTATATTCGATTAATATTCATATAGTTTTGTTTTGTGTAAGAATAAAGATTTTATTTTCTCTTTTGCACATGCATTTATATAACATCGTATATTGCATATATTATACATACGTAAATCAATTTTCTTGATCAGATAAAAAACCAAAACTATTGAATATTATAAAATAAAGAATTGAAAAATTACGCGTGTACATACATAGAAAGTTTTTCAATATAAATTTACATTTAAAAATAAACTGTAATTTGAATGAAATAACTTTATCGTAACATATAAGCACACGCAGTCATTGATGACCATATATTATACTTAATTAATAGAATACGATTGGATAATCTTATTTAAACATTGCACAGTCCACTGGTTATTTTCGCCGATTGTGTAAATCGAAGAAAGGTGTTTGAATTTACTCAAAAAAGAAGAATTGGAAAGTACAGAGTTCAGTCGTGGGCGTGAAATATAAATGCGGATTATGAAATGTGAATTATTATATAAACCTGAAGCCACGTGAAAACATATAGAAATGTCAAGGATGTATCTTTAAAAAAAATAGAAATAGAAATGTCAAGGACATAACTTCAATATTTTGTTTCAAATTATTGTGCAATTTGTTTGCGAAGCATTGTATTTTCTAGATATACATTAATAATATACATCTTTTTTAAAGATATTATTAGCACGTAAGGCAAAAACGAATTATACACGTAAAAAAGTTTAAAGTAAAATTTATAGTTTAAAATGAATTTTTTCAATTTTTTTAATTTGCAAAAAGATAAATTTGATCATAGTAAAAATATTTGATGCAAGTGTTCTTGAATTATGTGCTTTTATTTTTCATACATATATATTTTTTTTTTTTTTTTTTTGCAATACGTGTAGATATAATTTTAAAAATATTTTACATCCAATTTTTCTTTACATTGAACAGGTACTATGTTCCTTTCATATATTCTCTTTCCCTTTCGTAGTACATACAGTATTTACATACGTCTTTAACATTTTTTTAATCATATAACAAAATAATATAATGTATCGTAATACATTACATTATTATACATGAATTTTTGTAGATACGCATCTGAAATTGTGTGTATACGAAAGAGCGACGCAGCTTGTCAAGTTTTCACATTTCCAACTTAATTACGGATTACAAAACCATCGATTTTCATTACAACAACGATAGGTGTGTAATTTTGCTGCAATTCAGAGAACACAAATATTTGTAAAGTAAACTTTCCCTTAAAAAGTGAAAGAATCTAAAAAGAACACTTTAAAAAGAAAAAAGTAATTCTCTTTTTTTTTCCTCTTTGTCGAGCCCGTGTTGCAATAAATTATCTTCCTACATTGTCATATTTGTATTTACACTATACATTATGTAAAAGATGTTTCACACATCTTGTAAAATGCGAGATTAAGTTTTTCTGTAGATTTTCATGTCACTTTAAATATTACGTATATAAACGTCGACAAAGCAATAATATTACATGACAAGAAACAGTTATGGCCCAGTCACGAAAGGTATATACAACAAATGTATCACCTCACCACGTATCAATATATAATAGCTCTAGATCATTTGATCACAAAATCAAATTTTTTTTTTATAGCGCGATCTATATCTTCTTGATTTCTCAATATATGTAGTTTTCAATACAAGCGAGGTAGTTGCGCAATGAAGGGCTAAGAGTCGCGCGCTTTCTTCAGATCTCTTGTTCATCAATTTGAAGTTTTTCGTCGGTAAAAATCGGTTTAAATTTTTACCACAGTGTCTCGTTTCATCTCGTTTAGTAACTATATTTCAAGAGATCTATTTCAAGGCGTCACGTAAAGCTAAGACTAGCTAAAAAAGATCTTGTTGATTTTTTTTTTTTCACGTATTACATTTTATACGATGTAATAAGCATCTCAATAATAAGCCATGCAATTTTTTTTCGAGAAAAAAATCAAGTTCAAATGCGGTAGGCGTTCTGAAATGTATGTCGTTGAAAAATGCGCAACTCTCCTGATACGCGCTCCCGTCTTGCATTGCTTCATTTGATTTTTATTTTGTGCAGTTTGAGCTTGAAACCGAGCAATTCCGAGAGTACTCCCGAGAGTGCTGACAGTAATACTACTTTAGTGATAGTGTACAGATACGGATTAGCCGAGAGTCCGGAGATTTTGAACGGACTCTCCAATTCCTGGAAAACATGCCTTTGAATTAATTTTTCGTTCTACAGTATCGATAGCTGATCGCACAATATAGCACGATAGAGAAAGAGACACGTACCTTTATCAGATCAGCGGCTAATTTCAGTACGCTATTTGCCACCATAAGCTCTTCTTTCTTATGCGGTTTTTGTTCAATTTGTAAGTATAAATTTATCTAAAAGTCACCGAGAAATGAAATGAGTTTGTTTTGAAGATTCTGAGATGCTAGCAAACATATAACATGTATGTATATAAGAAAACCTACCTGTTCGGTTATTAAAACCGAGAGATTTCTATACTTCTTGTTGATTTTCGTCCCTAGCGTCATAAAACGCAATATAAATATCCCAAGCGAAAAGCTCCAGAATAACGCTTCGACGTTGTATCGCGAGTGTAAAGTTTCGAGATCCTAAAATGGGATATTTGCACTGTTAAGGAGAAAAGAAAACAGAGACGTTCAATATAAAAAATTCTCGTTCACTCACTTTAATTAACTCCAAACTTACGAACGACAGCAATAATATAGTAACAATAAATACTGCTGATACAATTACGTCTACGGATCGTTGAGGCCCTCTTCTCTGTAACGCGAAAATCATGTATGAAAGACAATATTGAACGAATACTAGCCAAAACGCTCAACGCTGTTTTTCTTACTTTCAAATACGATCTGACGCTCAGCCACGTCTTTATGTTGCGCACTTTGTTCAGACGGAAGTGCGGCAAATCGGACTTCCGTGCGCGTCTGGATGATGTCAAGTGAGAGAACAATTTGGCATACAGAAGTCGCTGCTTGTACGTGCGTTCCGCTACCGCCAATAGGAAAAACAGGAAACACGATAGCAAGAATCGCTCGAACATCGATATCAGTACGACTGTTCGTTCGCTGGAGAGAGGAGAATTAATTTGAGAGAGATTGATATCGCATCGATCCGCGAAGATATTTCGATATATACAAACGTCTTGCAACATCTATCCTCTTACCAGAATGTATTTCCAAACGCTATGCCAATTACTTTACACAGGACATCGGTGTAGGTTTCAAAATTGAATAAATAGGTTTCCTGGATTATATCGTTCGGTAATAGATTAATAGATGCGTTGCTAACATTATCCGATCCTATATGATCGCTCAGTCGTTTTATCGACGGTATGAGACACAGCGAGATACTAAGTATCAGACCGCTATAAAAGTAATTCATACTCTCCGGCATAGATTCAACTCTGGCGATAATTGCCGAACTTATGTCGAGTACAGACAATTCGGCTTTCTTAATATCACGTCGTGTCCAAATGGTGCATGAGACTACAATATAAGAGATATATATCAGATCTCTTTTTATATATAAAACCACTTTATAACTGTCCAATATTTTCCTTACTAACCGCGATCAGACGACGTGCAAGTAGAGTTGAGCAATATTGACGGCGGTAATTCGAACTCCCAGGAAAAAGGATGCTCAACAAATTCCCCGTAATTCAGATTGGTCTCACTAGGCAGATCGGATTCCCCGAGTTCTGAACTGTGATAAAAATTCAGTTTTTATGAGAAACTGTCATTGAACTGTTATTTCGATTGACACGCGTGTGTTTCCGAATTTCTTCTCACCTGCACTCGTCGCTGTTGGTGGTGACTCCCATCCATTCCGTGGCAGAAGTTGTCGCCTCTGTGAGATGATGCGTCGTAGCTTCCTCGCACTCGCCTTCTTCCTCGCTCTCGCACTGCTGCCGTGTCTCTCTTGATCCCATTATTTTAGACGGCGCGTCTTTATCCTTGAATCAAAAAGATCATGACCGGAGCCGAGACGTTAATTATGAAATATATCAAGCAAACATTCAAAAGAATATAATTTATTCTTAATAAAAAAAAAAAGATCTATTATAAAAAAAAGTTAACGTAGTGTTACAATTAAAGAAAAATATAAAATTGACAACTTCAGAGACTTCAAATTAGATAATAACTCTGCAGAGCAGATATATGTATATAATAAACAGTACCTTAATACTGTTGAGATTGCTTTTGCTATCCGTAAAATTGCCATCATTTTTTAATGGATCGGGTGCTGCGTGGAAAGTGGAAAACGATGATTTAGCTATTTACTCCATTAAACCTTTCCAACAAAGATTAAAGCGTGTTAGCGGTTCGGAATTGTGTAAGTAAACATAAAAGCACATTAAAAGACTTTTTCTCTTCCCGTAGAGAAGTTATGCTGAGTCGCGAAACCACATGTGTAATTTTTACGGTTAAAATTTTTTTTTATTTATGCGCTTTTATAATTTACGCGTACGACAAATTCCACAACAAATACAAATTTGTAGTTAATTTCAACTACACACAACTGCTAACTTGGCTAAACAATTACTTTCAAACAAGTACTTGTAAAGCAAACCTGAGCGTTTTGACGGAGGTGAAATTTGTTGGCTGGCGCTATCTTCCGACCACGAGGTACGATCTTTAGTTTGTCGTGTTGTTCCTGCACGCGATCTGTTTCTTTGCACCTGTATACGGCCGCCTACTTTATCATTATCACTAGAGACGTTACCATTTAAACTTTCAAAGCCATCGTCATCTTGATGTATGCTCGCCACATGCTCTTCCGCCATGTTATCTGTGTTGAGAAAGAAGTGGATATATAAAATTATATAAAATATGCCAAACCTTGCAACAACATAGATGATATTACTCTTACCTGGCTGTTCACGATTGGCTGAGCTTTCATTGGTGGGGTTTGAATTTTCCTCATTTGTACTTATTTTGTCTTTCTTTATTGATTCTTTCTCATACACTAATTGAGCACTCGCAGATTCCTGTTTTTGAAACATTCACGCACAAATAACATTTACGAATGTTAAGAACAAATATATTAAAAAATATGTACAAATTATATATTTTTTTTACTTTATTGTGGAATTTATGACGCTCTCACCTTAGTAGATTGACCGACAGTCGAAGAGTTTTCGATTAGCACTTTCTTAGCAAATCTAACTGATGTGAATACTTCTTCGCTGCCGGTGCTTGCTTTTTCCGAGACCATTTCTTGAGATTTTGAATCTTTGTGCATACCTGCGGTAAATACGTTTACGTGTTTACAAGACCAAATTTTTTTTTTTTTTTTTTTTTTTTTTTTTTTTTTTTTTTTTTTTTTTTTTTTTTTTACGTACTTAGACTTTGTCTACTTCTTGACTTTCCGTTTCTGCATCTGGCTTCACGTCGTGAACGTCTTGGTATTCGTAATTTGGACTGATTATACTTCAGAGGAGGACCTGAATGCGTCGACACAATATGGGAATGAACAATGCACAGGACAAACATCATAACAACAGGTACTAATACTTCTGACATTGACACAATCTGCAAACAGATGTGGCAATAAAGACAACAAGTAAATGAATGACAAAGCCTCGAAATTATTAACAAATCTTTTTTTCGTACTTCTGGCTCATTCTCCCTGTGTGTAAACATGTAATACAGGGTCATGTTAACTGCTTGCAAGCTGTACAGTAGCAAGAAAAGCGCAAAGATACGAAAACTCGTTTGCTCTATCCACCACTTTTTGCAGAATGGAAGAAACAAGAGTCGCTGAAATGCCAGGCAAGCTACGGTCGACAAGCCATGCTTCGGTTTGGCTTTCGGAAATGAAGATCCTATGTACATTGAGATATATCACAGATAAATATATATATATATGTATATATATATACATGCTTATCCAAGAGAAAAAGTACTAAAAATATATAATACTCTATATGTATAAATATACACAGCCGTGTGTTTAAAAACTATCCATACAAAACATACCACGAACAAGATCAACGTCAATCAGTTCTGTTTTAAGTTTTGCCGTTCTCATTGGAACATGTGTGAGTCCGTCAAGAATATGCTGCTCTATAGTTCTCTCCCATTGTTGCTTGTCGTATGTGCCAATCTTTTTTTGATACCTGAAAGAATTATCTTTTATCTATCTCGCACGCGTTACTTTGTTCTGTTTAATATTAATTAATCATTTATTATCCATCATAAGTGTAATTAGTTACACATTGGATTTTTCTTAATTAAAAATACATTTTCTAATTAATTAGAATATAAATATCTTCTCACCAATGCACCAGTCTGTTCAGCCCCATACCCAAAGGCATATTACAATAAAAGCGTTCGACAACGGTTGTTGTTGTTACAGCTAAAATGAAACATATAACAACATACAACTTCAGCAAACAGAAACTCTTTGTTTTGTTTCGTATGCGAAAAATATACAGAGAGACGAAGATAACATTACATCATCAATCTATATAATCGCAATGTCAGTGCCGAATTTAAAAATATTCGCTTTTATTTATATAATATGCGGATTAGATCTCTGACTTTTCCTCTCTCTCTCTCTCTCCTTTAATAATTTCGTGTCATCAGATCTGATCCGAGCGAAGTGTGCGTCGAACTGGTTGTAACTGGTTCATCCGTTCGCGACGTGGTACGGTGTTTAGATGAGCGACAAGCACTACATACGAACCTAATAAATACGCGAAACATCCCGGAGCATTATCGTTACGCGATCGAGAGATCCGGGAGGGAGAAGGTGAAGAAGAGTAGCGAGAAAAGAATGTGGCGAGACCAGTGTAGCAAATTGTTGAGATTTTTATATCCCCACAGCGAAACCCCTAGCGCGCACGCGTCCGTCACGTTTCACAGCTCCCATGTGCTGTACTGCGAGGCACACTCGTACTCACGAGAGAGGGTTCACGTGAATATGTTTTTTTTGAGCGAGATAAATAAAAGTAGTATATGTTTTTTGACAATACAACGTCAAGTGCGCGACATTAATAATATTGCGTAATGAGACCGTGCGTTTGTATTATTTGCAAATAACATGCGTGCTTGCATCTCTTCATTTCTGGTTAAAGGATCCAACAACATTTTTGCAACCAATAACGCACGCTACTGATTTACAAGAATCGCATGCGCGATTTCTTTTGTTTCCGGTGTGTGTCGCGCTGATCAACCGTGTGTCAGCACTGTGGTCGGAAAATTCGGATATTCAATGTTCGATCCACGCGACTGCGAGCGGATGTAACTCTGCTGTAAATAGAAATAGACGATCACAATTGCTGATCCACGGTGGTGATGATAAACGAATAATCGCAGTAATGGCAACCGCAGCATTGGAGCACTTCGTAAACAATGTCCGGACTATGTCAAAGCAGGGTACGACTGATTTTTGGATTATCGTCAAAGCTTAACCTCAATGCGAGAAACCGATGAACGTACAACAGAATCTTTGCTGAAAAATGATTGTTTTTATTTTTTGAATCAATGATCAATAATAATCTTTGAACAATAATAGTCTTTGAATTTTAAAGAGCCAATCTTATGTTCAGCTTGCACATGTAAAGACAATTTGCATAATAAATTTACATATAATATGATAAAAAAAAGTCTAATATAATTATCAAATATATAGGCAATTTTAGAGAACTTAGCGATTACATAGAAAAAAACAAAGATACGTTAATGAAATGTGGACAACACCTGGATACTGTTTTGGAGACGTTAGATGTGCAACAACATTCTTTAGGTGTTTTGGCAGTTCTTTGCATAAAGCTCTCGTTGTCTAATTCTGGGTTTACTTTTGAGACAACCAAGCCAACTTTTGTTCAAGTTCAGGAATTCATAGTTGGATGCAATGGGGAGCAAGTTAGATTTGCGCCAGAAATGTGTAAGTTTGACAACATTTCTGATTTGAACTGCGTTTATTTTTATTTTTTGTTTGTAATATTAATAAATATTATATTTTGTAGTTGCGGAATTGTGTCATCTTTACACACAGAGCCTGGTGGAAGCAAAAATGCCAATACGCGGAATTGAATTGTTACGTCGCGCGATTCGCAAAGCGCAACTGTTTGACAGCCAATTAACATCGATACATGCCGATCTTTGTCTATTGTGTCTTGTGTCCAAATGCTTTAAGCCAGCGCTTGAGTTTCTCGACGTTGACATTACTGGTATCAGTCAGGAAGGCGGTCCGTTCGATTCGAAGTATTTTCTATTGTATTACTATTACGGTGGTATGATATATACAGCACTGAAGAACTACGATCGGGCGTTGTATTACTTCGAAGTGTGCGTAACGACACCCGCGATGGCAGTCAGCTATATTATGCTGGAGGGTTACAAAAAATACATCCTGATCTCACTCATATTGCACGGAAAAGTGTTGAACCTACCAAGATACACGAGCCAGGTGATCACCAGATACATCAAGCCCTTGAGCCAGCAGTATCAGGAACTGGCCGCGGCTTATCAGGTTAACAGTTGTGAGGAGGTGCAGAACATTATCACAAAGTATCAACAATTGTTTGTGAGAGATCACAACATGGGTCTCGTAAAACAGGTGCTTGCTTATTTGTACAAGAAGAACATACAGAGATTGACCAAGACCTTTCTGACGCTCAGTTTAAGTGACGTCGCCAGCAGAGTTCAGTTGTCGGGACCCGCCGAAGCAGAGGAATATATCTTGAATATGGTAAAATTTTTTTTTTTTTTTTTGTCCACGTCAAATTCTGAAATAATTGTTTAACGTTTATGAATATTTTGAGACATTTATGAATTTGTTTTTAGATCGAGGATGGCGAAATCTTTGCGACGATTAATCAGAAAGACGGCATGGTGGTGTTCCACGACGATCCTGAAAAATATAACACGCCTCAAATGTTAGCGAACTTCGAAAACGAAATGGCAGCGTGCACGGAACTGGACAAGCGGGTGTTGAAGATGGAGGAGGAGGTCGTTCTCACGCCGCAATACATTCGCAAAGCTTGCGGACAGAACGATCAGGATGATCAAACCGCCGGACCTGCAACGAACGTTACAAACGCGCAAATTAAACAAACCACTTACCCTCTGTAACATATATGTATATTATTTTGCGCGGTATCTTTATTATGAAACAAATTACGATAACTTGTGAAAAATCTTGTTGAGAATCAAGACTTTAACACGTGTAAAAGTTTGTTTTGGATAACTTATAGCAGTCAGAGAGAAATTTCACAGTTCGCGCGTGCCGTCTTTTTTGTAGAGAAAAATATTTACGAATAAGAGTTGTATATGTGAATACGTGTGAATGCGCGCGTGTGTGTGGATTTAGTTAGGATCTGACATGTGTGTTACGGAGATTTTAATAAAATAATAAATATATATATAAATAAGCCTTGTACTAATTAATATAAAACAAAAATACTCCTATATAGTTCAATATTTATACTTTACAATAAATTATGTAACTCTTTATTCTCATGAAAAATCTCTGTAACATATATAACAAATTTAAAATTAGACGGAAAACGTAAAAACCGATACGCGCGGCGCGGGAGCATTTGCGAAACAAATTATCTTGTCATCAATTTTAAGTTTTTATCGTAAACTCTACATATATATATATATTCGCAACACACACACACCAATTGAATTATAAGTTTTATATCACAATTCGCAATACTTGGAGAAATAGAAATATTTTAGGCACAATATTGATTTTACATATAATAGTGTGTCAAGGTGCGCAATATCGAATCAATATATCACACTTTTCCAAGAAACTTGTCACACATTTATGCATTGACATGGTGTGCGTTTTGTGATCAAAAACATGCATCTCTCACTTCCCATCTCTCTTCGAGATCTCTCTGCCTGCAATCGCACGCAGAAGTAAAAGAAGTTGCTTGATAGCTCTCGAATGTATTTCCAAACTTGGCGCGTGGAAAACAGCGATAATACAAATCCAAATCACAAACACGACGACTTGTAGCTTTTTGGTTGGTTTGTACTTGTTTGAATTTCTAAAACAATGTAGAATCAGATACGTATATTTATTACTTACACACAATGTTGATATATAAATTCATAAATTTTTTGGAAAAGTGGTTGTTTTAACATCGGTTTTTTGAGTTAAAATTTGAATTTATCATAAGGCTGTGCCAAAATATACACTTAAGACAACGAATGGTTGGTGATTTCCTTGGAAACTATTTCATAAACTTCTTCCATATCTTTGGATCCATCGATGAACTTTATGGTTCTGTCGCCGTCTTGTGTGATCTCCTTCACGTACTTTTCGTATTCAGGCCACACTACTTTGTCGAAGTATCCCGGCACGTCGGGAGGATCGTACGCACGATTTTTTCGTCGTTCCCAGCATTGCTCCTTCGTCAACGTCAGGAAGTACTTGAGATCACACAGGTCCGCAATAGTTTTATCTTTGAAGAGCAAAAAGCCGTCCAATATCAATACCGTCTTTCTTGAATCGGTCGCACGTTTTTCGCGGGTGCGAATTATCTTCATAATATCGAAACGCATTCTCTCCATATCGAGACTCGTTATCAAATCCCAATTCATGTGATTCAATTCCGGTATTTTAATGTGACGCGGATCGTCCGGTGGCAAGAAATAATCGTCTTGACGCACCGTAATAGATCCTGGAAAATTATTGCCAATTCTATTGGCCAATGTGCTCTTCCCGCTACAGGTTGCTCCGGATATGCCAACTATTAGCCACTGCTTCGACGTCATTTTTAACGTTATCGGTTCCGCGGTGGTGTTCACAATGCGATGGATAAGAGAAAATTATCTTGTTCAATTGAGCAATTGAGAATAAAGACGGAATGATGTGTCATTACATTATGTAACTGATACCGAGTTCACATTATTATGGTGCGCGTTCGCCTCTTATAATTCTTAGATACGTGCATGAGGTACATAGTAAAGTGTAACAAAAAGAAATATGTTATTCCATTTTCTTTGATTTTGCAGAGGACAAATATGGTCTTATATGATACACAGTAAAGAGTATTAAACCGCCAATAAAAATTAGACCGAAACTCGCGGGAACTATCAGGGCTAGATTGTAGGGGTAGAACAGAGATCTCAATCTGTCATCGTCAATAAATGGCAAACCAATCACCCAGATAGTATAGTATAAAAACAAAATGAGGGTTAATATTAATATCACTTTTCCTTTCTGACGATCGCTATCGAACATTGCTGATCATTCAAATTTGAAATTTTAATTTCAATTCGCACATCGCACTATTTTTTTATATCTAATAATACCATGAGATTAGTTTTATTCTGTGTACTCTTGTTCGAATTTTCTGAAATCTTCTTCGGTGAAAGCTGTGGCCTCGGATTCTTTAGGTTTCTCTTGTTGCCGAGCGTATCGCCTTCCTACAGCACGATGCAACAACTAAAACAAAATTTATTTTCAGACATTATTCTTAGATAAAAAGTTTTAAAAGGTGAGAAGTTTTAATTGCATGCGATAATCTGCTTGATTGCATTTTTTTTTACTATAATTGTTTTCTAACAATATTAATTTTTCACTTACAGTACTCGTTGTTTTGGGATCTAATCGATTGTTGCACAATGACAGAAGTAGTTGTACATTTTTCTCAGTAGGATCTTCTTGAGACGCCAGATGTTTCTGTGTCTCGTAAACTGTAATCTTGCTGGATCTGCCTAGAGGAATATCAGGATCTAAAAAAAAAAAACAAAATATCACTTTGTATCGCACGCAAGTGTACATATGCAAATAATTATAATATAGATATATATATATATATATATACATGCGCAATTTATTATAACTGACGCGACATTGTACTAACCTGTCTCATCGTTTTTGGAAAAAATTCTATGTTTAGGAGGAATTAAATCCCAGACTCCCTCATATTTGATATTTTTACGTTTTTTCTTTCTTTTTTGCGCTGCAATTTGTTTCATATTTATACAATATTCATTAATTATAAATACACGTGCATAACTTTTTTTTTTTTTACTGATACAATCACATCTACAATCTACACACGTGTATAATCAAAAATAAACTAACCTTTATGCGAATCTTTTTCAAAGCCCGATAACTCCAAGCTTTTGTACACCAGTGACGTGGACATTCCTCTGAATGTGACGTAAAGTCATAAAATTACGTAAAACTGGATAGATTTTTTTATAGTATTTACGATAAATATTAGTCACGTAATTATTTGTTCTTAGACAGCATATGTGTTGGAGAGCGATCTGGCAATCCTGACACTCTTTTGGTGAGTCCAGTCCAATATCTGTGAGAGTGAGATAGAATCTCCGTCCAACTCTGCCTTTCAAAGTTTTCCAATTGTGTACTTTTAACTACAATGCGCATGCCTAACATAGGTGAGTACTGTAGTGTGAGTTTTATGTATGTGTATGTTTACAAACATACGTAAATGCGCATGCCTAGCGAATGAGTAACGTAACGTCTGATTTATATTACGTATTTCGTAAAAATTTCAAATTCATTGTTAATGACTTGTAGTAACTTTAACTACCTTGTGTCCAAACTGAAAATAATATTTCTCTTTAGTAAAAATCTAATCTAAATTTTGTTTTACGTTCATTACATCAGTATTTCTAATTTATAGATATCATCATGTATATCTAATCAGATAAGAAATTATTATCAGCTGTACTTGTAAAATTTGCGTGTACAAAAGGAAATCTTACATGAAATTTGAATGTATAATTGACTATGAATTGTGCAAATGCAAATGTTGTTCAGGAAGGTGGTGTTTAATATAACTAAGAAGCTTCTAAATGACACAGAAAACATTTGATATTTTCACATAACTACATGTAAATAACGGTCAGCAAGTCATTTTATTTACTGAGTTGAGTAGAAATATCAGAAAAGATGGAACAGAGTAAATTTGTGGATCTGTTGGAGGAGAGAAGAAAGGACTGTGATTTTCTGTGGGCAACACGCCCGTTGGATCCATTGCTACCCCATATGTTGCCAATCGAGTTGGTCTATAGTAGAGATAAAGTGATACAATCAGTTTTGACGGACACTTTGGTCAAAGCTACAATTGCTTTGATAGTAAAAACAACAGGTGCTAAACTTAAGGATGTTGAGAAAAGAGCTCGTGCAATGATAAATGAAATGGCTAGTAAAGCAGATTTAGCAACAGTTCGTTGGCTGGGTATTTTACTATATATTATGTAGTATTTTTACACACACATATATCATAGTTTTATGCACTATAAAATTAGTATAATACATATACATACCATGGTTTTGTTTGAGAATACTGCTCATTTGTTATTAAGTCAAAGCACACATATTACAAATCTAATATTTTCTCACATATAAGATTTTTAATATATTTCAATATACGATCAATATAACATGTACATACAATAGTTTTATTTAACACTATCATTCATTTATCAATAAGTACAAGTTTATTACATACAGTCGAATAAACAAATGCAGCTTCGCATATATTTAATAATTAAATACATTAAGCAGCATGTCTCTCGTGGTCTTACATTGGTGCATTTAAAAATAAATAAATATTTCAGGTATTTTCATTACAAAAGCTATGAAGAGAATGTTCTCGAAAATATACATAAATGAAACCAATCTCACAAACTTGAAAAAGGAAATGCTAATCTCCCAGATACAGTACGTTTACGTGCCGTCTCACAGAAGTTATTTGGATTTCATTTTGCTGTCGTACATTCTATTTTCCTACGACATGGCGTTACCGAATATCGCGGCTGGTATGGACTTTTACAATATGAAAATAGTTGGTGAATTATTGCGAAAAACTGGAGCGTTTTACATAAGACGCAGTTTCTCCAATGATCCATTGTACAAGCAAATTTTCCGATCGTACATAAATACCATCATTAGTCATAGCAATAGAGCGATAGAATTTTTCATCGAAGGCACTCGGAGTCGCAGTCAAAAAAGCACAGTACCGAAATATGGTAAGCGATTAAGACAAAACACTAGTCTTGAACACATTGTACAGATATTAAATTCTATTTGAGAAATCTTATATACAACAAAATCTCGTATGTTAAATATTTTTGTTTTGTTTTGTTTTGCTACGCACAGGTCTTCTTTCCATCATTTTGGAGAGTTTGCTTCAAGGCAACGTACCGGACATACATTTCGTACCGATGAGCATCAGTTACGAACGACCGCCTGAAGAATTATTGTTTGTTTACGAAATGCTGGGAGTTCCAAAACCGAAGGAAAGCACAACCGGACTTGTACGCTCGCTTTCCATTCTGCAGAAACCCGCGTCTCACGGTCGTATTTTCTTTAACATCGGAGAGCCAATATCTGCTCGTCAATTTTTAGACGCGAAATATCGCAGGAAAAAAATTCTGGAACCTTCTTTCAAAGTTCCATCCTCGGTCGTAGAGAACATAGCTTACTTTATAATAGAGACACACAAAAAGAATACCGTGCTTATGCCAATCAACATCGTTGCTTTGTTAATCAATGAGAGGATTCAAACGAAGCCGAGAGAACCATATACGCTCGATTCGTTGGCTAAGGATTATCAACGATTTAAGAATTTCATCACCAAGTCGTTGCAAGTATTGATGTTCGAAAGTGAGAGGTGAGTGTTTTTCTTATTTCTTGATAAAAAAAAGAGAATTACGTCACATATTCGTAACATATTCCAAAATATGTTACGTCGTAAAACGTAACGTTTCTAACATGATGTGTTTTTTTTACAGCAGTAACGATGGCGAGAAAATCAAACAAGAGATATTAGAATCTTTGAAACCACATAACGAGTTGATTGTGATCGATTCATCAAACACGCTAAGGCTCAAACAAAGACACAAAGAACTCAAACTAACGAATTATTCAAACATCAAGGGACATTTGTTGTCTGAGAGAACTATGCAAATAGCGGTGCCCGCCGTTAATATTGCAATTTATATGAATCCAACCTTGACGTTTCTGGCGAAAACAGCCCTTGTTACCGCAACGATAGGAGAGGATGGCACTCAAATCGGTGCTGTGATCACAAACATACAATACAATTAACTCTTAAAAAACAAAACTTTTTCATCAAAGAGTGATATAATGAATATTCAAACTTGCAGGAGTGGCTTTAAAACGATATGAACTACTGAGAAAATTGGTTAGCACGGAATTTGTGTTGCGTCTTGTTGAGGATGAAAGTCTGATCAAAGCGGAGTGGGAACAATCCTTGAACATATTGTTGTCGGAGAATTGCTTGCGCATAGTAAAGGACTCGATTTTCCTGGGCAATAATACGGAATTGCTCTCCATCTTGCACAACGTTGTAACACCTTTTATAGACGTTGCATATGTAATGTGTAATTTGTTATACGAGGTAAGGTTTACTTGCAAATTAATAAAAATAACTTCGACGAGATATTTACGTTAAAAATTGTTTTTTTTTTCTCTTTAGTGGATTGAAAGAACGTCGAGCGAACTCACAGATCGGATGATTCTCGTTGAAACGCAGAAAGAAGTGGAAAGATTAATACTTGAAACAAGTGACTGGTGTCAGCATCCGTATTGCTTGTCTCTTGATCTCTACAACGCGACGTGGTCCAGTTTATTATCGCAAAATATTATTATCCCACACCAGGAACACACCAACGTATATCGAACAGATAATGCGAAACTAGCGTGTCTTTTGGAAACGCTGCGCGAATTACCACTGCGACGACCTGTGGGAACTTACGCCGACGCGCTTTCCTTTATCATCTCCACACCGTCAGTAGATGTACAGGCTAAATTATAACGAACGTTTGTTTCGAAGCAACAGAATCCTCAACATGCTGATAATGATAATAATACTAATAACAGCGCCGATAATAGTAACGCTAATTATCGACCATTAGTATATTTTAATTACAAAACTTGTGTTAACACGTAGACGTATACCATTCCACTGTGTTTTTATATAACAAGCCGATTTACTAACAATTATAACAGACCGCTCTGTGTTGTAATTCAGAGATCAGGAACGAAGGCGTCGATGTTATTAAGTATTCTAGCAGTGTCGTCATCAAGATCGGCCGATCTTTTTCTCTTACCGAGAAATACTGTAGCGGCAGTTGTGGTAGTTATAGGATTATTCATGTTTCGGAATAGAAGCTGAAAAGAATTTGTTTAGAGTAATGCGCTGAAGAGAAAATAGTGCATTTCTAGATTCATCTCGAAGTTAACAAAGAGATTGTATGGTTGCCACCATACAATTTCTCACGGTGGCATCAGAATAGCATCTTACGTAAAAAAAAAATGTAAACAAAAACCGTAATATTTCTTACCATAACTAGACGAACAAGATAAACCGCAAAGGTGAGAAAAGATATAGCCATCAGCGCGCCTTCTATCGAAGGAAATCCTACGGAATGCTCATCGTGATCGTCATAACCGTGTCCATAATACTCCGCTCCTCTCGTTTTTCGACTGGGCGACATGGCAGCGGCGAGACGAGATTCTGTCGTCAATGAACAAAAATATTCATGCAGATCTCAAAATCAACGTCGAAATCAACGTGCGAAGAATGATGTAAACAAACGAAGTATAACGCGCTCACCTATCTCTGACATTAACGTTTTCTCGAACATTTTGAGGAAATGAAGCTTTCCTTCGAACGACGCCGGCTGCGATTGCAACGTCTGATGTACACTTTTAAGTATGTCTACGGGCAAATATTGAAATATAGTATCGTCCTGTTTCAATGTGTCATTGCAGTATTCATCTCGTGTAATATTCTGCTTGTGTGTTGTAGTCGACGATGATTGAGTGGTAAAAGTCTTAGATATTGTAGCCGTTGTTGTTGTTGTTGTTATTGATGACATGCCGTATTCGCTAAGTAAGTTCTATACGACATTGAAATTGTTTTGTTATACGACTTTTGTATTATTTAACACTAATTATTTGAGAAATAAAATATATCTACATTACCTCAGTCGCAGCGTTGTCGTTTATTGTGGCGCGATTTTTACTTGTCCCGCTGGAATCGTCGTTAATTTGAACGTCGCGAAACACGTTCGACAATTGTGTCGACAATGATGCGGAACTTAATGGTTCCTTAATTTCCGTTTTCTTATCGATCGCCGCGTGTGTGATCTTAACGAGACGACGACGAGACTGACTGTCGTTTCGATCGTCAGAAAAATGAAACACCACGTCCGTATCATCGCCTCGTCTGAACTTGTAAAACTGATCGTACTGTGCGGGAGGTATCCTTAAAGAGAGAGAAAAAAAAAGACAGAACACGAAGTGTTGTGATTCGGTACAAATTTTGAAGTTGTACAACGTGTCAATTTTTACCTGTAAATTTTGTTCTCGTCCGAAAATTGCGGCATGTCCACCCAGTCTGCTGTGTTGACATCCGCCAAAATTATCACCGCACATAGAACGTAAAACGTGTCTTGCGCGAACATAATTTCAATAAGCAATCGGAAACACAAATGTTATTTGCGTGTTATTTTACACTATTCCAAATCACATTTCATCATATTCTCAGAGCGCGAGTTGTCTTCTGCGTCTCTACTTCACAAGAACATTCACGCCAATTTTTCCGGTTGTTACCGTGCATCCTCAATTCGGAAACGCGCGTCTCTTGTGGGACGCGCAGACACGCGCGAGGGGACACTATTATTTCCGGCAGAGATATGTTTCTGTTAGAATTAAAGAGAACGAGACGAATCTGATGAAAGAGATGTGATCACGCACTGGGAACAGTTGCCGGAAGAAAGAGCTGCTTATATAGTTACATTTCTTCATGACATTATTTCCGCATGATATCAACGTGATTTTTTTTTCTCTATAAAATAAAAAGAAACAGTTTGGAAAAAATGCGCGTTTTAAGTAACGTACCAAAAGTCAGCTCTTTAGCAAAAGTTCTTTGTTTTTGTTCGGAGAAAGATGTAAAACTCGTCGAAACGAATAATATCGTTTATTTTGTTATTTAGATATAGTTACATATAGTTTTTCATCTCTACGGAAAAATTCTTATAAAATTGCGAATTCGAACAAACGAATATAAGTAACATGTCTACTATCAGCTACGCAAGGTGTGATTTGCGTTCTCTTTATATAACATTTTATTTATTGCAAAGTATTGTTATAAAGAGAAACGCGGTTTTACTGTTTAGTCGCATTGCCGCTTGGTTAGTTATAATTGCTCCTACAAGGAAAAAGAGAATTATAACATGTAAATTGTTTGCTTCCACCTGGCACTAAGTATACGTACAATAATCAGATAATTTATAATCTTGTTTAAACGCATCTCGTGGGGTAACGATACGCATAATGTTTCTTCTTGAAATGAACAATATATTATTATTTGTTTAACATTTTTTTTTGTTCAACCAATAATCGAGCGTATATGAAACATCGAATGAAATTAAGCCGAACACGTGTATACAATCATGCGCCAATATCAAATTTCGAATATATTTAAACATTGCTTATATATAATTAAATATGTATATATGTAATATTATCCTGTCTTATTACGAACGCGTGTTAAGCACAAGGTTTAGCACAATATTAGGTACAAGAAACCACAATAAAAATTTCACTTTTTCCTATTAAAGCTGCTTTTTTTTTTTTTGTATATATCTAAGAAGAAAATTTAAATGCATCGCTGAGTATTGTAAAAGCATTTCCACAAACGGAATGTTAAACGTACGTTTTGACTGTTCGAAGATTACGCTTGTATATGTTAATATAACTTGTAAGTACAATATAAGTATGTAATATACGCATTGAGACAATAATCTACATTATGTATAATACGAAAACTTCTATGAATAAGATACACAATAAACTTTCAAAAGTTGTTATAAAATATAACAATTAATGCGTGTGTATATATATATGTGTGTGTGTGTGTGTGTGTGTGTGTCAATGCCTATTTATGTATTCTGTTATATTACAGATCTTGATTATCTCTAGGTTTATTATAAATATTGATTGGTGGGAAAGTTCTGCGGATTTTTAATATAAAATTTTAAACACAAAATCGACATTTATAAAAATTAATTTAGTCCACAATGTGTTGACCGTCTTGATCTAAAATTTGTTGCCAACGTTTCGGTAGGGCCTTGATGCCGCTCTCGTAAAACCCTTGGGACTTGTGGTCGAAAAAATCAACGAGGTGATTTCGGATGGCCTCTATTGAATCGAATTGATGACCGTCAAGATTGTTTTGCAGCGAGCGAAACAAGTGATAATCAGACGGTGCAAGGTCCGGCGAATATGGTGGGTGCTGCATCATTTCCCAGCCAAAGCTCTGCAATTTTTTTTTCGTGACCAAAGAAGTATGCGGTTAAACGTTGTCATGATGGAAAATCACACCTTTTCTATTGGACAATTCTGGCCGCTTCTCTTGCACTACTTTGCGCAATTTGTCGAGTTGAGCGCAGTATTTTTTCGAATCTATTGTTTGGTCCTGCGGGAGCAGCTCGAACCACAGCACTCCTTTATAGTCCCACCAAATATTGGGTTGGCAACAAAGTAATTTCGGTTTTGTAATATGAAATAAAACTCATTTTTTTAATACAAAGAATAATCTTCAATCAATTACATATTTTCCATTTTGTTCAATGACTTTTTGCCATCTTTCTTGCAGCTTCATGATTCCGCGCTCATAAAATTTCTGGTCCTTATCAGCAAAAAACTGAACCAAGTGCGATTTAAGGTCATCGTCATTTGTGAAAGTTTTACCATTCAAAGAATTCTGCAAACTTCGAAATAAATGGTAATCAGATGGTGCCAGATCAGGGCTGTATGGAGGATGTTGCATCACTTCCCAACCAAGCTCCAATAATTTTCCGCGAGTTGCCAAAGATGTGTGAAGCCTTGGATTATCATGGTGGAACACTAATCCTTTCCGATTTGCCAATTCTGGCCGTTTTTCTTTGATTGCTTCATCCAGTTTCATAAGTTGTTGACAGTAAACGTCTGAATTGATCGTCTGGTTTCTTGGAAGTAGCTCAAAATATACAACACCTTTGTAATCCCACCAAATTGACAGCATGATTTTTTTCGATGTGGTTTGTGCTGCTTCATCGTGCTTGCACCATGATCGTTTTCGAATGATGTTGCTGTAGACGACCCATTTTTCATCACCAGTGATGATTCTTTTCAAGAAAGGGTCGGTTTCATTGCGCTTAAGGTGCATATCGCAAATGTTGATTCGTTGTGTTAAGTGAATCTCTTTCAATTCATGCGGTACCCAAATATCGAGTTTCTTAACGAGTCCAATACATTTTAAGTGTTTTTCAACTGTTGTATGCGATACATTTAACCTNTCTGCAATCTCTCGAACAGTTATATGACGATCCTCTTCAATTATGACTTTGATTTGGTCATCATCAACTTCAGTAGGTCGACCAGAACGTTGCTCATCTTTGAGGGAAAAATCTCCAGAACGGAATTTTTTAAACCAATTCTGACACGTGCGCTCTGTTAAGCAATCAACACCATAAACTTCACGTATCTCTTTGTAAGCCTCAGCAGCTTTCTTTCCTTCACGGAAATAAAAAAGTAAAATATGCCGAAAATGTTCGTTTCTGCGCTCCATGTTAAAATTGACTCACAACTAACAGCTACAAAAAAAAATCACGCACCACTTGCTTCTAAAGTAACCTCAATGTGACTGATATCAAATGTCAAAAGCCAAAGTACATCACTAACACAAGTCACTAAAAAAAAATAAAGCAACGCTCCCTATGAGTGACAACCGAAATTACTTTGTTGCCAACCCAATACATAGCATTACTTTCTGTGAATGCAAATTAGATTTTGCCACCGTTTGTGAAGACTCGCCCGGACCGCACGACAACTTCCGTCGCTTAATGTTGTTGTAGACAACCTATTTCTCGTCTCCAGTGATGATCCGTTTCAGAAATGGGTCTAGAGAGTTTTGTTTCAGGAGAGATTCGCACACTAAAATCCGATCCATGATGTTCTTTTCGCTCAGTTCGTGCGGCACCCATACATCAAGCTTTTTCATGCCAAGCTTTTTTAATCTATCTATAACGGTTGTATGATGAATGCCGAAGCGCTTCGCAATTTCTCGAGTCGTTAAGTGTCGATCACTCTTCACTGTAGCCAGGAGTCGTCAACAGAATTTGGCCGTCCAGAACGTGGTGCATCTTGGAGATTAAATTCTCCGGAACGGAAGCGAGCAAACCATCTTTCGCGCTTAGCGTCCGCCGCTTTATATTCTTTACGGAATAAAAACAGCAAAATATGGCGAAAATGCAATTTTTGATCTTCCATTTTAGTTGTATGCCGTAAAACACGTCCGACCAAAACAAACACTTTTGCCAAATATCAAGCGTAGTGTGACGCCAAAATATGTGCCAAAATATGTGCGGCAGACTGACATTTGAACGACACGCAATAATTATTTTCTGACACTACAGTGTCATCTATTAAAAAATCCGCAGAACTTTTCCACCGACCTATAATATCATTGAATGTGTATATATCTGTTCTTGGGGAAATAGAAAAATCGCTACACATGTGATATATAATGTACAATGAATAACTTTTTTGTTCTATGTACTATTAATTGTTAAAAGTATATAGGCCATATATATTTTACATATAACGATATAAAGCCAATTTCTATTACGATATTATCTTTCTAATATACATTTCACAATTTCGTTTAATAAAAACTGCTTGAGAATTACGTATTTTGTTCTCAAATGCTTAAGTATAACAACCTTTTCTCTCTGCAATGTTCTTAATATACTTTAAATATATTTTATTAGGATATATAAGTAAGTGTGTGTAACGTTAAATTTCTTTGCTATTTTCTAAGTCAACCTTTGTTTCATATTGACTGACGCACAATCATCGTTTCACATTATCAATGAACAAAACGTTCCAAAAGAAATGAATAAAGAATAAGCAAAATCCAAAACAACCTGTTCAAATATTACGAATGTAAAAAATATGATTGAAAAAATTATTAATTAAGAAAATTATTCCTAAATTATGTACAGCTTGTTCTATGAATTATGTAGAGATTCGCCGAAGGCTTTGAAAAAAATGTTATATCTCAAAAATATACTATCTTACAATACAATTGTTGCAAATTAACATATTAATTATTTTCTGTATCTTCTTTATGTAATATTAATCTGCTAAAAGCCAAAAGCTTACAAAAGTTATACAAATAATAAAAAATATATATAAAATAAATCACTGGAAAACTTTCAAAACTAAATCTCTCAACAGTTTCAATAAAACCATAATTTTTTTTCACAAAATTGGAATGTCTATTTAAAAAATTTATAATATTATCGAAATTATAAAACTATTGAAGTACATTATAATATGTGTACATGTAAAACTTTTACATGTGTAAAATAATATATAAAAATATTTTAAAAATGTGTGCTGCAGCAAAAATTATCAGATTAATATTAATATATATTAATATTAATGTATGTATATTATTAATTCATATATATTCTAACTTTTTAACAAGTAAGTATGTTAATTGTAACCGTACATAGAATAGTAGTTAAAAATGAGATTCAGATATGCACAGATCTTGTTTGTTTTCACAATAATATATTAAGATTTTTTCATACAATATATTAATTTAGTAAAAACTAAAATTAGAGATGTTACATATAGAAATTTATATAAATATATTATACATACAAAATTTGTAAAGATTCTTAAAATAAATCACTGCTTTACAATCCAATATTATATCAATACTTTTTTTTGTAATATTCTATGCACGGTTATATTTTTCATACGACTTTTATTGTATAAAAGTAAATTGTTTTTAGCTGTATGTAACTGCATATCTTAAATTACGAATATATAATTATACATTAATGTAAAAGAATTTATAAGAATCTCTTAATTCAAACATTATAAATTAGCAGATCTAAATATACAATATCTCAATAATTTTTTCATATTATTTGTTTTGGAACAAACTTGGAATGATAATGAGTATATAATTGGTGCATAAATTAATTTTATCGATAAAAATTTTGTTTACATATTTCTAAGCCAATAAATATTTATATCAACAAAAACAAGATTTTGTCAAAAATGGACATAAAAACTCAATAAATTTAGAAAAAATATCACTTCTCTATCAGATACAACATTACTCACTTCAAATAACAAAATGTCTACATCGTAATGGAACTTATTGCTCAATAATTCACATGTGAAAACCGTAATTATATAAATATTTTTATCAACAAAATTTGGAAGAATAAATATCTTGGAGATAACAATATCTATCAAAAAAAGATAACAAATATTTATATAAAAAAAACAAAAACAAAATGTTCCCGAATAAAATCATTTATAATATGTGTTTGTAGGTACTTTTTTAGGTACTTATTCCTCTTATATGTATATATATGTATATAATACATATCCTACATGTAATATATATTTGTAAATTGAAATCTCTTTGTTATAGTTTTGTGGGAATATATTAAAATTATGGAAGTTTCTTTTGAATATTACGTTTAAGTAGTAATGCCAAAGGAAACAACAGTATCCCGAAATGCAAACTTGGAGTATCATTAGTGATTTGTTAAGTACAAAGAACGACATATTCGGGATATATTGGCCGAAAGACAAGCTTGTACTAATTTTCACGTACTTTTACGGGGAGTCAGGCACGAATGAATCGCCGTAAAGTAGCTCGAGCACATCGAGCCCAGCCTTTGTGGATCGACAAGGTAGTTGGTAATGTTTCAATGTTCAGCACAGACGAACAGTTCTGTCATGCCTCTTGATTACTGTACGCCAACCAACGTGCATCGTCGCTCTCGTGAGTCAAATATCGATAGCCAACTTTCTCCTCCAATTTTCTCAAGTCGCACCATGTTTGATAATCCTGATTAAAAAAAAAAAAAAATAGAGAGATTTTTAATACCACAAATAATCCAAAGACAGAATGCAAGCCAGATGTAAACTAAGTGCGCACGTATACTTACTTGTAACCACACGTGTTGCAAACTTTTGTCCACGGTATATCTTTTTCTCTGCTTAACTTGCAGAAGGTTGTTAATTAAATCAATAGCTGAAGATAAAAAAACATAAAATAAATATATTGATATATGTTTAGAAAATAATACATATATCTTTGGGCATTAATTAAAATATATTGCAAATTTGTTAAAAGCAAGTAAAAATAGACGATGAAAAGATGGATTTTGATCTTCACCTTCGTTGGAAATTTCCTTCCACGGAGTCGGTGGATACATAAAGGCAGCATTTTGAATCTGTTCATTGATATCCTCTTCTTCGTTGAACGGGAACGTGCCGCTTAATGATACGTAAATAATAACACCGACGCTCCACATGTCTAAAGAACGATTATAGCCTTTGTTTCGTAAAACTTCCGGCGCCAAGTATGCCGGTGTGCCGACGACGCTTCTACGAAAGCTCTTCTCGCCAATTATTCGCGCGAAGCCGAAGTCGCACAGTTTCACCTGAGTGAAATCCGCGTCGCTGCTAAGCAACACGTTTTCCGGCTTCAGATCGCAATGAACGATATTCTTGCTGTGAAGATGCTTCAACGCGACGAGAATTTGCGTGATAAGGAACTTGGTTATTCGTTCGCTGAGTCGTCCCTTCTCGGAGCTCAGAATCATTTCGAGCATGTCGCCTTTCAGCTTCTCCATCACTACGAATATTCTCTCCGGCGTCTCGAACATTCGCTCCAGATTCACTACACCGCTGTGCGACAGATTTTGCAGAATAGCTACTTCGTTTTTCAATTGAGCCTCTTGTTTGGTAGGAAAACGCAATTTATCGATAACTTTTATGGCGACCGGACGGCTGCTCTTGCGGTGAACGCCTCCGTAAACTATGCCGAATTGTCCGGATCCTAAAACCTCGTCTGGAAAGATCTGGTATAACTGTGACATGTCGGTAATGTTTTCCTCGGGTTCGGTGGATTCTTCTTGATCTATAACAAACATAATTTTCTCTCTATCGCATCTCTAAGAAGTAAAATAACGGCGACACATACATATAAATAGTCAATTACGCGAAATTACATATATGGATGATGACATGAACACACAAAATGTAATAAATTATGACAAAAGCAAAAACGTAAAAATAGTTGACACTATGGTTTCGCGCAAAATCTCGTGACAGCAAATCAAATATACATACTAGTCGATACAGTTACAGGCATAAGTGCTTGTCTAATAGTAGTTTCCCAAGATCTAGCTATGTGAGCTCCAATACCACTTTCAGGAGGAGAGACTTGGCCGCAATTCTGTCCGTATGATGGGTCTTCACCGACATAGTAATCAACATTGGCAGTTTTTAGCTCAAAGCAATGCATTATATCTACAACGTAAAGTAGGCTGTGTAAAAAATCTAACCGAAAAAAGCTTTATATGATAAAACTTCGTAACAAAAGAAAAATGCACTGATTTTTTTTTTTTTTTTTTTTTTTTTTCACTTGCGAACGCAACATACATGAGCGAGGCGTTTTAGCAGTTTCGATCGCTGTGATTTCAGCCAGTGGTATTTCCTTGTAATATTTGGAACTGTTTTCATTTTGAAACAGCGTTATAGATTTTGTATCGAGCCGCCAATAATGTTTCTTTCTCTAAAACGAGAAAAACGAGCGGTTTTGTATATATTAGTGTTTTTTTTTTTTTTTTGTTTTTTTAATATATATTCCATTCAATCATTAATGTTCACGTTCGTCGAAAGATGCAAATTATATAACTGTTTTCGCTCATACTTACAACTGGATCACGATTAGTGAAATGTACCATCCAGCCTTCTTTCAATACTTTAGATCCGCGTCTTTTGGTATGCTTTACACTTTGTACTATCCGCATCAATGGAATGTTGTTACTTGGTGTTGAACTACAGCTATTTTTTTTTTTATGGAAAAAGAAAACTCGATTATAAAAATGACGTTTTTGAAAAAAAAAAATTACATTTAAACTCGGCGTTATCACAAAAAAAAAACTTACCTTGACGGCCGCGACTTTTGATTCTCATCATCGTTATTTTGTGCATGATCCTAAAAGTACGAATTTCGATATCGTAAAGCCTTTCTGAACATTCTTTATATCGCAAGATGTTCATATTACATGCATATAGGTGTTTCAATAACTTACTGTATAATCTTCGGGCATCTTATTCTCGTCATTTGTGAATACGTCTTGTGGCGGAGGTGATGATTCTGTATCGCTGTCGGCGTCAGCTTCCTCGTTCCTAATATCACATTTGGTTTCTAGTTCGCTGCCAACGCCGCTGTCTGTGTACTCGCCTGCGTATCCAAGCAGTTTTTGATTATTACACATCTTGTATTCATACATGAACAAGTCTCAATATTCTTTCAAAGAAATTGCTCTATCTACCTAAGTTGTCTTTTAGATTTTCGCCGGTACAGTCTTTTGGTATCTTATCCATACATTTTTTGTGCGTATTGTATTGACAATCTTTACACTGTAGGCCTTGCTTAAATATACCCTTTAGCAACTTTTTACAATGTCCGCATACAGTCGGACGTGTGTATGTGTGTACTACAAATGTGTGCGGGATTTTTATGCGTGTCGCTAGCTCTCGCTCAACCCAAACAGGCCGTCCTCCCGGTGACGGTGAATGGGATTGTTTTGGCGCCATTATACTCGGTATTGCCTACAATATAGCAGTTATTTACACACACACACATACAGCAAACGTCGTAAATAAAAAAGAATAAGAAAAATGTCAATCTCATGTTTATTCACTTTCAACACAGTATACAGCAAAATTAAAGCGATCAAATGATATACGTTTGCTCATACCAATGTACTATTATTTTGGCTTGTGTTAGATGTGCTATTTGAACTGTGATTATCGTCAGTGATGCTGGTTAGGCTGCTGGTGGAACCCTGACTGGGTGATCTCGGAACATTCAGCATGGCTGAACTACGCCGTCTTTGACTTACATCTTGCGTGCAGTTATTTGGTACTTTAATGACGCATCTTTTGTGATAATTCATGCCACAACCTGTGAAAATGTACAAGTTACGTATATGCTTGTAATTTGTTTTTTTTCTTCTCATTTTTAAGAAAATATTGATTTTGTCATAAATTTACCTTCACATTTGAGACCTTGTCGAACAAGTCCAAACAACATCTCACCACAAAAATCGCAAAATGTTGGAACTTTGTAGGAATGTACTGCTAAAGCATGAGGGCGAATGGGAACATATTCACTTGGCACTTGTGCTAAAAAGAACCCATAAGAAACAATTTTGTAAAATCTACACAGAGCAAATAATTTTAAAACGGAAAAGCTAACGCAAATGGGCGAATGGTTTGCTTACCACTCAGTACTATTTCCACTAATGTTTCATCAACTACTTCTGTGGTGTTCGTAATAAGTTGCAAAACATTCGTAGAATTGTAGTCATGCTTAAATAAAATCAATCTCTCAAACAGATGATTTAAGCCATGCTCCGGACACTTGGTATTTATAAAATCACAGGCAAGATCTTTCAGGGCCTTAAGTGTTAGGGTGCTACTGTCCACCGTGACCGTATCACGTGTCAGACCGAATTGGAATAAAAATGTAACTTCTGTTCCTTCCATGACGCTTTGTGATTTCTTCCTGTAATACATACGGACAAATTTGTGGTGTGCAAGACTCACAGCTGTTTTATTTAGAATTTAATATAAACCACACTTGCTTTTCCAATTACGTTGATTTGCAATGTGAAAAAGTTAACACTTTGGTTTTCAATTAAAATATTAATACAATAGATACAAATACAATTAATATTTTTTTTGTTAAAAAAAAACAATTATATAATTCTGTAAAAAAAGAAAATAATTATAAAATGTATATAACATTGTCTAAGAGAGCGTACGTCTCGAAACAATGTATAAATGTATAATTAAACCGACGTATTCATTATGCAGAACTATTTGCGTAAACATCATATAAAGATACTTTTTAATTATGCCAAGTATAAATGTCAAGAGGAAATTTCCATCGAGATCAACGAAAGGCTGTTATTTATCGTCACCTCGCACTGGTTTTTTCCCACGTTTTAGAAAAAAAAAAAGAAACTACTCATTGCTCATTTTTCCGAGAAAGCGAAGAATGACACACGAAGTGTCCGTGGAAGGCGTTTTATACATCCTTCGCGGGCCAAAAGCATATACTTGATTAATTCGCGACTTTATCCGAGAAATTTCGTAATCGCGTCTACACACAACACGCCTGTGTGTTGTGTAGGTGTACGTACAATATATTCGGCGTGAGTTCTTGTAAAAGCAAGGTAAGAACAAAAAAAAAAAAAAAAA